CACCGTCATGGGTTCTGGGGCTTGTTTCCTTGCTTGTGACACGTATTCCACATGCCCAACCAGTGGCATAGTAGAAATGTGGGATAGATTTTGTACGTCCTTTGAATCTTAATCCTCAAGGAAATAAGTTCATTGTGATAACTACATATTATCTTTCTAAGTGGGTAGAGTCAAGACCACTTAAATCTACTAATGAGAAGGAGGTTGGTAGATTTTGGTATGAGAGAATCATAACCATATTTGGTTGTGCTTTGGAGTTAGTGTCGGATAGAAGAGTAGAGTTTGTGGCGAGTATGATTCAAGCAATGCTAGATCATTTTTTCATCAAATCTTGAGTGACCACTTCCTACAAACCCAGTGCTAATGGATTGGCAGAGCGGACCAACTATACTCTTTGTATGATGTTGGTCAAGGATGCAGACATGGACGGGAGCAAGCAAAACTGGGACAAGAGGTTGCATGCTATGTTGTGGGAGTATCAAACAACGTGGAAAACATCTACCGGATATTCACCTTTTTGGATGGTGTATGGAGTTGAATCAAAGTTTCCAATACAATTTGACTTGACTACTTTCTTGACGATCCAAGAAAAGTTGAAAAAATCAAATGGAGCAGAAACCAACAAGTCTCACCAACAACAATTGATGGAGTTGGAGCAAGCTTGAACCCTAGCCATGGTTCGAGTGGAGCGAGCTCAACAATTGCAGAAGAAGTATCACGACAAATGAAGTGGAACTCACGACTTGGAGTCATTAAAGGAAGGTGATTGAATGATGCTCTTTGACGCAATTACATACAAGAGAGCTAGGAAAAAGTTTCTTACTAAGTATTTTGGACCTTTCATAGTTGAGAAGTTGTGTGGAAACTTTACTTATGACATCAAAGATTTAGAAGTACGTCATTTCAATTGAGTCAACCACAACAAGTTAAAATTATTCCATCAAAGATCAGATTTTTTCACTTTGAGAGCGTCGTGAATTATTGATCCGGGGGTAAAAGTAAGACCAGGTGTTGTATGTGTGAATTAGATTTAAAATTAGCCAAGGAGTTAATCATGATTAGCCTAGTTATAACTAAGTTTATCTAGATATAACTATGTTTAGTTATAAGATCTATACTTGGCGGAATAAGTAGAAAAGTTCTAGAAGATTTGAGTGAGCACTTTTATTTTATCTTGTACAAAAGTCTATGATACAAGAGAAAAGAATTTTTCACATCATGTTTAGTTTTGAGTGGTTTAAGTAAGTAAGAAATACTCTATTGGTTACACTATGTCTTATGTTGACCTAGTGGAAAGTGGAAGTTCTAGAAGTTGGAAAGGCATAAATAGCATGTCGCCACCTCAATCTAGGAATTAGTAAACATCTAGAAGGTTTAGAAGGCTAATGGCATGTTGTCACATATTGATAACTAATCAACCTTACTATGGTGTATCTTTATAAAGTAAGTTAGATAGGAATTACCATTTGTTACTATAGTAAATTCTCAAGTAGTATATATAGAGAGACTGTAAAGAGACTTTCAAGCAAGTTTAGAGAGTTCATATGTAGAGACTTGTTTTATACATGAAAGAGTGACAAATTTTCAGTACCTTGGAGTGTCGATGTGCGTGTGAGTTGGAGTGATACCTTGAGAGATCGTGTGAGAGGATGTTTGGGCTATGAGTATGAGGAGGAATTATAGTCTTCTATAACCATGATGAACTACCGAAAAGCCATCTGAGGTAAGAGTGAGAATCAGCCCGAAGGTTGCAGTACAAATTGAGTGGATGTACTTTAGTCCTATCAAGTCATCTGTAACATATCCATAATTACTTATAATAACTTCTTCTATTCATTCATGCAAGTTTGACATCTAAGGAAGATTCAACATGTATGAAAGTGAAATCTACATCAACCAAATCAAATTGAAGGAATGATTTTAACATTATAACATGATATGAGTTGGATACAATATTACTCAACTCATAACGAATTTCTAAGTTGTTTAATTGGAAAAGTATTATATTCATAATTCATTGATGATTTTTTAGAATATGATTGTTATACAAAGTACAATTAATCGAACATGATGGCTGTATGGAGAAAATTGATGTTGTTGTTATTTAACTACTAAAAATTGCAATTTTGATTACCAAGATTTTTTACTTACTATCGTCACCATGGCTTGGAATGTGACAATGTGATAAGGTTAATTGCTATTTTTTTAAAGTATTACATGCTTAAACAAAACGTCTACAAAATAGTAGATCTAGACTGCAAGACAAGCTCAGAGTAGAAATGGCAGCATATGAATGTTTGGAAAAATTGACTATGATCATAAATGCCTCTAATTAATGAATCTTGGTCCTATACGATGCTAAAATGCAACTTTTAAAAAACTCATTTGAATTTAAGATTTGATACTGATTTGCTCTTTTCTTTTATCGACTTGAAAAAAATCTTTGGTCTTTGGATTATATGCGTATATATTGTTTTGAAAGATATGTAATGAGTGATGCAAATAAAAATGAAAGGTAGAAATCAAATATGGCGGTAACAAGAGATTTAGGAATTGAAGTGTAGAAAACAAATATGGCGATAGCAAGCAATGTCAAATTCAATAGCTATAAGTATAGCATTATGCGGTGCACCATAGAAAGTTGTAGTCTAGAATCATTCGACTAATTGTTTATGTAATCTAAATTGAACAGAAGGTTTGATTTGAAGAAAAATCTATAGTTCTTTTCGGTGATAACCGTTAGGATTAGCAAGATTATATGATAGTAAAGAAAAAAACTGTCATTTCAATTTCATTACAAGCTACAACTTTGAATATTTAACAAAACAAGATGGTGGGCACTAGGTAAGAGGGAGCATTTGGGCTTATCGTTTTTGTCTGGTACGTTGATGACATGCTTATTGCAACTTTCAAAAGATCTGATGTTGATAAGTTGAAGGCTGAGTTGAGCTCAACTTTCAGCATGAAGGATCTAGATCAACTAAGTAGATTTTTGACATGAGATTATCTAAGTATCAGGATGCAAGAAAGCTTTAGTTATCTCAACAAAAGTATGTAGAGAAGATGCTTCCCAAGTTCAACATGGCGAAAGCTAAACATGTGAATACTCCATTGACTGCTCATTTTTTACTTTCAGCAGCGTAATATACTACAGATGCGGTTAAAAAAAGTCTTCATGTTTTTTATCCCTTATGAGAGTACAGTGAGTAATCTCATGTATTTGATGGTATGCACAAGATCAGATATAACATTTGTTGTAGGTAAGGTGAGCAGTTACATGTCAAATCCAAGCAAGATGCATTGGGAAGCAGTGAAGTGAATATTTAGATATTTTAAGGGTTCTACACGACATGGCTTATTGTTTGATGTCAAAACAATGAATGCCAAGTCACTTTTGAGTTGCGTGGATGTTGATCATGAGGAAAACTTGGACAAGAAAAATTTAACAAATGAATTTGTTTTCCCTCTTATAGGTGGCTGCATTACTTGGAGATCAACTTTTCAAAAGTGTATCTCTTTCTCATCCATATAAGCTGAACATGTTGATGTTGCGACAACAAAGGAAGCAATTTAGTTGAACAAGTTTATCACTAAGATTGTGATGAAATTGGCGCACTAGGATGTTAATCTTCATTGTGATAGTCATAGTGCGCTGACAATCAAGTGAAGAATAGTAGGATGAAGCACATTGACATCAAGTATCATTTTTTCAAGAAGGTTGTGTTTAAGAACGCGCTTAAACTCATCAAGATTGATGAAGAGCTTAACCTGGTTAATGATTTTACCAAAGTGATTACTTCTGATAAGTTTTCAAGATACCGTGCAATTTTGAAGATCTTGCAGCAGTGAGTTAGATCACATGGTAGTTTCCATTTATGTAGCTTCTTTCTTACATGTTTTCAGATATGGTTTACTTCTAGTTAATACTTGTTTATAGGAAAAGCTATGATTTATTTTTACTTTCTAGAATTTTTCCGTTGAACTATATATGGATTATAGAAACTACTTATTCCAAAACTTAGGTTAAGGGAAAGTTTGTAAGGTTAAATTGTAGTTAGGTTTGGCCTTTAGTTAGAGTTTGAGATTCTTAACCCTAGGAAAAGCATGTTTAGTCACATGTACATGTGCGAGAGAAATAATGGAGAGTTGAGCTATGGCATGATGTAACATTCTTGCTTTAGTGAAGTTTTTATCTCAGCTATGGATATAGCTTCATGTGAAGTTGACCACATACATCAGTGCGTGACTTTCATTTGTAATTCTTGGAGTTTGATTCTCATACAACAGTATCACAATGAAAAGCTTGTCATACATCAACTACAAAATTTAAGTTATGTAAATTAAATCTTGTATAACCAACAAGAATGTGAATGTCACATCACAGAAAATGATTATATGCTATGACTCTATCAAACAATGAAGTATACATTGCATGATATAGCTTTCATGATAAACTGGAAAATTTTATACCACTTGAAATTCTGTCATCATTCTTCCACTACGCCAAAGTATAAAATCAAGAAAAACATTCTCTAACGAAAAGATATGTGATTGAACTTCTTCAGGGATACGGAACATAAACTGTGGTTTAGTCAAAGAAACCCGAAATGCATCCTTGAGTGCAACAACTACTACATTATATAGTAATAAACCACTTGTTCTAAGAATTAAATTAACGGAGTATTCTTGTGAATTCTTACATAAAATCATCAAAATCCTCATACAAAATTCTATGCAACATGCAATGTTGTAGTTATGGATCGCTTATACTATATACGTCTCAGCCGATGGAGTACAGGGGAGGTGTGTCTAGATTCCTTACAGCAATTTTAGCTATTATGTACCTTGCAAAGGTAAACCAATCTGACTTCACCTTCGTTGTAAACAGGCTTCAGCTTAACAACAAGAAATAGAACGTAGCAAAACAAATCTGATGCCCTGGAAAAGAATGCAAGAATCAAGGCTCGGTCAGGTAAACGCGTCGCAAGAGGAGGAGGGCTGCAGGGAGAACATGCTCAAAGCCCGGAGCGGAAGGCTTCATCAGTGCCGTGTGTCAGCGCCGGGTGGGAGGTCGACATCGAGGAGGAGAGTCGTCGATGATACGAGGAGTAGGTATCCGTCCGGAAGCGGTGCAGAATGACTCTCCCGAGCGCGCGATGGACGATTGAAGGGGCTTTGCCGTGGAGGAGTGGCAGCGCAATCTCAAGAAAAATCTCGGGTCTTCTACTATATTCTCCTGTCTTCCTTTTTGAGTTTGGGCCTTGAAGGTGAGACTCAATTGCCCCGTTTCCCGCCTTCTTGTGGTTTCCTGACGGAGCAGGATATCTGCTGTTCTGCTCACCTCGTGCTCGATTCTAGGTCTGTTTCAACGAAACTGGATAGAGTGATTGAATCTTTGTGCATTCATTCGTACTTGCTCCCTCGTGTTGGATTCCCCACCGTCGAGGAATTTTCTTAGAGCAGGAGACAGAATGTTCCGTCCCCCACCATCCTGTAGTGAAAGTCTGCGATGTTTTTTTTCTAGCTTGGGGACTTCTTTCGACATTGGGATGGCTATACTCTGAGTAGTACTTGGAAAGGCACGGTCGTGTTTGTTGCAAGTGGATTAGAAAGTGCGCAACGAGAGTAGTCAGCTCAATGTTATCAGCACGTACGCCTGACTTTGCTGGTCGTTCAGAAGGTGGCAGCCGTTTTGTGAGAAGTGCTCGTCCAGTGTTTGGCTGAATTTCGTGTTGTTTTTTTTGGGGGCCGTGTCTAGAGGAGCGGATTGTCTTCCAGTAGAGATTTGCGAGTCTGGAAGCGATGGACACCGATGCCTCTTCCGCTGCTCCGGCGAAGCCTGGACCACAGATGGATACCAAAATTTGGGCAGGATTCCACCAAAATTTTAGTCAAGTACAGTACCTGTTGGATCACAATCGACTGCTTATCAATGAAATCAATCAGAATCATGAGTCCAAAATTCCCGAAAGTCTCACTCGTAATGTTCTGCTGATTAGAGAGCTCAACAACAATATCACTAAAGTTGTTGACTTGTATGCCAGCCTCTCCGTGTCATTTGTAAAACTTTTTGATAACAATTCGTCAGAAGAAGACACTACAAGGGCCTCATCGAAAGCAGGCGAAACGATTGGAGTCATGAAACCCCCTCCTGCATCCCAAGGCATGAAGAATGTACGGTCATCTATGGACTAAGTGTTCTGCCCAATTTGTATATGCAACGTAGTTGCGTCAATCTGACTCGGTTGATTTCGGAATCTAGGCAAGAAATCGTCTTAGTCTCTGTAGCCCATGTCTACCAGGGTGGTAGGTCGATGCTGTGTAATTCCAGTACCGCAAATAAATATGTGCCGTTCTTTCTGTATAGACGAAACATCCTATAATACTCCCGAGCTTAGATATGTACGGGCAGTTGATCCCATCAGTCAGATTAGATTAGTTAGGTTTATCATTCCTACAAGAGTTGTGGCTTGAGAAACACATGTGGTGATGGCCGTTGTAGTCCGTCCTTTGTGGATGAACAATCATGTTGTATTGCAACTCTTGGGTGATCAGGTGTTTACTATTCATTTGGAAGTGAACTTAGAGACGAGTTCAGAATAATAAGGCATACTACGTGTTGGACAATGTGCACGACATGGCATGGAGTTCGCATGCAGGACACCAACATGTCTCGGTTACAGAAGTATACACTGTTGGGAGAGTTAGGACAGTCCTCCGACATCAGCCAGCGGTTCATGCTGGAATTATAGTGCTCAAGTTTAAGTTTTGCTGGTCAAGCATTATGAGCTAGAGGACTATCCAGATCCCAGGAGAATGGTACGAAAATTCTCATTCCATTATGGTGCATCACACACTATGCAGTCTTCACGTATTGGGGATAGCACTTTTATTTGGGATCATATCGTTGAGTAAACCGCTCACCCTGCGAATCTGTATTTTCTTCGTATTCCTGATCACAGTGTGCGGGAATCCTCCCACATAATCTGCCTGATGTGAACGTCTAGGATCGGTGTAAGCTTTTAATTTGAATTCGTAATCAACGGCATGCGGTTGTGTCATTCTTTTCACATGGTTTACATGGTTTGTATGAAATGTGCTTTCGACTAGACAGAGGACTGTAGTGTTAACTGAGATGCCATCCTTTTTGGTTGAGCCAATTGAGTATCGACTAATGCTGTGTGGACAGTTTAGATGTCGTGCAAATGTTTAGTAGGGGATTTCTCGTTCATGTAAGTTCAACATGTATGATCGGACTTCTCAATAAGTTGCCGATATTTATTAGTGACGATGCATTGTATCCCGGTTGACAGTATCAGCGTGCTATGTTTGGAATTCACAAACTGAAAGGAAACATCAAGTATCAAATTTCCGTTTCTGAGTTCGCAACAAACTCGACTACACAAAAGATTGAAGTGAATGCTTTATCCATGCAAACAAACGTCAGTTGTGTGTCACATCTTGTTAATATCAATCAAATTGTGAAGTAATGCTCACTCGAGTGAAGATGACTTTTAATTCATGGTTTGCAACTAATGAGTTGTTGAAAAAATAAATTCTAAATTCTTTTTGCAACATAGGGATAGTGAAGTTGGGGTATTTCTTGCAATAGATTACATGATTTTGATGGCAAGTAAGTGAGTATGAGATCAATTTACAAAGAGATATCTACAATTCAAAAAACAATTAGAGACTTTTAGCAATATGGTATTCTAGATCTACTATTGATCTCAAGTATTTGATTGTTTTTCTCAAAAGTTTTTTTTTTGGTTGCGTCAACTGCACATTGTGAAGTAATAGTTAGTTTATTTTTTGAATCTGCACATTGTGAAGTAATAGTTAGTTTATTTTTTGAATCATAGGCGATGATTCAACTTAGAAAATTAACAAATGGTAAATTAGAGTATTTGGATTTGAATTTTTTAAGTGGAGGGAAGAGATAGTTCCGCGCTTATTCAATTAAGTGTTAGATAATAATGTTATGCATGGTTTTATTTATTTTTTTGATCTCTAATGAAGATTGATCAGATTCACAAGTCAAGAAATATATTGTGACAAACTATCGGACTATCAGGTTGAGAGTGTTTTAGCCAAGTTGTTTGGCGAATTGGTGGAGTCAAAGTTGAATACATGGATTGAATCTCACCGAAAGAAAACGCGGTTCCAATCAGATTTTCTTCCTACATACAACATTATTGAACATATCTTGTTCTTGCGTGTTTTATGGGAGAAATCTAAAGGCAATGAAAAAACTTTGTTTTGCGCATTCGTCGAATTTAAGATAGTTTTTGATATTTTTGAACTCGTGAGCTCTTATGGGAAAAGTTGCAAGCCATTGAAGTACCACCAGATCTTCTAACCGTTGTGGTCAGGTTATACCATTCTGTTCGAACCAATATCAATCCTTCTCAAATTGAAGAGGTTTTGGATAACATTTGAGTGATTTAAGGTTGTACTTTCTCTCTTATTCTATTTAGAGTTTTCATAGATGATATAGAAGAGTGGTTGGAGTCAGATCTTCTAACCGTTGTGGTCAAGTTATACTATTCTGTTCGAACCAAGATCAATCCTTCTCAAATTGAAGAGGTTTTGGATAACATTTGAGTGATTCAAGGTTGTACTTTCTCTCTTATTCTATTTAGAGTTTTCAAAGATGATGTAGAAAAGTGGTTGGAGTCATGTGATAGTGAAGGGGTCAAGTTTTGGAAATGTTGTTATCACCTCTCACTTGTATGCAGATGATATCATACTAAAGCACATGATGTCATTAGTTTACAGAAACTCATATACACTTTAGCTAGTTTTTGTACCTAGAATTAGATGGAGATAAATACGGATAAATCTAAAGTCATGATAGTGTACACTAGATCCAAGTTCTCCTTCTATTACAAAAAAATACATTTATAAAATGAAGAGTTGAAAATATCTAGTGATTAATTTTTCTAATGATTATAGTTTAGCACTTTGCGTGCAAAAGAGAGTAAAAAGTGATTACAAAGTTCTATATTCATTGTTAAATCGGTATAGAAGACTCATCTAATGTCTTGGATTCTTAGTAAATTTTTATTCAGAAGTTTAATATTGCCAATAGTATTATATAGAACACAACTGTGTGACCCTGATTGTAAGAAAACAGAATATATTTTACAAGAAAAATTGAATGTAAAAAACCAAACTCCATATGCTATTCTTCTTATAAAAACAGTTTGTTTATCTCTAGAGACTAAAGCTCTATACTTGGCCGTCATTTACATTAAAAAGTTGAGATCTCTCGATGTTTATCGCGTTACTCTTCAAACTTTGCATGCCATATGTACCAAAAGATGATTAGCAGATGTGGTAACTTGTTCTTTCAGGTGGAATATAGCTAAGCGCGATTGGGACCTGCAACATATGACACTTCGCGAACGTTTAAGGTAGATGTTTCTGAACATTATTTGGAACTAGCTAAACACTAGGATGCAATTTTATAAACATCATTGAATTCTATGCTTGTTAATTGTGAAAAGAAATATCTACTTGCAGGAATCTCTCTATATTTAAGGCATATTATTGTTAAATATAGAACTGGATCTCATAAGTTTGGAATTGAAAAAATACTTTTAATTTATAAAAATAAATTTATTTGTATGCATGTATTTGTTGCTTGTTATTGTTATAGGTATGAAAGCATTAAACTTGTTCATAATACAAATGTGAAAATTTTGTCTTTTTATTAGAGTTCATTTCTCTTGATTGTAAGATGTTATATTACAGAAATCATTAACACTGTCTAAAGATTAATTTTTGAATTCTTTTCATTTGTTAGGGATTTTTTGCTTGTATTGTGTTTTTCAATTTTTTGGGTACGAGGGCTTGATATGGAAGAGAGATTTGTTGTGGGTCTTAGTAGACAAAACCGACTACCCACCAACATGAACGAGGATGAAACAAAGTTCATTACGAGGGCCCTGCTTTCGGAAGTTTACATACATGCGCACAGGAAGTCACAGTAACAGTGGAAAATATGTTTCTAATGTCTGTCTTCCCCGGCGTTCTTACTCACATGTCTGATCCTCCTGTTCCTCGGATGTATCTTAGGAGCAAATAGGGATTGTGGACCAAGCGAGGAATAGAAACATGGTGGGCTATAAAGGTATCTGTGCCATGAACTCTCTACATCAGCGACAATCAGAAGTCAAGTCTCACTTAAGTAATGAGATGGTATTATGTCTCATCATTTGTGCGCTTGAAACTGACGCGATCATCACTTTCGTGGTGCACACTCCCTTATGATTCACACGTTCTGCACTCCTAAAGCAATTACTCGACGATACGCACACTCTAATCTAGCACCTATCTGTCATCCAGCTTCTTTCTACAAGAGTAATACATTTGGTTCTCGGTATCGCCTCTTAACTTCGACATTTGACCATCGTGATAATTCAAATAGATGAGTCTACCGTCCGGCCAAGGTTGTAATATAATCCTCAAGCTTTTTCAGGGTGTTACCCTCCCTATTCTGACGAGGTTTAGCGAGATACAGAACACCTTCCCGCCTTCCCTGTGTCCGATGGCATCCGACCGTACTAACTCCAGCAGATCGGTCGTTTTCATTGAATTCTAGCCAATTCTATTCAAAGGGTGACACAGTTCAAAGGTGAAAGAGTAACGACCATGACATTGCTCGTATAAATATCCATGATTCAAAGCCAAATGTGTATGGAACCATTTCATTCATTTACTTTACCATCATTTGCCAGTTTAGAAAATAAGTCTTCATGTCAAATCTCCATAAGGTTCTATCCGCAAGGAACGTCATTCTTCCAGAAATCTATTAGCAACTTCAACTATGCTTCAATTTCAGTTACAACTACAGAAGATATTTGATCAATGGAACATGAAACTAGGAAAACAAAGCGACCCCACTGGAAACGCATCGTTGAATAATCACATATCTCACGAAACAGACCCATCACAATAAGACACAGGTGAACTTCCAGCCAATAGTTACAAGAAGCGAATAGAATGGTAAGCGCTTTGTTTAGGTCGAGGCCAAATTGGAAACAATCGTCTTCAAAGACTCGAGAGGCATGGATGAAAGAAAATTGACAGCCTCAAAACACTCGATTTTTCTTGCGTTGACAACGACAGGTAAGGTGGGATTTATCCCACCTTACCTTATCTGGTTCGATCTGGACCTCATCTCGTAATGATCTAGCGTTTCATAAAGGACCGAGGGCGTTGTCATCCACCAGACCTGAAATGAGATGAGGATAGAGTGATATTTGGTGCTGAAAGACATCTTGCGAAGCCCGAAAACTGCCAACAAATGTTCATAAAAAATATCCTACATCTACGGCCACAAGACCACTACAAGTACATTCAAGGTTCCATTCGAGAAAAGAGTGTGACAAAGGAGAACCTTCATTGGTGCTTAATACACGGAGCTCAGTATACTCGCAGTTCAGTACCGGAGGAACATTGAGCTCAAAACTTTACACATTCAGCTCAGATCAGTCTCAGACTAAACCACTCCAGAAGGAAGTCGAACCATCAACTGGCCATCGTACACACTGTCAACAGACCACAATAGTATTCGGTTAGGTCGATCTACTGACAATTACGCAAGAAATGACAATGTGAAATGAAATCCAAGGCCTTAGATATCCCCCAAAAAATAAAAACTCTACTATATACTCTTTTGCTTGAATATCTGTATACACTCAAAAGGCTGCATCATTGATCTTCCCTATTTTTCCCAGTATCAGTACATCCTCGGTCTCAAAAGCCCATTCCCGCACGAGAAAGATAGTCATCCTGTAAATACCGTAATTTCAATACCCTAAGACAAGACGTTGGCAATATTGAGCCCTGCGTTCCGTCTTGCATTAGAAACTTCAGCAATGTCTTACCTTTTGACATAGTAGTAACAGAAGTCGGCCAGAATGAACGTTTGCACAATTTCAGACAGCAAGACCATCGATGGCCACAATCCATATCCGAGCGCGCTGAACAAAAAGCTCCGGCTATCCAGCATCTGAAAGAAAATAAACCCGTGCGGTGAGAATTATTCTAAGTTAAAGCTACCTATGAGACAAGCGAAGCTTTCCTAATCGGAAATGTCTCAAGTCAACTCCTCAATTCGTCCGTATATACTAATAGCCGCGAGAACAAAGTCTGAAATAAAAACAACACACCACCATATGTAGGAACAAAAATTCAAGAGTCTACAACTACATATCATTCACGAGTCTCTAACTACAAAATTTTGACAGACCTGTAGCACCCAGTGTGCGCAGCTGAGAAAGCGGGCAATTCCCAAGGCAAAGACGTAGTGTGCTGTAAATGGTTCTACCACCTGACAGCACCGAATCACAAGATAAATCACAGATATCATCCTACTCAAGATTGAAGCAAAAAATACTCTTCGACATTCCACTTAATCGTATGTTATTGTAATTCTCATTAGTATGTGCTTGTCATTACCTAAAGACCACCAGTTTTGTGGTCGTTAGACGAAACAAACTTGAGACCAAAGATGATCTCTCTAGTGCTTGGAAGTCAAGCAGTCAGGCCACAATAATTATGTTTGTATAAAATATTAACGAAGTGTGGCAGGACTATTTACAAAGGTCATGAATTCTACCGTCCGCAAGTTCCCAATGGTTCTATGATGTGTACAGACCTCAGTAGGATGAGAAGACTCTAGTCCTATCTCATAGAGCACTTCGTTACAGCATCCTATAATAGCCCGCTCACTGATAAAGGATTTCAAACATTTCAAAACTCATATGATTGAGTGCTTGAGATGCCACGAATCTTAGCACTTGATTCGCTGGTTTTTACCAGGCAGTGATCTCAGATTTGAAAATTACTCTTAAAATCTCAATACAGAATCATCGTACAACTCATATAGAGGTTCTACTACAGCCCATACCCTCAAGCATTGAAGCTAGCCAGGTCGTTGTAGGTGCAAGCTTCGCAACAGTCTGTACTGTAGACTACCCTTACAGTAGGCAACGAGGATACCCGGTTCGAGGACAAAAATCGCATACACAACCTACACTGAGTAGCTATGACATGTGAAAGAATTTAAAAAAAGAGGTGCAAGATGGTTGTCACCTTTGTGTTTTGCATCACTCTAAGCTGTGGTAGGACTGAAACGGCCTCCAAATACACACAGAAGGCCCAGAAAATTCGGTTCACAATGTGGTGAGAAGTCTTTGGATGGACAATGAGGGCCAGTAGAGCGCATGGAATGAGCTGCATACATCCCGAACAAGTACAGAAGTCAGCATCAGATCAATGACATTCTCTACAACTCACACCGTAACTTGCATGCAGAAAGAACATATTAACACACAAGCTCGTAAATAGGTGGGAAATAACAGACAGCAAAGATTGTGAAAACACATATAAGGCCTTGCAAATAACCTAAATAGCAGCGTGGGAATTTGCTAATATTACTTGTCGCTCGACGCAGAATGTGTTCAAATCGATAAGCGTACCACATAATAAATAGGAAGATTATCCATTTCGGCCAAGTGAGTCGACTTCAGTTTAAATCGAATCGTGTAAATGACCCACAGAGTGGTTATCAGGGTCATTGAATCAAGAATTGTATGGATGTCATACTCCATAACCACACTACAATAGAGTCTCACGGCCAAAAATATTGCTGTCAGCTCTTGTGACTTCAAAGACAAGCCTGCCAAAATCATGCACACAAAAGGGTCATCCATCTGGCTGGTTTCTGATGAAGATATACGACGACGGTACATAGCAACACGTACGTGGTTTATTCTGGCTGCTACCAAAGATAATAAAGCCATTTGACTCTGCCCATATTTTCCGTCACATGGGCACATATGGCAAGTAGGCATTTCGAACTGCCCACCAATTCAGAAAAGCAGGCGAAAACGGCGATCAGTACTCGGTCGAATTTGAACGAAGGAACAATTAAATTCTTGAAAAAAGACAGTCTAAAGAGGTAGATTTGTGAACGATACCGGGATGAGTGAACTTCCAAAATGACATCAACGAGGAATTCGTCCTGAGCATCGGTATTTGACGCTCACATTTCCGTAAGGAAAGACTTGTATGACAAACTACACTTGCATCAAAGAAGAGAACAGATAGGTCAAAGAGAGTAACTCGAAGGCAAACCTGCACAAGTCTTCTCTTTGGTGAACTTGTAAATCAGAACCAAAATACCGATGGCGTGGACACTCTCGGCCGCCACAAACAAGTTGTCATGGTCTTGAACAACAAGTCTCAGGAGGATCAAACTCAAAATTCCGGCAGCCACCCCTAATGCCACCTTAATCTTAGGAGGCTGTTTCTTCACCCAATGTACAACCCCTTGCAGAGGATTTTTTTGCTTCCGGACCGGACCCATTCTGTCCTGGTAGTGGAGAGTGCCCTGGAGCGAGAAGTATATGAAACAGGACTCAGCCTCGGCACACAAAAATAACACCTACGCGGAAATCAAAATACCATCCTTATGAAACAAGCATGAACATCGTCTCTTTCCCCTCATTCCACTACCCCAGACCTGGATCGTCCCATAGAGAAGAATAACTCACAAATCAGGAAGCCCGCCGATCAGAGGGCCGTCGGCTAAGACTAGCGTGAGTATGAGCGAGTCGAATTCCACAACACGCCAACCCGACCGGCTGGAATGCGAAACCGTAACGAGATGGCTCTTTCTTCCGGTCGTCCTTCCAATTTCAAACCATCGATAGCCAGATAGGTTAGAACGGTAACTGACCTCTTCGACCCCAGAGCGGAAGGGAATGGAACCGGGAGCCGAGTGCGGCTACAATTGCTACTGTACTGCTTGTTCCCCTACCACGACAGCCCAACAAATGCACGCTCGCGCCGTCCGGATCAGGCAGACAAAGAACCCGTGGACTCGAAGACGATGATAGCTACGACCGACGCGAAACTCGGCCGGAATCGAATCGAATCAATCAAGCACAGGGGAAATTGAAGACGATAATGCTGGCCTGCCCACCCGCACTCCAGTCCACTGCTCCTTCCTCTGTCAGTCGGTCTACCGATCTCTACCCACCGGCTCCGGCTCGTCCTCCCTCCTCTCCTCCCTGTCTTCGCTTCTTTCTGCTGCCACTCTTTGGACGATCGGCCACCCGAAACAAACTCAATGAGTGAAAGGGAAGACGGCGACGAAGAAAGAGAAGAAATCGCAAGCGACCACCGACTCGCCCAAATTTCTCAACAAACTGTCCTCCAATTTCCGCCGCACTCAAATCACTGTCACAGGCGAACACGAAGGCGGGCTCGCACACCTACTAAACTAGAAGACCCTGGATACCGACACGGCGGCAGCAGCGCAGGAACATGGAACCGAGGGAGGGAGGGAGGGAGGGCGGGGAGGTGAGCCAGCGCAGGGAGCTTTGGCTGCTGGCCAACCGTGGCTCGACACGTCGGACGAGAGTGTCTGCAGGCTGCGCGGACTGGCCATCGCTTTGCCGATCTACGTGGTCGAGCGGAGCCGAATCGCCCCCGTAGTCAGCCGTTGTCGTGACTGGATATCGACCTACTGTTCTGTAGAGCGGCCCCTTGTCGCCTGCCAACTGCGCGTGTTCTGCGTTCTTAACTCTACTGTGGTCTTCGCGGTGATGTCACCGTCAAGTCAAAGCAAGTCAAGTCGGCCAACGGGGTGGGTCACACGATGACCATGCACCTCTCATAGACTGCGCAAGATTTCGGGATCTCACCGCACCGTCGTCCTGCCAATTCCTTTCTTCGTTTCAAGACCGACCCGTTTCCCAGTATTATTGCGTGTTATATGTCATTCGACCCAGATTTCTATAAGATGCTTTCAAATCCGGATTTATCATTACATGTTTAAATTAATCATGGAATTTGAGAACTGCTGTACAACCGTTTGAATTGTCTATATGATTTCCAAAATACTAACTAAAATGATAAATAGATCAAGTGTGGTACCCAAAGGGTTAAAAAGTTGAAAAACACAATACAAACAATCCAACATCAAGTTACGAGAGAATCAAAAGAACCCCTAACTAATGCCAAGAGCACTAGAAGGTTAACCAATAACGTACATGATGTAACAACCTAAATCATAAGGTTCAAGGTTAAGCAAAGAATATAAATTTTCAACAACAATTATATGAGACATTCTAATCTCTATATATTTAATACAAATAAGAAACACATGCTCTTCATACTCAACATTTCTCCCATCGTTTACAAATCCGTTCACTTGTATCAATATTCCTTCGACGTAGTTTTACAGGAACTGCATCAATTCATGCTCAGTATGTAAAACAGATTCAAGAAAGGGATTAATAGACGTGAAAATCCCAACTACAGGTTCTTACTCAATTTCAAACCTATGAGATATTGTTCCTATTCCTGACAATAATATGTCACAAAGATGTAAGTATCTTTGCAACAATGTATCATTGATCACAAGCATAGGATTCACATGAAATTGATAAAATTGCATCTTTGAGAATTCAAATGATGTTGAGAAATTACTCTTATAGACGTTCGCGGATCACCATAGGTTGCAAGTTCCACATTCCACCTCAAAGAACAAACCATGACATCCGCTAACATGCCACGCAAAGCATAAAAAGTAAGTCAAGAAGCATCAAGAGATTTCACTTTTTTTATATAAGTGATGATCAAGTAGAGAACTTCAGCTTCTACTTGAGTTCGATAACATGTTCCGCAATAAGACTAGCATAAGAAGTTTGATTCCTTACACCTAATTCTTCTTGCAAGAAGATCTTTTGCACCCTCATCACATGCTCCCAACCTGTTTTCTTATAGCCAAGATCTCACACTTGTGTCTCGTATAAAACCATCGGCAACACTAAGTTACTAAATAAAAATTTCCTAAGACTTTAAGACACTAGATGAGCTCTTCTACATTGGTTTAACATTGAATATAGAGTTTTGTAACCATATTATACTATCTTTTGCATACAAAGTGCTCAACTATAATTGTGGGAAAATTTGATGTCTAAATATTTGTAACTCTTCCCTTGTTCCAATTGTAATACTTTATAAAAGAGATAAAACTTGGATCTAGTGCTCACAAGAATTACTTTTGACTTTTCTAAATTTACTTCCATCTGATTTTGAGTACAAAAACTAGCCAAAATATCAAAGTGCATTTGTTAACTAATTGCACCTTGTGTTAGTAATATGATATTTTTTACATACAAAAGAACTTTGATGACAAAGTCTCAAAGTTTAACTCTTTCACTCTCACAATCATCCAACCATTTTTTTATATCATCTATGAAAATTCCAAATAGAGTATGAGAAATAGTACAACCTTGAATAACTTCAATGGTGCTCAATGCTACGTGACATAAAATGTACGGATTATTTGAAATAAATATTTAAGATTTGCATAATGATTTTATCAATTGAATTCATTTGTAAATGACATTTATCATTTCAATATTGCTGTTAATAGCTGATGATACATGTGTGTACTTGTTAGAATGATAAGCATTCTACTTAAGCTTAATTTGAAACCATCTTTGATTTCTACTTTGTTGTTCAGTGATATTGCAACACATGTTTGATATCAACATCTTTGTACATAGAATTTCAACTCCTGCTTGAACATTGCATCTAATAAATACCAAACATGTAGAGTAATTAATGTAATATATGTAGTGTTATATATAAGACACTCACAACTATGGCTAATATCATAACAAACAAAATATGTTATAATTGAGCATCATCATTTTGTACATTTAAGACGGTAGATTCATGCATTATCCATCATAGCCACTATGTGAAAGTAAAAATAAAATTTCAACATTCAAAAGTTCAAATTAAACTTCTTCCTTAAAAACTAATTATCTAAATGACATTTTTGACCCAAATGTTATGCATATTTTATTCAAATTGTTGCAATTACTCTTGGAGGGGTGCATTTAACTAATTATGAAGTCTACTACATAAGTTGTGATAAATATCTTGCATATTCACATCGCAACATACATTGACATTACATCAAACATCGCATTACATGTCATGTCTTGTAGAAAAAGACATGACAACAATTGTCACTTAGGTTCGTCTAATACTAGGTGGGCATGTAGTTATTAGCAAAGATATGCCATTTCTTAAGTTACTTAGTTAATTAATATTATGTATAAACATGTGTTCATACGGTAAAACCAAATATACTAACTTGCATTCATTTCAGGTAAGGTAATATCTACATATGATCGGCAACAACCAAGTTATTGTTGCATATTGATTAGTTTGTAGTTATAGATACTATGGTTGACATTGTTTAAGGTATTGTTTAAGGGGTTGGATTAACCGTGTTTATCCTACTGAGTGGGCAGATGCAGTAACCAAGGTTTTCAAGCTAAAAAGTCTGCATGTAGTTCATCCCATATATGTTCTAGTTTTTAAATCACATATCACGCGTTCCAAACGTCATTGAGAGAATGCACGCAAGCTTATCTTACTAAACAACGAAGCGTATCATTTTCTTTACCTGATTGTTTATCCTTTTTATATTCTAGTCTATGATTATCCAATGATATTTATAGAAGACTGAATGGTTGAATGTAGAGGAGACTAATAATCCATGGACAAGTTGATGGTTCTATTTTTCTTGCTCAAAATACTTAGATCTTTTCCGAAAGTTCACCGGTTTAGAGAACATACTCTTCCAAGTGGGTTTATAACAGAACACAAAGAAAATTAATCAGATAAATGCTCTGAGATGAGGTCACAAGGAGGCCTAGCTCCTAATCAACCGTTTCGTCCTTGTGCTTGTTAATGGAGTCTTCCCATCATTTCATGTAAGTTGCTACTTGGCTCCCCTTTCACATCGAAGACGAAAAGAAATGTGCATTCTGTCCGAGAGATTTCGAGGAACGGCTGGAGAATCGATCGATGCGATTTGGGTCTGCGCTTCCGGGCCGCTGCACCCGCAGGAGGGTTAGCAGCACTGAATGGAGAGAGTGACTGAAACGGAGTGGCCCAACCTTTGCTAGCCCTACACAGTTGTGGAGCTCTTGTCGGATTCGGTCTTTGGGGTTTTGGGTTTTTGGTGTTTTTGACAGGTTGGGACTGGTCTCGGCGCTGCTGGAGCGATAGCCGTGTGAAGGTGGACCATCATGGAAGTGCAAGAGAGAGTGCAGGCAGCGGCGTTATCTCCACTTTTGAATCAAATAGTTGTGAGTGGCCTCCGTGTACTTGTTTAAAAGCTTGTCGCTCTTTGACAGATGTGGTCGCTCGTATGAAATCAGCTCATGTTTGTTTGGTGTGTGGATCATTGCTCTTTTGTCACACCTCACTTTCCTGCTGTTCTTTTCTCGTAAGGAATTTTGTGACATCTCTCTTCCTTTCAAATTACGACACAGCTGCCGAATGCTGAATAGGAATTGGTTTTCCCTCTCGACTATTATCATGTGGACTTGCATATTTTTGTAGGCACCAGGTGATGTCGTACTTGATTTGACAAAAGCCGGGAAAGTCGTTCGTCTTGGTGGTGGCTTGCGTCAGGTTGGTTTACCTCACTCTGGAAAGGCAGGAACAGAAATTCCTGCCCTTCCAGAATGCACTGAATTCATCTGTTTTGTTCTCGGAACTTTTACAAATTCAGCGTCGCAGGTGAAGAAAAAGTTCCAATTTGTCTAGAATGTAAGCATTTCTTGTGCTCATGTGGATGTCCTTTTGGGACCTCTGGAATCCAGGATGGTGACAGCATTGTCGTAACCCGCGCCGGAAGACTGAGGCACACGAAACCTAACAAGTACTGGGTGGAGGGATCACAGAAAAGGGTAATCGAAGAGATATTGAGGTGTAGAATCTCGTGGGACATATGCTCGTACTCTGTCTGGAAATCGTTTTACCGATCAGGCAGATTTTTTTTCGTGTTCTAAGGAACTCCTGCTTGAATCTTGATACAAAATTCTTGTGTGGAAGAAGGTCGTATCTCTCCGTGTGAAGTTAATATATTGGGCCTCAGAAAGTAGAATAATATACTGCAAAAGTTGAAACTTTTCTTGTTCAAATTTAGTCGAGTTTTTCGAACTTTGTACCGGTTTCGTCAAGGCTTGATAACTAGCAAGAATTCTGGATATTACTGCTGCTTTTCATTTATTTGAAACTGACTGGACTTGTGATGGCAGTATGTTCCCAATTTGGAGGATGGTGTGATCGGTATAGTAACTGACCGGCGATTTGAGGTAGGTTTTATACCGAGGTTTTTGCTTGTCAGACCGACAACTACCGATAATTTTAGTACTAAAGTATCCAAAGAACGAGATACCAGAAAGTTGAGCCTCCATTAGATTAGGTTCACTAATTTGTTTTTGAAAACGCCTCTATTACTTTCTCCGACGTCGGAAGGAAGAGTCAGCATTGAGCATTTTGCATTGATTGCAGGCCTTTTCATTGGATATTGGTGCACCAACTTTTGCTACCCTGCCCATACTGGCGTTTGAAGGAGCCACGAGGCGTAACGCCCCAAATCTTCAGGCAGGTAGTTGTCTGGAGTTTTAGATCAGAATGTTACACAGTTTCCTGGACGTATTCCCTTTTTGTTGATCCTATGTGAGGCAATAAGCATTGTCAACATAATAGAACAATAGCGTGTGGTATATGATTATCACTAGCAGCAGCAGGCTCGCAATTTTAACCTGTGATCCGTTCTTTCGTCACAGCCCGGAGCTGCTGTTTATGCACGAGTCGTGAAGTGTCACCGTGATGTTCAGCCTGAGCTCTCATGCATGGACGGTAAGTCAGTTTAACAGTCATGAACTGTACATATTTTTCCATTCGTTATTTGTTTATTCGTTAAATTCTTTTTTACATGGTTTGGTCTTCGTTACTGTGCAGTTAGCAACAAATCGTCGGGGTTCGGCCCTTTGAAAAATGGATACATCTTTGACTGCTCAACAGGTCTTGCAAGATCGTGAGTTCCTAAAGCTCTTTGTGTCACTCACCTAGCATCATAACACATTTGTTCAGCCGTATAAACAAGCTGACTAGGACTCTGTAATTGTTTCAATTGGTCCTTGACTTTGAACTGGGGAGTAGAGCACGCTGATGTGATCCTTTTTTGTATCCAGGCTGTTGAGCAAACCAATGTGCCCCGTTTTGGAAGCTCTGGGAAAGCGTCTATCATATGAGATTGCAGTCGGTCTCAACGGTCGCGTTTGGGTGAGCATTTGACTTGCTGCAGTTTTCCTTTGGCAGTTAAAGGTCATATGCATCCATGGCTCCATTCTATGTCAGCGATTAAGAAATGACGAGCTCTTTGCTCTAGCAATAATGCAGTACCTGTATGTTGGGTTCCGTAGGTGAACGCCGAAGAACCCTCAACCATTGTTGCTGTCAGCAATGCGATTTTGGCCGCAGAGTTTCTGACTCCAGCTCAACAGCATATAATGGTTGCACGAATTATGGTAACCATGCAATAGTATGTTGGGGACGAAGATCCTTTCTCTCAATTTGCTCTCGATCCGAAGTGATTCGAAATATAGCTGTTTTCTTGTATCATATGGATTCACAATTGTTCCACAACGGTGCTTTCTATGTTGGCTTAAGTGTATTTCAGCTGAGTCAATAGATGAATATCATTCACGCTGTCGGTCTTCGAAACACTTCTTTATGTTCTATCCGCAAATTCCATGTGAGTGGTTCTTGATCATTTTCTTGATTGGTTACGTTGGATGCATCTGAGAAACATCGGTTATTGTACGTTTGGTGCAAGGTTTATCTGTCGTAGGTAATATCCGTGCTCCAAACGCAAACGTGATATACGTGAAACCACATATGTTTGTATGTCCAGGTATATCCCAAATATCCTGGAAACAGTTTTAGAGTAATTCAAAAGGCTGGGCCGAAGGGTTTGGTCCTCTTTGGTTCTCTTCAAGCGGTGGCTTTTGTGAAGTATAGCTGTTGTAGAGTTGAGAGTACGAGGAGGGCTTTCTTAGAGCCATAGCGTTATGTGTATACATCAAGAGAAATTACATCTTGAGCCATGTTTATACTTACTGTGCATTTACATAGAAGTCGATATATGTACCAAAAGAAGCCGTGCATGTGTGTCTGAGTCTGAGCATATCCTTCCCGACTAGAAGCCAACCATACATCCGCTGCAGATTGCTTATTACATTACGAATAGATGCAGACAGATACCAGCAGTAGAAGCCCCAGCCGTATTGTGTCCTGGCAAAGTAAGAGTCGTGATAAGGAAGCGATTGAAGAGTTGTAATAAATTCTTACGAGTAAATTTAAAGTTCAAACATCATAACTTTTAACGTTAAGAATATCTAATTTAGTTAAACAGGTCCGGCAACAGTTCAAAATTTTTCGTGTTTGTTGAAGGGGACCACGAATAATTTCGTTTGAGCGCTTGGACATACTATTGATGAGATGTTAGACTACAATCTTTGTAGTTTGTAGTCCAACTAAACTTTGTCATGAGTATGAAACATCTCTGTGTCAACGAAACCATCAAGCGTATGACGGAATCTTGATATGGAAAATATATTACTGTATTCCAAAATAATATTCTTCAAAAAATTCTTGATAAAGATTTAATTTCTATTGAGATTGTTCGAAAATTTATGTACGAATTTAACATGTTTAAAGTATATGTTCTCTTGTTTACATCTTTTTTTTAAAAATGTTTACGTTAAGTATAAATGATATACATGAAGAGAATCTTGAGGATACTCTAAAATTAATCTAAAAGCAATAAATAACCTAACCACAAAATATAGGAAATCACTTGCATATCATGTATCAATGCACTGTAAGATAAGATGTGCATTAAGAAATAGAATGTTGATTATATACTTATCTTATCTTTTGTATATAGTTCGAGGGTAATTTTAAAACAGATACCTAATAAGAAATATTTTAGATGTATATAAAATTTTATGTATGTATATATATATATATATATATATATATATCATTTGAAAATCAATTTACGCAGTTGACTTAGAAACTTGAAATTTGTACAAAGAATATACATGTTTAAGTTTATATTATACTTAATAACTTGATACTTATTGAAGCTTTCAAATGATTACTGACACAACAAATTTTTGAGTTCACATTGATTAATGCTTATTAATAAATGTGATACATAAATCAATTATGATTCACATCCAAATAAAATTTTAGAGAAGATGGATCCACAGTATTAATGTATAATTAGATTTCTTGATGGAAAAACTTATTTTACAAGACAGTAGTTGTGATTAGTAAACAAGCGAATATATTTAAAAGCAAGCGTTTTAAAATTTTTAAAGATGAAAATCAATACTTAAAGTCTATAAATTCCACTTATTGATCTTAAAATGAGAAATCTTAATTGCATATGATTTAGATGTTTTGTAAACATGGTTATAAGAATCATCATGATGATTTGCAAATTACCGATGCATACTTTCCATCCGAAATAAGAGGATGATTCAAATTATAAACAGGTTGACAAACCATGCATGCTGGTCGACATCCAAACGCAAAATTTAAATCAAATAAAATGCTCCACAACAGAAAGGTATAAATTTCTAATTTGAATAAGAAAAACATCCATTACGTTATTTTAAATCTTGTAACGCATTAGACTTTATTAACAATAACAATTTAGTACATTTTATCTCAGATTAAATGGATATATAATTTTGTGGCATGAGATCCTCCAAAAAAAATTATATGTACATCACGTTTTCGAAATGTAGCAAAGACACGAGAATGTCTTACTACGTCGGTGCTTTATTACTTCTTGACGTCTAGTCAAGTTTAGGTGATATTAAGCTTGTGAAGATATTATGAAGGTAGAAAAAATAAAAGTAAGTATTGATCCAGGAGGATTTGAAGTCTTTGAGGAAAACCATACAGGTATTAGCTAAAAATCTAGATAAGAAATATGTGAATATGTTTTGAAATAAAAAGAGTAACTTCACAAGTTCGTCACCGAAATCTGTCAAAATTCAAACAAATGATTATGTTTTTACTTTGGTTCACACATAACGCACGTTAAAAAAATTAAACGGAAAATGATTCCTACAAAATTTTTAATACATGCATTAAAATTATGTTTTTATGCAAACTATCCTGAAAACATAATTAAAAATCAATAAAATATATACGTAACTATGTTGGTTTACAAAATGAAATGTTATAATCGAAGAGTGTTTTGAGTTAATGAACTCGTATATGAAGGCCTAAAAACTACTATCAATGGACTTGTTAGCACATATGATGCAAACAAATTTTCCTCCATATTCATGTAGAAAAAACTTTTGGACCTTATATATACGCCCTTCGCGGCAAATTGTATTATGCAGGAGATGTATCCCGAGTGCTACCACTGGTGTGAAATTTAGGGTTGCAAGGAAAGGGATCCATTCTTTGGATGGACGGGACGTGACTCGACATTATTCCAGGGCAAGAGTTCAAGTGACGGCGCCAAGATCACGAGAAAGAAGCACAGCTTTGAACCTTTGGCAAGAACTGCTCTTCGGAAAACCTCCACTCCTCAATTTAGTTTTTCTTGGGCACAATCGAGAAGCTGGGATTTCGGCTTCTCGTTTGTGGTTTGCCCGGGCTTGTTACTTTTATACTCGCGAGATTGTTGGGACATTCATGTACACACGGATGTTGTGGTTTCTAGTGTGTGTATAACCTGCCGATATTGCTTACTTTCTTGTGGGTGAAACTGCGCAACACGATGCTCGTGTTGCTCCATGGAAGAGGGGGGCCTCATGGATATAAAAACCGATGGGAGGAGCCCATCACGTCTAACAAGGAACAAAACGGTTGAAGTTGAAGAAGTCTGATTGATGTTGACATTTCACTACAATGGGCAAAAGCCCAAAGATGGCAAGGATCAAGTAGATTTGATCTCTTTCTGGAGATCTACTCTGTAACTGATCTCCGGAAAGAGCACAGAATAAAGTTTGGTGAAGGGAAAGTACGGGTCATTGTCTCTGAAGTGCACTAGCACTGCACTTCTTTCCTCATTCCAGAAGGTCGTGTTGAGAAACCGTTAAAGAATGGGTAGTGGATGGTGATCACCGTGCTTGAAGCAAGAATAAACTTCCGGAAACACGGAAAACAAAGCGTACCTCCCACCAGTATTCAGGGGAGGAGTCGAGCATGAACTCTGGACCTTTTCCTCAAGGAACATGTATCTGACCGATCAACTCGATTCAATTTTGGTAAAACATGCAAAAAGCGTATGTCTTGCAGCTCTGTATTAAGTCACATCCCATGAAGCCTGGGATTTGGACAAAGTGGAATGTCATGTCTAAAGTGTGTCGAAGAGGAGATCTGGACGAAAAAATGACTGGAATAATCCATGCATTTGAAACGCGAGGAAGAAGGACGAGGACAAGAGAAACGATCCACCCAACTGTGTAGATTTAGGTTGCCAGCGCAGCCCATACTGTTGCGTAGCTACAACAGAAGATTACCAAACTAGAGGCTTCCAGACGTCTCATCTACCAAGAGGGTTCAAAGGTGTGGACTCTATGAACATTGACATCTCCATCTACCGGTCTACGTAAAGTTTTTGTTATTCTATCATTAGGTTTTTTAACGGCACAAACTTTACTATTAGAGCAATCACGCTATCTCATCTGCTCTCTCGTGCATGTAGACAGTTCGGATTATTCAGGTCAAATGATCTAGATATCCTAGATTCAGTAAGATATATTTTCCATTGTCGGTCTACTGGGTCTAGCCCCATCCTACCCCATTGGTTTCATCCTAATCAAGCAGCATATGCTGCTTGATAGATAGCTCTTGTGCATGCAGATAGATAGTTTAAACTATCGAGGCCAAATCATTTAGATATCCAAGATGTACTAAGGCAAATATATTATGTTAGTCTATTGGGTCTAGCACTGTGCCACACGTTTCGTAACATTTATATGCCGCTTGATGGGGTTTTCCAACTTCTTTTCTATCTACTTCTTACTTCATTATATCAGTCTTGCCGGTGTTCAGGTTGCATTAAACGTGCACAACGCCAAGAGATGCACAAGCATCGCTTCCGGTTCGTGTCGGTGATTTGGATCGGTCATGATTGCGAGATACATATGATTGCATCCTGTGCAAGGTCTTGTGTTGAGAGATTGTTGCACTTCTGATCGTCCAGACCTAAACAAAAGGGACGAACGAGAACAAGGACGAGACTAAGAGTGAGGAGGACTGACCGTTGAAGCGGCGTGCCCAGTCGACTGAAGCCCCATGTGATGGCTTAAATCATCTCTTTGTCCGTTATCGACACTTGGAAAATGGAGGTGAGGAAATGAAGCCCGATGGACTGGAACTGTGGAGGAGCAACTTCACTGACAAGCAAGCGAGTTCCGGAGCCATGCGATGGTGGTGGCTCTACATACAGACGGAATGGATGCTGCGTGACGATATCTGACAACGTCTTGTAATGACTGCAGTGAGACAAAGACCTATTGATCGATGAACTGCAAGTATTAATTCGTTGACTTGATTGATCGGAAAGCGCACGAAAAGCAACTAAAGCGACCTGATTCTCATTCGCATTGCCGCAGTTGCTCTTCTGTTAAGCTCCATCCCTCCAATCCCCAGCCAGCAACCTGCCACCCTCTCTGTCTAGACTGTCTCAAAGCACAAGCCGCAGAGCTAGCCTAGCGGATCGGAGTGGACCCGGCCCAAGCCTGGCCCAAAGGAAAAAAAAGCGCAGCTCACTTGAGGACTGACTGCCATGCCATGCCTTGCCCTACCCTGACCTATCCACTTTGACAGCTCTCTCTCGAGGCCGCTTGCTAGGAGAAGTAAGTTGCTCGATCGCAGTTATGACTAACGACGAACACTATTGCAGTTTCGACTTCAGATGAACATCAACGTCACTGAGGTTCTAGCTTAGCGTGCCTTACCTTCCCTCGAGCTCAGATGGGTTCCATTGCGTTCCCCTTGCCTTGCATTGTTTGCATCGCAACGTGGGTGACGAAGTGGAGGGCGGTGGGGGCTTATATGAGATAAAAACCTGAGCATCCTGCTGAAAGAAAGAGTCGGGCTATGTTTATCGCAAGTGGGCGGGCGGGCGGGCGAGCTTTTTATGCTAGATTGGGCGGCGGTGCATGAGAGAGACAGGATTAGTTGAGCCCTTCCCCCCCCCCAAATTAAAATCGGAAATTTGTTTGAAGACATTTGCATCAAGCACCTTGCGTTCTGTGGGCGGACGATCGTTCTCGGGAAGTGAATAGCCCCCAACTAGGAAAAGAATTGTGACTAAGATTAAATTCTCAATGCTGCTGCTGCGAGGGCAGTGTGCAATGAGGGCAGCTGCGGCGTCTTCATCTGAGAAGGGCAGAGTAATTGTCATCACGGGACCTACAGGAGTTGGCAAGAGCTCCGTTGCCATTGCTTTGGCTCAGCGCTTGGGCGGCGAGATTATTAGTGCGGATTCTGTTCAGGTGACCTCCTTCGACTACCACCACATTTTTGCTCCACACTCTTGCTCCACAATCTGCAATCTTGTTTGCACTCGTAAATCTCCATCCAATTATTCTAGACGAGCTATTAAGCTGTCTTCCACGGCTCGGTACCAGTGTGGTCAACATGTGATCATTATGACATTGAAACTAGCGGGGTAGGTGTGGAACAATTCTGTCTTGCAGACGACGAGATACAGAAGCTCAAAATCAATCGTATCTATCACCTTGGAGTTTAACACACGCGTTTTTCACCCTCTCGGTAGAACTTCCGATACAGGACTGTCTCGCTGACCGGGTCTCTTGCACTGCAGGTTTATAAGGGTCTTGATGTTGGAAGCGCAAAAACACCTCCGAAGGAACGTCAGGTACTCGGGATTTTATTGCTGTGCTGGAGTTTTTCTCTGAGGCGCAAAATGCTTTTCTGAGGATAAGAACTCCTAGTGTCATCAGTAAACTGTTCATCAATATATCTTCCAAGAAACCTTTTGTCAAATCTGCATTCTTGAAGTCAAGTTTTGTTCTGAGTTCTGATATATTGGAACATAGAGAAGTTGGCGGTCTGGTGTGGTCCTTTTATTTGCTTATATTGACCTATGACTGGACCCGCACTCTTGTGCAGAATGTACCTCATCACCTCATTGACATCGTGTCCCCTACTGAAGGTGAACTTTCTCTTAAATATTGTTGATTGACGGAGCAGTATTTTCTTTGTATCCGAGTGACGTTTTGCTTTGCTTCATTCAGCAACCAGCAGTGTTCTCTCACTCTGTCATGCAGATAGAGCTAGCATACTTGTATAGTCAGTGTCTATGAGCGTTGGGTCAGGTGCAGACTCTTTCGCAGCTGAACTTGAGAAGGATTACAGAATGTCTCTGTCTTCTTGTTCTGGTTAAGCGATATAGAATTCTGAGTATCTCCAATCTTTGCAGAATACAGTGCTGGAGATTACTACGTGGATGCAAGGGCCGCGACTGATATGGTGCTTGCCAAAGGACGGATCCCTATAGTCGTCGGCGGAACGGGGCTTTACTTACGCTGGTACAGAATCAGATTTTTTCTTTTCGTCCTTTCGTTCTTGACAAGTTGAAGTGCTGTGCGCATCCAGTATTCTCAAATCAGCAGCACTCTTCGGACATAACTGTATATGCTGTCATCGACGTCTCGTCATGCTTCGGTTGACATTCTCATGGTTTGCAGTGTCTGCCAGTGGCATAGAATTTGATGAAAGTATCTCAGTCATCCGGTTGGCCAAAAGAGTGAATTTGTATCAAAGTGTTTTGATCCCCTACTTAAGAAGCTTTTTGTAAGTGTTGAAGGTTCTTGAATGGTAAGCCTGACACCCCCAAGCCCACTGCGGAACAGGCAGCTGCCATAGATGCCGAGATCGCTCAACTGCAGAGTGCCGGTGGGGGTTGGGATGCTGGTGTGAAATATCTGTCCGAAGCCGGTGATCCAGAGACTGCTCACAGACTAGCACGAAATGACTGGTACCGCCTTCGTCGATCCCTTGAAATTATTAAGGTATTAGTTTATCATGCAATTTCTATAGCTGACAGACAGGGGAATTTGCTGAGCAGTATCTGGAGGGTGACTTCTCCGTTATTTGGAGCTTTGCCTGTCTTATGAGTAAAGCTAGTCACTGCTTGAAGGACACATGTTTTTCTATGGATCTTTTCTGAATATGCAGCGTGAATATGACAGATATCCGGCCGGCCACAAAGCTCTTTCCCTCTCCCTTGGGCCAAGGACTCATCTGTTAACGGTGGGACAGACTCTTACATGGGTGCACTTGGTCCTGGTCAAACCTCTGATAGCGAGAGCATCGAGCTTGACTATGATTTTCAGTGTTATTTCATGTACACCCAACGGATGGACCTGTACCGACGCATCGATCAGCGTTGTGAGGAAATGCTTACAGGTTCTCTCCTGACTGAGTTCAAGTAGAGGAGTGGTTGGTAGAGCTGATACGCTTCATATTTTACAATCCGGAAACATGTTTTGATGTTTATTAATTTTTTTCCCTGATGGCCTTTCTCTTCGCATATGTCAGATACTGATGGACTTCTGAGAGAAGCTTCTTGGCTCCTCGATTTAGGAATTTTGCCCAATTCCAGTTCACCTTCTCGAGCTATCGGTTACCGTCAAGTAACGTCTTTTCACCTCTTTCTTGTCAGCTTCGTCTGTCCTTTTCAAGGATGTTTGGTTCAAAAGTGGTTTTTCTGGTCACCTAAGCGGGTACTAGTTATTGTGTATTAAATTCAACCCAAATGTTTGATTGTACATATATCAACTAAACGTACTATCTTAACTAGTTTTTTTTAAATTTTCTTAACAAATAAATAAACAACTATCTGCCAGTTGTTTTGAGAACCCTGAATCGGTCTTGCTGATACACAAATAAATGAATGTCGTTGGGATTTCCATTCTCTTCAACGAACAGTGATCAAACGCCTGAAAATTTTGACATGGAAGCTTTTGGGTTTGTCGCTGTGAGCTTCAAGCCTGGCTTGAGAAACTCATTACCTTGTTTTTTGATATTTGTAGACTATGGAATACTTGACCAAATGTAGGATGTCGGGAGGCGTGACGTCCGTTTCACAGTTCCTTGATTATTTACAGGGTTTTCAAAGAGCTTCAAGGTATTTAAAAGTTTGAACGGAATGAAGTTCACTTTTTTATCTACCTCCATAATTATTTATAATGTGTTGTCCATTGTATTTTTCATTCTTTGTATACGATGGCATGCCATACCATGCTTCTGTGTTGTTTGGTTCTACATTGCTTGTCAATTAGAGTGTATCAACTTATACATTGCTAGATCATCTGCGGTGGCAACTTCCGGTCTAATCTCTTTGGTTTCCTTTCGTGGTAAGGGTCGCTGTCAATCAGTGTTATTTGACTTATTCACTTGTTCATCTGAAATCCTTACTTCTTGTCAATGTGGTGACTTTCTTGACTTCTATGTCACATCTGGTTGGCTCAGGAACTATGCCAAGAGACAGCTGACATGGTTTCGAGGTGAAGACATGTTTAGGCACGTTGACGCATCGGCTCCAAGGGTAAGCACGGGTCTCCCAATTCCATAGAAATTTCTTGGAGAACTACGTTTGTGTTCAGTAAGCTCATGCCTGGAACAACATGACCTTATTACCCCTCATGTCGTTCAGAACGAAATTGTAGATTTTATGGAGCAAGAGTACTACAGTCCGTCCAAATCTTCAGTGCTATCACCTCCTTCTGAAAGTCAGCAGAAGATATCGAACCAGAAGCAATTAAGAGCTCTCAAAACATATGAAGCCCACAACAGGTACGAGTTTTAAGCTTGGACCATATCACATTCTTTTTAGTGAGTGTGATTAGTCATTTATTTTCAGTCCTAGCATCTAGTCTCGCCGTTGAGATGTCTGAGATTTCCTGGCTTGAGTAGGAGCAGGGGTCATTGAATGGATTTAGTATGAGACTGCAAATTAACTGTGAATTTTGGCTTTGTGGTCTGAAAGTCTCAGGCTTTATTTGAATTTGTGCAGTGGAATCTTACCTTTGTGTCTCTTTCAATGTAGGATATTTACAAAGCCATCAGCTTGTGCGAGCATTCTCGAATGGATTCAAAAGACTCAAGGAGGTTTTGAAGTTGTAATTTGAAGTACTTTTTAGGAAATTTTTGCCAACATGGGTCTAAGATATACTTGAAACATATGAAAACAGAAGGATTAAAACAGTCCTTCTACGCCAGTTGGTGTCATTATGAAACAATTTTGCCGGGAGCAATATTCATTCCACCTTGGAAGAATATTGTAAATAATGTACGTCGGATCATGAGGTTTGCAGTCAAGTCTAGCAGAGCAGTGTAGAACAATCTTCGAAGACAATCTATTCTCTTCACCTTTTCGGTTCCCTAGTGTCAACAGCTGTAATTGCAAGATGATGTCACTTGTGACCTGTTATAGGTCTGTTTTGTAAAGTGAGAGTGTGACTATCACTTGCGTCAAAAAAATGTCTGCAGATGATTTACCGGACTGGGCTATTTTGTAAGTCCTTGGAGAGGAGGCACGGAGAAACGAAATGCCGCAATAGTCATTTCCATATGCACAACAAAGCAATATATACCTTCTATGGATTCTTACATACGCGGCCTCTTTGCCATTTAAAATAATGCCTATCTGATCGTATCTACGATAGCACTCTTGACCTATTGTTCCTTTCCTTCTCTCGCTTTTGTGTCCTCATTTGTTGGTGACTTTGTTTTCGTAATCCCTGTGAGTCTGCAGGGGTTCTTCAGTAGATGTCTTCTGTGAGTTCCATTCTCGTCGGGTTTCCTCTCTACCTGAGCTCTCCAACACCTTAACCCAACGTTCCTATACCTTCTGATTCTTGTACAACTCTGAACTTATCTCCGAGTACGGTACTGTGCTTCTCGTGATAGAGTTCAGGCTATGGAATAGAGACCTAGATGATCTCTGCTTTGCTTTACCCTTTGCCATTGGAAGAAGGCTGGTTTGCTGAGTGTTCAGTCGTCTAATTAGGACGGGTACTTCTGACTTCAATCTTGCCAGATTAGAAATCTTGGTACGATAGCGTTGTATCCATGGAGACTTGCTATATTTTTGTTCACGTAGCCTCGTGGTTTCGTGACTGGTTCCACTGTGGCAATTGCCCCGTACTAAGTTTATGGAGAAAAGTCGGAGAGCCTTATTTCAGGCGTCTGCGGGCGAAATTTGGATTGGATGTATGTTGATTGAGGTGTAGGAAGATAAAGTACTAGCCATCAAGACGATTCAAATTTCCATATGTATCATATTTTTCACCGGATAAGAAAATCAGGTTAGTGGCAAGCTGTAAATGTGACATGGTATTCTCTGGGTCATACATAGCATATCTTTTTGCAAAAATCCCTCGTCCTCTGTTTCTTCCCCGTATGTATGGAGATCACATTCAACGGAATAGGAAATCGAGCTGCATCTGCTCCATTCCAATAACAACGAATGAGCTGTATCTTCCTTAGGTGTAAAAAATGATGCTGTTCCAGGTCGTTTAGATCAGCCTTCCATTATTACTGAACAAGGTTTTAAAAAAGTTCGTAAAAGGGAATAAAAAAAAATCAAATAGTAATTATAACGATGGAAATGTGCAAACATCTACCCATATCCATATTTTATTCATAGAATTTTGTTCATATAGTAAATTACGTTGGATGACATATGTTCTACGATTTTCACATCAGGGTCGGCAATTACAAACAATCAACTGAAATACTAATATGCTAATCTTATACCCAATAATTCGTCTAATGTCCTCTGCCCATTTGGCTAAACTTTAAATAGAGATTCTAATCACCGTCGAATCCGAAACCTATGAAAAGAGAAGTAAGAAGCTACTAGCCTCTTACTCCTATGTACATACAACTACAATGTTTGAGATTGTCTAGCTGCCAATGATGGCAAACGTTCGAGTGAAGTTTAGTGGTGAACTCAAGTGATGTCCGGGCGTGCTGAAAAGTAGATGACGAGTCCGAATCCGAATCGTTTCCCAAAGCTCACAATGCACTCTGGGCGGTCACGCGCCGAAATCCAACCTGACTCCAGGCACTACTCGGTCGAGCTCAAAAATAGACCTATCTTTAGACCCGAGTCGACCTGAATAGAAAGAATCCAGCTTAAATGGCAAAGAATTTAACATTAAAGGTCTATGTCTCGCTGGGATCAACGGTGCTTCGATCTGAAATGAAACCTTTGTCCAGAACAACAGAACTAAGTCAAGCAGAGACTGACCACGTTATTTCATAGTAGAGTGAATGAGATTTCACTCTGAAGTTGAGTCCTCAGATACGAAGGTCATATATTTTCAGCCCATGCTCAAGACAGACGGCAACTCTGACGGAGGTGCGGAAGGTTTTCGAGCTGTTGCAAAGATGGCAAGGATATCACACCCTCCGTATCTACATATTCTGCTACAACATTCCGCGCTTGCTGCAGAATAACTCCAAAGACTTTGTCCATCTAATCCAACACTTCGTGTTCATCAATAGTTTCTTCAATCCTCATTCTCTTGATTTGAACTTTAACCTGATGGTGGCGGGCATCCTCGTCGGCTTTTCTGGTGGAAATCTGAGAGGAACTTTCGTTCAGATCCCATTCTCCTTATGTACAAATCTTCCATTATTTACAAAGCCTCCCGTCTCCGCTCTTGGCCAGAGAATTCCAAATTCCACCCCTTGCAGTCAGTCGTAGAGCACTGTCGAGTGCTAATCTATCTCATCGCAATAAACGGAATGGAATGTCGAATTACCACCTTCTTATCCAAACACGGACGACTGGGACAAGCTTCATGCATCCATGCAATTGCATACTTCGGCAGACAAGGAATCCAAGATGCGGAATCTATGACAAAGAGCAAACTATTCTGTGACGCACAGCGAGTTGCGCAGCCACATCCTTAGTTCGTATTCTGCACACCTTCTGTAGTCAGTCAGGAGAAAAAGAACTGCCTGGACAATACACCGTAAAGAGTCGGTTTGCCAGTCCAGACGGGCCTGTTGCACACAAGATGCAAAGCTCGTAAGAACTTCAATACACTTCGATTCACTTCATTTGGAAGCAAACTGAATCAAACCGCTGTCACAGGTTCAAACTCTGATGACAGTTCCGATCTCAGTTCCACACATTGAACTGATCTCCTTCCGTGACCAACACTATTTGCAGATTCATTCGAAGCTGCAAACGCATGATCATGGTAACGCTTTTCTGCACGTACCTCTCACGTAGAACTCTCCTTCTCGCCACAGTCATAGTCTTCTAGCTGGAAAGCACTGCGAGAATCAGGCCATCCGGTCACAAGACGGACAACTGTGCTCCGTGAGAAGCTGCCAGAGAGTTTTCAGCTCTGGACGATGGGACTCCTTGCGTTCGTCCGCAATTGGCCCTCGATAATTAAGCGCCAGAAATTGACTTCCTCTGTCCAACAATACCAAGAGCCGGGCCAAAACCTGTTTAGTCTCATGGAGTAGATAAGTCGATGCACTGAAATTCTTTTTCATCATTGAACAAATGCTCTGTCAAAACCTCGGCCAGCTCCGTGTCCTCCTGCCCACGCCAACGCCAGCACCAGCGGGATCCAAGAACAGAAAACAAACGATCACTGCAGTGCTGCGAGCCCGGCCCTGCCCTGATAAGAGACGCGCGTGTGCCGCGCAGCTCGCAGAGCGCTTTCTCGTGTCACGAGGGTGTCCGACCAATGGGTCGGATTTCTTTCTGGAGCCCTGTGAGAAGGCTTGTACTACGAGGCACGCTCGTGGCTGGATCAAAACCTGCAGGTTCGTAATGGGGAGAAAGAAGGTGAGCAAATCTGTCACAGGAATAAGCACCCTAAACCCTACACGCGGTTCAAAAGCTTGGGAGAAGAGCAACATTAGAGCATACAGTAACGTCCCCGGGGGAGAGCTCTACGTTGAGGCTTGTGCAGTCCATCTCGAGTACGACACGCCCTGCGGCAGTCGAATTGCAGCGCTGGCGCGGCGAATTGCGCCGCATGGAGGAGATTCCCCGGCGGCAAGAGCAAAGGCGGGCGGGAGATCTACGACAGATGGAAGAGGGGCGAGTGGATCTCCTGCGCGGAGCACGGGCAGATGGGGTGCACCAGCGCCAGAAAGTCGTCCTCGTTCAGGGGCACGGGGCTGCTGTCGTCCAGATACTCGGGGAAGGGCGCCTCGGGGTTCGAATTGCTGCGCTTGGCGAAGTGGAAGTTGGCGAACTCCATGCCCGACTTGAAGTGCGAGATGCGCTCCTTGAGCTGCCACAGGAGGAACCGGTCGTTGGGCACGCGCATAGTGAAGGGCTCGCCGAAGTAGGACAGGAATTTGCCCGTCCGGTCCGAGAGCATGTGCGAGACGCGCAGCGTGCGCACCGTGTTCTTGACCTTCTGCGCGGGGATCTCCTCGGCCTTCAGGTCCTCCACCACGGTGCGGACCTTGTCCTTGGCGCCGTAGATCTTGACGATGCGGTGGTCCACGACGCCGGCGATTTGCAACCACCGCGTGGTGGGCAGTTTCATGAGCAGCTTGAGCTCGGCGATCACGTCGGCCACCGTGCAGTCGCCCGGCATCTTGAGCACGCAGTTGCGCACGCGCGTGGTGCTGAAGCTGCGGAAGGTGACGCGCAGTTCGCGGCTCTTCTCGTCCAGCGCCGTGCTCTTGACGAGGTCCACCAGGAGCGACGGGTTGCGCTGCGCCAGCTCCTCGAAGGCGGGCGTGCCCACGATGTGGCGGAAGTGCGCGCCGATGAAGTCCTTGCAGCTCTCGAAGAGCGCGGCGTCGTAGAGCACGGCGTGCTCGAGGATGGAGAGCGAGTTGTCGACCGTCAGCATGTCGCCCAGCACGGGGCTGCAGATGCGCGCCAACTGCGGCACCTCGTACTTGTGGCAGGCCGCCAGCACCTCGAGCCCGTACCGCTCGATGTCGTCGCGCGCCAGGCCGCCCGTGTACAGCAGGCGCAGGAAGCAGCGGAAGGCGCCCGTGCTCATGTCGTCCACCCGCACCACGGACGTGGTCTGCTCCAGCATCTTGTTGTGGAACATGGCGCGGTAGACGGGCGAGACGCTGGCCAGGATGCAGCGGTGCGCCGGCGTGCGGTCGTTCTCCGACTCGAAGGTGATGTCCGAGTGCAGCCCGTCCTCCAGCATCTGCTCCACCGTCGATCGGAAGTGCTCTTTGCCGCCGGCCTGCTGCTCCCCGTCCGCGCCCCCGGCTGCCCCCGCGCCCCCCGCGGCTCCCCCCGCGCCCGCGCCTCCTGCGCCCGCTCCCCCTCCCCCTCCGAGATCCGAATGCTTGCGCTTCAGGCCCCTCTCCATCCTGCCCTCGCCGCGCTCCCTGCCCTGGTCTCGCCTCCACTCCCAATTATGCCACGACTTCATAACCAGATCTCGCTCTCGCTCCGCGGCCTCGGCGATCAGTCGATTCCCCACCTCTGCGCTTGCAATTCGGCGCCTCTCCTCGTCCTGGCGCCCCCGTCGTGCTGCTTCATGAGGGGGCGGGCGGGCCGAGCGAGAGCCTCGAATTGCTCGCTCCCGGGGCTCCGACGTCCGACTCCTTCGACGCCCGTCCCTCGGGCCAAGAAGGGGAAGAGCTGGGCGAGCTCTCGTGCAATTGCCGAGCGAGATCCCCCGTCGCTGCTCCCCGGCTCCGATTCAACGCCTGCCCGCTCGCTGGGTCCCCGCCTCCCTCATCCGTCTCCAAGCTACGATCGGGCCATCCCACCTCCAATTGTGCTCTCGGCTCCCCTCCTCTCCTCTCCTCCCCTCGCTCTGATGATTCCGTCGACCGATCTTTGTAACCGGATCTTAAGACGCAATAACTACAACTTTGACACGAGCACCGCCAGCGAGCCCCGAGACCAACAACCAGAAAAGGTGAGACACTCGAAGAGAGAAAGAGAAAAAAAGAAAAGTGGGATGAGGCAAGCGTGAATTATACGAAATCCGTCGGTGTCAGTCCCCTTCTTTTGGGCGCACCGCACCGCTACTTTCCCAGCGTTCCGGATTACCACCAGCTCCTCCTGTTTTAATGCTCCGCTCCGCTCCTCGCCCCTCGTCTCGTCTGCTGCCCATCGTCACCATCCTTCTTCTCCTGTCGAACGTTACCCTCGGGGCTGGGTTCTTCCTTCTCTTGTGCCTCCAGTGTTTTGTTTTGCTGGGTTTGGTTTGGTTTGGTCCGGTCCTGCCCGATGGATCCCTGTCATCTGCCACGCATGCAAAAGTCTGTACTGCCACTTTAGTCCTAGTCGGCCGTTTGGCCATGCCACCGTGGACTTATGACCTCTCCTTCCCTTTCCTTGTCCTTTCCTTCCCAAGGACTTTCTGAACTTCCTGCAGGACTATCCTCTGTGGACGGAAGTCCTTAGTCCTTAGGGTTAGGGCTCTTCTCTGCTCTGCTCCGCTTGCGCTTCTCACTGTATTTCCTGGATCTGCTGTGTTTGGCAGATCTGAGCAACAGAGTGGACGAAGGCGGATGCTCGTATTCCGATCTAACTAGAAGAATTGACTTGCCTTCGAATATTATCATGTAGCTGGATTCGTTGACGAGGAGACCTTTGAGCGGGTTTGAGTTGGGGCGAGCTGAAAAACATGGCGACGGTGACACCTGATGTTGGAGTTGGAGGGGGAGGATGGGCTGCAATAGCCCGGAAAGACGCTGCGGTGGAGAAGAAACTCGACATCCCAGCCCTGCTTTCTACAGAGGGATTGAAAACTGTAGTGGTCGATGCGAATGCGATAATTGGAGGTGGGAGTAAACTCTCCGGGATCGCTGACCAATTTTTTACTATCAAGGAGGTTCTTCAGGAAGTCAGGGATCCCGCCTCAAGGTTTTATTTGGCGACTCTTCCTGTTACCATAAATTGCCTGGAGCCGTCTGAAGAAGCCCTCGCGAAAGGTACGACTGAAAACCTGTTGTCTCATGGAGTAGTTAAGTCGATGCACTGAAATTCCTTTTCATCCTTGAACAAATGCTCTGTCAAAGCCTCGGCCAGCTCCGTGTCCTCCTGCGCACTTTAACGCCAACGGGATCCAAGAACAGTAAACAATCAACCACTGCAGTGTTGCGAGCCCGGCCCTGCCCTTAAAAGAGACCCGCGTGTGCCCCGCAGCACGCAGAGCGCTCTCTTGTGCCACGAGGGTGTCCGACCAATCGTTCGGATTTCTTTCTGGAGCCCTGTGAGCCATGGGGTCTGGGATGGGTAGCGGTTTTTTAATTATTCCATTTATGAATTCTCGTGGGAAGAATGTTGCAATGTTTCTGATAGTCCAGTGATTTGTGATCCACAGGGGACTGTCGTCACACTCCAGTCCTTCCACGCAATCCTTCTCGAAAGGTTTTTGACTCGGAGTAGAAAACGTTTATGCAATTGTCGTGCTGTGAAATGCTGTGAAATGCTAACTCAACATTTGAGTCATCGTTGTACGTGTTATTTGAATGCCAGTCGTACGATTCGCGCGAGCCACAGGAGACCTGCAAGCTTTATCAGAGGTGGACATGAAGCTTATAGCACTGACATACACTTTGGAAGCCCAAGTGCATGGGACTGAGCATATTCGTACTCAACCTCCCCCTCTCATCCTTACACGGAAAACCAACGGTCCAGGACTGAAAGACCCACCGGGTTGGGGTAGTGTGCCGAATCCTGAAGAGTGGGAAGGCATTGATGATGAAGAAGATGGCGCCAACACCGGTTCTCGTATTATGGGCTTGAAGACTCTGTCTCTGGACGCACCGGAGTCGATTGTGACAGGGGATCATGGCCTGTCTGGAGCCGATAGCGAGAAAGACCTGGTCGGAGATTCTGCTGCTGTCCACGATTCAAAGAGCACTGGAGATCCAATTTCGGAAGGCGAGGAATCTGCTGCTGTCCACGATGCAGAGAGGAATGGAGACGGAGTTGAGGACGGTCATATTTCTGCTCCCAGACCTGTTCGAGAGGATGACGAAACTCCTTACTCCGCTACTAACGCCGAGAGCGCTCAAACTCTTAGCCAGTCAGTTCAAGAGGCTGACAGCAGCAAGAGTCTCGATATTGCTGCTGTACCATCCATTTCTGTCGAAGAAAAGTCCGCGGCTAAAGCGCAGGTCGATGAGGGTGGTGATGACTGGCAAAGAGCCTTGAGCAGAAGTACCAGGCGCCAATATTTAAAAAGAGAGCAAAGACGTGCTGCCAGGCTAAAGTGGGCAGAAGAACAGGCAGCCAACAATGTCCAGGACACAGGTATGAGGGAAGGGGAAGGAGAACAAGCAGCTGAAGAAAGTTTGGTACAAGCAGCTGAGGGGGCTGTCCTTTTCAGGCCTTCAAGTGCAGACGTAGATTGTGGCGAAGAAGAAGCTCAGCTCGTCCATGGCTCCCTTGAACATGGCAGTGAAGGGTTAGACGGGGCCGAGAGTGTCGATGACCACAGCGGTCAGGATGATGCGGCCAGCAATATAGATGCTGCATCCTCAGCAGTTGACACCGAGCAAAGCTGGGATGTGGGACCCTTGTGGACATCTAGCATCGCATGCATGACGGGAGATTACGCTATGCAAAATGTTATCCTGCAGATGGGTCTACGCCTTCTTTCAACCTCCGGCCAGCACATCAAGGAATTAAACAAGTACGAATCTGCACTACAGCTTGCCTTGAAAACTCTAAAATCGATGCTGGAACCCATTACTCAGTAATTTAATCATTTATGGCCAAAACAGAATGAATCAATTTCCTAATATTTTGTTGCTCTAGAATGTTGTTGCTGACTCTGTCTTCTAACTTTTGCTTGTAGGTGGATTTTGAAATGCCAGGCTTGTGGCAAAGTAACCAATGAGACCGGGCGTTTGTTTTGTCCCAAATGCGGCAACGGAGGAACACTTTTCAAGGTGTCCATCACTGTCGGACCCAATGGCACCGTGCACGCGGGTCGCAGTCGGCGCCCCATTCTACGGGGCACAAGGGTAGGGAATCTGCTGTGGCTCAGAAATGTTTAGCCCTATGTTTACATCGGTTCTCTGCTTACTCATGGTCAAATATGCCCAACCTGCATTACTCACTTCGAGCTCCTGCCTCGCGGCCTTCCAAAAGTCATCTGTTTTTTTACATGGTTTTGCAAGTTTCTGGGCGATTATCCAGTTCTCAAGTGGTGTATTCTGGTTGGGCTACGTAGACTAATTGAATTATTTTTCGTGTGCAGTACTCTCTGCCTCTTCCTAAAGGCGGTAGAGAAGGAGCTTTGAAGAATCCCATTTTGCGGGAGGATCAGTTACCTGCCAAGCCTCGCAAAGCCAAGAAGCCTGTAAGAACATACTTCAAGTCTTAGAAACTTCTGTGTGACATGTCTCCGCAAAACAGGCCACCGTTGAAAACCGCTACCTTTATCTTCTACTTGAAATTTAATTGGAAGGTCCATGCTCATTGTAAGCAGCGTTGCCCACAGATTGAGCACCTGAGAAGGATGAGAGAGGCACATAAACCTCCTGCTGCCCTTAAGCTCGGCTTCTTTCTCTTGTGAAACGACAAGAGGACTGCCTCGTGGGCTCATCATGATCGGTGCCTTTCTGACGACATTTTTTGTGCGCCTATGTTTTGCAGGAATTTGAGGCCTTCAGTTCCTCCGATGTAGTATTTTCACTGTCTCATGAAAGGAAAGGTGAGAAGGGGGCTGCTGTAAAATCGGCTGCCGCGATTTTCTCTGGGAGAAGAAATCCCAACGAAAGGCGAAAAATAGCCAAGTAGAAAATCATTTTTGTCGAACAAGGCACGTGTCGGAAGAAAAGTAGTGTTTGTATTATCCTAAATTGTACAGTTCAATTTTGAATTGCGATTCTTCGGCTGGCTGGTGGGGCATTTTTTTGCTTCCAACTGTAGTCCCTGGCACCAAAGAGGTGGGGATCCTTTGACAGGAGCCTGTAGGTCTCCACCTCGTGAGTTTGGTTGCCGTTTCATTGTGATAGGAGTGGCAAGATAAGTTTCGCTCTCGAGCCTTTATTTCTCCATTGGCATGAAGTCATCATGGAAATATACCTTCAATGTGAACATGAAGAGGTGGGATGACAGTTCTTCATCTGGGTTTGAAGCCTCGCACTTTCACTTCTGGCGATGATTGCCATGCGCTGCTTTGGGACGTACCCACTGACATCGAATTCTCTGCGCTATTTCTCACAGAAATAAAGAGCGGGTTGCCCAGTATTATCAGTGTAATTATGGTTCTTTTCCCCTTCGCCTATAGTCGTTCAGGTTTATGATGTTTTATGTTCCTCCGTCACCCTGCCGCTGACTTGAGTTTTCCAGCACTTGCATTGGTCGAGAAGGCAAGTAAGGTCGAGTAAAGTGGTGCGAATATGGCTGTGAACGCGTGGATCTCCTGTCCACATCTTTTCTTTTTTCACAAATCGATTCGTTTGGCACATCTTCAGAAAAAATTTGGAAAGACACAGAAATAAGATGCAGATGGGAAAAACTAGTACACTTGTTTTTGACATGGTTGTGTTCTTGCCGAAGAATTATGATCACTTAGCTATGCGCCACTTACAGTCGTTTCCTTGTCTCTTTTTCACTGGACTCAAATCAGTTTTTTTATCTCAAAGTCGAGACTTCAGATTTCATCACTAGTGTCGAATTTATGTTTTAGATAGAATTTATAGTTTCACATTTGGGATTTCGATTATTGTGACCAGGGAGTCACGTCTTAACTTTCACAATTCGACCAAGATTCCGACCTGTAATATGCTTCCAGCTCTGAAGTCTGACCATAATGATACCTGATGAACGTTTTTTTGTGCGAACATTATATTTGCTGCAGAGACTTATTTACGTTTCTCTTTGCTTCTATCTCGTAACTTTATCACTATACTCTCTCCTTGTCCTCTCCACGTCCTGCGATGTTTGGGGTTCACTTGAAATCTTCTGTGACCTAGCAAAACGACTGAAATAATTTGGCGGGCACTGGAGATTATTTGCGGCCGTCGCTATTTATGAAAATGCGGGAAGTCTGCGATGAATAGTGCTGTAGTGTACAATCGGTCGATTCGCCTTCTTCGGACTTGGTTTTGAAAGCAAATTTTCTAAATGTTTTTAGCCTCCTTTCGCTTTTTCCTCGTCACTGTCACACACTGTCCATCAGGCATGTCCGCGCATGTGACTCATGCGAGGGAGTATGCAACTCGAATGCTTATGAGCCTTCATGAGAGTTGCCTTCCCATTCGGCCAATTGGCCGACAGTTCTTCATGTTCTGTTGTTTGGCGACATACTGCAACAATGTTCTTGTTTTGATGCTAGAATCCCTTGATCTTTTAAATTGTAACATGGATACTGTGTGATCAGAGTCGAATGGTTGATACTTGATTGTTACTTGACTTCTCGATGCTAACATTGCTTAAATCCCAGGTTCAATGCGAAAAATAATCTGGCCAGAAACCTGGCCAAAAGTTGTGGATTAAAATCAAAATGCAAAAATTGTACATTTTTTTATATTTACATGCTCCTGCTCATATGCCAAAAATGTTGATGAATCTATTTTCCGATTTTTCTGCCAAACTCTAGCACAAGTTTTAATGTGGTCACCGTTGTCGACTGTGAGGGACTGCTCCTCATTTTCTGCTTGCAGCTTACAATATGAAAGTTGACAGCGCTTCTGCAGCTTGTTCCAACTCGTTATCTCGTGAGCTTCAGCGGTGCAAGCCTCCATCAACCATTAAACCGATAAGCCCGCGCACAACAGCGATGCGGTGGAATGCCATCATAATCTATCAATCCGCCATTTCATCGTCGTCATCGTCCATCATAGGCTCCTCAATCTTCATTTTCTTGACCTGGTGGTGCGGCGAGCTGTTGATCTTTGGAGCGGGAACGCTGATGAGCACGTCAGCCTTGGCGCCTGTCTCGCTATTCACAAAACCTCCGTTCTTCTCCACCCGGTAAGTCAGAACACGCGCCCCGGGTTTGCAGTCGATGTACACGGTGGAGTTCTCGTCGATCTCGTCGTTGATCAGCATGATGGACAGCTGAGTCACCACCTTCTTCTCCAGCCACCGCCTCAGCGGTCGAGCTCCGTAGATCGGATTGTACGCCTCCGTCAGCACGAGATCCAACGCGGCGTCCGTCACAGCCAGTGCCACTCCGCGCTCCGCCAGCCGCATCGCCACGTCCTTCATCTGAATCCGACACACCTTCCGCAGTTGCTCGTGCGACAGCGGGCTGAACACCACCATCTCGTCCAGCCTGTTTAGCAGCTCCGGTCGGAAATGCCGTCGAACCTGTAGCACAATGCAGCTCCGGTGAGAACTCGAAGCTGGACGAGAGCAAACGCACAACCGACTCTGGGCTCTGTCAACGCATCGAGAATTTACGCGGTGGGTCGGATCTTACCTCTTGGAGCACTTGGTCCTTGGCCACAGTCATGGTCTGCTCGCCCGACAGCCCGGCGAGCAGGTGCTCGGCGCCGAGGTTGGAGGTGAGAATGATGACCGTGTTGTTGAAGTTCACGGTGCGGCCTTGGCCGTCCGTGAGGCGCCCGTCGTCGAGCAGCTGCAGAAGCGTGTTGAAAACGGACGGATGGGCTTTCTCGATCTCGTCGAACAGGATCACGCTGTAGGGCCGCCGTCGGACGGCCTCCGTCAGCTGGCCGCCCTTGTCGTAGCCCACGTAGCCCGGGGGGGCGCCGATGAGCCGCGCCACCGAGTGCTGCTCCATGTACTCGGACATGTCGATGCGCACGAGCTGGTTCTCGTCGTCGAACAGCTGCTCGGCCAGGGCCTTGGCCAGCTCCGTCTTGCCCACGCCCGTCGGGCCCAGGAACAGGAAGGAGCCCGTCGGCTGCTGCGGCCGGCCCAGCCCGGCGCGCGACCGGAGCACGGCCTCCGCCACCGCCTGCACGGCCTCGTCCTGGCCGACGACGCGCAGGTGCAGGCGGTCGGCCAGGCCCAGCAGGCGCGCCTTGTCGTTCTGGCCCAGGCGCGAGACGGGAATGCCCGTCCACCGGCTCACCACCTCGGCGATCTGGTCCGGGGCCACGGTCTCCGTGAGCATGTTGTTGTCGCCGATGTCGGCGTCCAGATGCGCGATGCTCTCCTCGATCTCCTGCAGCGCGCCGTACTTGAGGTCGGCCACGCGCGCCAGGTCCATGCGCCGCTCGGCGTCCTGAATGCTGCGCAGGATCTCCTCGCGCTTCTGCTTCAGGCGCCGGCTCTCGTCGACGCGCCCCTTCTCGCGCTGGTACTTCATCTTCAGCGGCCGCAGCTTCTCGTTCAGATCGTCGAGCTCCTGCTTCACTTCGACCAAGCGCGCCTTGCTCGACTTGTCCTTCTCCTTCTCCAGCGCGTGCAGCTCCACCTCCAGCTGGATGCGCCGGCGCTCCAGCGCGTCCACCTCCTCGGGCTGGCTGTCGAGCTGCACGCGCACGTTCGCGCACGCCTCGTCCACCAGGTCGATGGCCTTGTCCGGCAGATGCCGCCCCGTTATGTAGCGGCTCGACAGCTGCGCGGCCACCACGAGCGACTTGTCGAGGATGCGCACTCCGTGGTGCCCTTCGTACTTCTCCTTCAGCCCTCGCAGAATGCTGATTGTGTCCGGCACGCTCGGCTCCGGAACGAACACCTGCATCGGCCACGACGAGAGTGAGCAACTCGGAAACGGATCGACAGAGAACGGCGCTGGACAATCATCGGCAAGAACTCGACGCGACAGGCGTGAATCAACGACATCTCGTCGTCGATTCGACGAGAATCGGCCTAAGACCTCGGCATGACAAATTTTCGCTTCTATATCTTAGGCGAGTGCACGCTGCATGGTGTGAAGTGTGAATTGGTGCTCACTTGCTGGAACCGACGTTCAAACGCCGCATCTTTTTCGACGTAGCTCCTGTATTCGTCGAGGGTTGTGGCGCCGATACATCGAAGCTGGCCTCGGGCGAGCATGGGCTTTAGAAGGTTGGCGGCATCCATCGAACCCTCGGTCCTACCCGCGCCGAGCACGAGATGAATTTCGTCGATGAAGAGGATGACTTTCCCGTCCGCGTCTTCTACCTCTTTCAGAACTGCCTTGAGACGTTCTTCGAATTCCCCTCTGTATTTTGCTCCCGCGATCAGAGCTCCCATGTCCAATGCAATGAGACGAACATCTAGCAAATTGCTGCACATATCACAGTCCGCGTCAAAAGCTAGGAACCGACGTTTATCCCATCGAAAGACGTCGACATCCAGCATAAACTCTACTGCGGTAATTTCACCATAATTGATTCCCATGGTACGCAAATGGAAACGCAAAAGAAAGGTTGTAAAGATAGCCGAAGCGCAGAGTATGATCATGGATTGCAATTGACCTACCTCGGCACATCTCCTCGAACGACACGCTGAGCAAGACCCTCGACCACGGCAGTTTTACCGACACCGGGTTCACCGATGAGCACAGGGTTGTTTTTGGTTCGGCGAGAAAGGACACGAATAACTCTACGAATTTCCTCGTCTCTGCCGATTACAGGATCCAGCTTGCCTGCTTGTTCGACAAGATCTCTCCCATACTTCTTCAAAGCTTGAAAATTGGTGTCTCCAGTCGCATTGTCCACCTTCTTGCCCTCACCACCTCGCACCTTTTCCAACTCCTGCTTGACCTTGGCGGCCTGAACTCCGGCTTCCTGCAGACAATCCGATATCTGCGAGTCGTCGAGAACGGCGAGAATGATCTGATCGATGGACAAATGCGAGTCTCCCCTCTTCTTCTGCAAAGACTGGGCCTTCCGAATGCACTTTACGAGAGCAGAATTTGCCGGAACTTCATCAGGGGCCGGGGACTGAGAGGGAATCTTCTTCAGCGCTTGATTGAACGCCCTCTCGACCGAGCTCACGGCTCCATCGCCCCTGGCCGCACTCACGGCTTGGCTGAACAATCCGTCCGGATCCTGCAACAACGCAACTGCCAAGTGAAGTGGCGTATACTGTGCATGGCCTGCGTTGATCGCAATCTCCTGACCCGCAGCTAGGGCCTCGTTGGTCTTGTGCGTAAAGCGCTCTGGATTCATCGCTCGCTCCCTTCCCTATCTACAACAACACCGCGGCCCTCTCCAAAGAATGACCGAACACCGTCGCTGCGCTCTTCTCCTTCTTTCCCTGAACAATCGTCCTCCTCCTCGTCCGAATCGCCACGAGCAGAAATCCTCGACTCGTTCGTTCGATCGTTCGCACACCTATGACTATAAAACCTCGAGATAAACACCGATCGATCTCCAACTCTTCGTGCTGTCAGATTTGGTGCCTCTGGGGCTGGGGATGCCCATTAAGTATGAGCGCGATGAAGAATTGCCCTGGCGCTAGATCGAACCCCGTCACGTCAGAAGCAGCGGCATGAACAATCTCGAGGGATCACTCGTCTTCGTCCTCCTCTCGCTTCGTCGAAAACCTCGACTCTTCAGTCATCTTCTCGAGCCTTCTGCACTTTTCTGCACTTTTCCACTCGCTTCTCCCTGTCCTTACGACATCTGGCTCCTCGCTGATTCTGCCCGGGGAAGTCGGCCGCTTCATCGCCGTCATAACCATAAAAAATATCATTTAAAGGGCCGTGACTTGTTATTATAAAAAAAAAAATCATTTAAAGGTCCGTGACCTGTTATTAACGAGGAAATTATTTGACGGGACCCATCAGGTTTCATTTAACCTGATGGACCCCTTCGACCGGCACCATAACCCATGTTCTTATACCCTGCTAATTTGCTCTATAGGGTGGGGAGTGTCCGCCACTGTCGGGCCAGAGTATTTTGGCGACTATGTCTATTTGGGCCATCTCTAACAAAACGACAGGGACCATGAGTCTGAATTACTCCGGATAGGGTATTGCCGAGACTTCATGTTCTACTCGAAATAAACCCAGATAGTATTGGAACATCACTCATGGTGGGGCTGCAAGGCCGTAGATGGTTCCCATCAGTTAAAATGAAATGAAACCTGTTGGGTCCCATCAAATGTTTTGAGTTTCCACGGGTCCCATCAAGTAATTTCTCGTTATTAACAGTAGAGATAAATCACAACCGGACGTGAGGATTTCACCTCAAACTTCTCGCAACTCCGTATCCACTTATTGCCATTAACTTCCCATCTTATAATTGAACATCTCTCCATGGATTGTTTACGAGCGGGACTCTCCCTCTTCGCACCTCCAGAACCTATTTTTGCTTTCAGCCATTTCACTCTTCTTGTCTAGCCACCCCAAAGCCAAGTTACTATAGTGTATCCAGCGAGCAGGTATTGCGCTAGCTAAACTTGTTTCCGGTTTGAGGGCACTTCGAACCCATGGGCCAATTATCTAATGTATCGAGGCTTTCGGCGGAAGGCCTCTTGGGTAGCGGGCCTGCTGCTTGTGGGCCTAGGCGGCTAAGGCATATAGCCAGCCGAAGGCTGCCCTTGATTGGCTGGAGGTTTCGAGGACAAGCCCTCCAGCATTTGAAGCATAGGAGCTCGCCGGAAGTTTCTATTTGCATTTGAAACAAAGGTGAAAAAGAGTAATTTACTCGAAGTGGGTGAAGGCCGTCGAAGGCCACCATGTACCGGAGTGACTTCGCCATACCAGCAATTTCGGTCCTCTGTACGCGCGAATCTTCCATTTCACTCCCGGAGAGTGTTCTCTTTGGGGAAAGACCCGGTAAAAGACTTTCACTTTGCTGTTAAAACGAAAGGGGCGGATTTTTATTTACCTCCTCGTCCAACTATCACTCAAATCGATCAAAACTTAACCGAGAATTCAATACATTTGTTAGGTTCAAAGTGAGTAATACATTCTACGTAAATATCAGAAGTTAATATGTTCGCAAACAGCTTTGTTGATACCGGTTCTTAAGTTCGACTTACAAATCATTAATCTAATGGGGTCAATGTCTACAATTTTTGATTTTGCTATTCTTGAATATCTTCTTTTTTTAACCAGGATCTTCATTTAGTTTTATATGAATAAGTAGATCATTTTATGTGTATATCTGATTGTTATTTCCACAAAATTTGTTCCCTTGTTTTCGTTCACATAAAGAGTAATTCATGTATTATGAATTACTCTTTACAATGATGTTCTCGTGCATTTGACTCACATGCGTAAAGCTTTCATCACAATGATTTTAATTTTGATGAATTGTAATGAATTTTAATATAAGTAGACTTTAATGCCCTTTAATCTTACTCTAATGATTTTTGACATTTTTTCATAGCAAATATTTTAACGTTGCAAATACAAAAAATAATCATTTCAGATTGATTGAATAAAGAACACACAGAATCCATGTTTTCTATTAATTTTTAGTTGATCAATTCCAAATTATATATATCTCTCAAATAGAAGTAAATTTGATTTCCATGAATTGAAGGAAATAGTATGATGTTTGATTTTTTAACAAATTTTTTAAATATTAGTGATGATGAAATCTACAGCATATGATAAATGGTAATAGATCAAACGCGGGGATCCAAAGGGTCAAAACGCTATATGAACAATAATCTATTTTATTTTTTATTGTTAAATGCTTATTTTAGATTTAAACATTTTCAAGGTAAAATTTCAAATACAAAAAATGCATGTTTGCAAAGATTTGATAATTATTTTTGATTTGTTGGCATTTTAAATACGAGTTTAAGAAAATCAAAAAATGTTCACTCATGAATTGTACATTCATCCTACAAAATTGATACAAATATTAATCATTACTAAATTTTGGTAATTTTGGAAGTGATTTTGAATATTTCCATATTTGAAAACTTGTGTGGATTTGAGTTTAAATTTGTGATAATCAAGGAACTCAATATGAAAGTAAACAAATGTAAACATATATATTTTTTGAACTTGTGCTTTGGAATGCTTTTGAGAAAGTTGAGATAAGATTGTGCACTTTTTGGGGAAAAAATTAATATTTTTTTAAAGGTCAGTAATATAGAAATAAAGGAAAAAAACACAAATTTAAAAAATATCTGGATAAATTTTGATTTAATTTGTTTAAAAAAAATTTAGTAACAAAAAGATTTAGATTTTTTTAAGGTACTTCATACCCATCACATAAATATTCCAAGTCAATGGAGTTTAACTACAAAATCCAAAGTTATGGTGAAGTAGCCTAGAATAATTGCAAGAGAAGTAGTAGTTATATGTCTAATGATGAGTTGTGAGAATTTGGTTGCCAAAAGTTCATCCAAACCGTTGATTGCAATCATCAATTAATGATCATGACCATCAGATTCACTTATATTGTATTTAATTTTTTATTAATTTTTTAAAATTTCCATACAAATTTTAATCATAATTTTACCAATTTAGACCTGTTTATGTGAGATATAAAAAAATAATTTTTATACATTCGTATTGAATAGAACATTTTACTTATCATGTCTCAAATAATATTTTTTCAAATAAAAAAATATTCAATTAAAAAATGTCATCTTCATAAAAAATCTGAACAAACTGAAATTTTTTTAGAAGGTATTTTTTCAATCTTTAATTCTTAACTTGTTAAAATCTTCAATGAGTTAATCATGGTAAAAATAAATTAAAATAATTAAATAAAAAATTAATCAGTTAATCATTAAAATAAAAAATTGGTTCAAAAAATTCCTTTCATATTAATAAATTGTCTTACAAATCATATAACAAAAGCAGATTTTAAAAAAATTTAGATCTTATAGATAAATAATCCAGAAAAAATCATCTGAATTTGATAATTTGATCAAAATTTCAATATTTTACAAATATAAAGTCATTTTTATCAAATGATTTGCAATATTTATCTATATAAATTGATAATTTATATGTTTTTTTCACTTCATGTATTTGACTTTTAACTTTTTGTAAATATTTCAATCAACTAAATCAATCTTGATCTTATAGAAGACTAAATTAAAATTAAAATTTTAGCATAAGTCTATTATTCTCACATTAGCACTTCACGTGATATGCAATGATTTAATTTGCTAATTGAGAGCTACATATAAACACTTAGTGTACTATTTGTAAAATTCTATCATATAATTAATTCCAAATATTGAAACATATGGTGAATTCTTATCTTACTTGCACATGCTAAACAAAGAGAGAGGTATATATAAATAGATATATTTATATATTTTTTTGTATTTAAATTGCAAAATTCAGTTATTTTCTTATTAGAGTTTTTGTATCATTTTATGAATAATATATCAACTTTCTTTTCAATGTTACAATAATCATGTACCTTTTTTGTTATTTGTTTGATTGTTCATTACTCCTCATGAAATATAAAACAACAATGATGAGCTTCAATGTTTATAAATTTAAAAAATTATTAAAAAATTATTAATCTTTGTGTCAGATCTATAATCAATTCAAAGTCAATAGAAAACAACGTATTAAAGATTACACCAATTTTGTTATAATAATAATTTATTTAATATATGAACAAATGATGTAAGGTGTACAAATTATATAAAAAGTGTAGAATAAAATTTAACAACAACAGATATAAATATATATTTTTCTCATTTCTATATTCTTAAATTTTAATCTAGAATAATTATGAATTATCATAACATTAATATTACTATTACATCTTTTATTACATATTAAAAAATACAAAAAAAATTAAGATGTTTCAGATTCATAAAATGAAATACAGACAAAAATATTGTAGCATATTATATTTTTGATCTCATACTATTTTATTATTTTAAAATCATTTTTTTCACTTTCAAATTGAAAGCAACATACAATTTTATGACTATACTCATGAACGTTTTTGAACAATTTCATATTGAGATAAAAAAATGTTTTCATTCAATCTCTCTTTTGCAATTATTTGAAAATCACATCAAATTTGTGATCATGTTTTTATTAGTCTGTGAATCTTGCTTCTCTATTTGAATCCTTGTTCAACATAATTATTAATGTTATTATATTATTCATTGATTTATTAGCTTCTTGATCAATCAAGACATTCACTTTTAATCATCTCATGAATAAGAGCCAATTTTGTTACTCTCTAGCTCTTTTCATGTATTATCAAGAGCTATTCTTTCCAAGCTTGTATTTTTGAGTAACCATAAAAACTCAAAGACATTTGTTAGATGATAATTTTTCTACTAAAACAAATTCAACAATTTAGTTATATTTTTTCATTTCATGTTGTAAAAAAATCATAGTATTCCTTGTAATTGTAGTTTAATTTGACACAATTTGACAATGTGATCACTTTTTTTATACATAGCATTGAAAAACTTTCCAAATATGAATTCTTGATTAATTATCATTTAGTTATAACTCATATGATCTTTAATATCATCAATTTTAATTTTTGCTATATATGTCTTTAATAAAAAACTTTTTCATTTAATAATATTTTAAAAAATGTATGAAAATATGGTTTTTACGCTTTGGTTTATATTTGTAATCAAAATTAGTTATAATAAATAATAATTTTGCAAATTTTTTCACTAAAAATAATCTATCAGTATGATTAACAGTAATTATTATGTAAACTGTTTTTTCAAAAAATAGTATTGACTGGTATCACAGATAAAAGTATACATAACAATGTCATACAACTAGTATAAAACTATTAAAGTTATTTTTTTATTATCTTGAGGTGTTAAAATGCCAATATATAACTTAAAGTTTTCAAAAGCTCAATTTGTCATTAAATCAATCTTTCAAACAAATTATTATTTAATGAAATCAATCAATATTGTAAAATTAGTCTAATCAATCAAAACGTAATAATCATGCAAAACCTACGAAGTGTGACTTAAAATAACAGTATAGGTAATAATAAAGCAGTATTTGACAATAAAAATAGCATGCTTATAAATAAATGTATCTTATATATTTAATTCTATGTTATTATTAGTGTCACAAAAACAAATGAAAATAATATTTTAGAAAATAGCACTTTTTTAGAAGTAGAATTTATTTATATTTTGGTTTGGGCTAATTATCATTTATTCGACTGTACTACATAGCTTTATGATTGGTCAGAACTATCAACATCATAATGTCAATATGTTATATCATACATATCAATTAGAAACTTTCAACTTTTTAATTGAAATGTTTACTTAGAAAATAAAATATTATGATATTTAAATAAATAGATAAATAAAATTAAAAAATTAAAATACGTTTTTTAAATCACCCAATTATTTAAAATTTACAAAAACAAAACACACAAAATTGATTAATTTTATATGATGTAATTTTTAAAAACTTTGTTTAATTAAAAGATTTGTTTATTTATAACTTATTGTAATAAATAGTGAATGAAAAGTAGCTAGAATAAAGAGAAGGAAGAAGATATGAGATTTAATTATTTAAATATATGAGATATTTTATTTTTTAAAGAATGCATCAAATAATTGAATATAGATTGAATGATTTGATATGATTTTGTGCATTTAAAATGTCATGTCTTTTTGTATTTACTATTTTTAGCCATTGGCATAAGGTTACAAATCGAAGAGGGTATAGAGTCAAAGAGACTCGAACAACATTCAGTTTCTCAAGTCGAGCCTGTAGCGTTGGAAATAGTGACTACTTGTGGAAACATTGATCTGGATTTTCTAGTGATTGGGTTGGGCTCGAGTTTTGGATGATGTTCGCATAATGAGCCAGTGGGGTTAACACACATGTATTCACTCTAGTAACTTAGTGTACACCAATTACGTCGATGTGTTGGGTCAATTTTTGTTCAAGTTTGGTTACTTGGCTGGTTTTGGGCAGAAGATCGGATCTAAAGAGAAGAATTTGTCATGATAATTTCAAGCTTGACTTGTGCACGATGACTTGTTTGCAGCTAGAATGCGAGTTAGGATTTGAATGATTGATGGTTTGGAAATTTTACTTGATGGGAGAATTTTATGTCCGTGACAATATCGACGGGTTTTATAGATGAGAATTTTTTTGAAATTGAAGTGCATCTGGTTTGCGTATGTGAGTGTTTCACTTTTTCGAATCTTTCATGGTAACATCAATTTTGTTCTTGTATTTTTGTACCTGCAGGTAGCACTTTCAAATGGAGTGGCAGGTGGCGACGGGGATATGAAGAATTCTGAAGGTTTCATATTTTGGACCTTGAAAATTGCGTAACAAAGTTTGCTTCATTATTCGTTTACATGTATGGTGGAGAACAAGGAGGTCGACTAAAAAGCCAAAATTTGAATTATACCTCTACTCATTCCCTTGTGCTCACAAAATTCAGCCAAGCTTCTTTGAAGTGTCCAGTCATCCGGCTCCGTTCAAAACCGTGTGATGTTTTTTGGTGTAGCTACTGTAGCTTTCTACGCTGCTGCAGAGCTACAAATCTTGGATTGCTTGTTCTGAGTATTATCACTGTTAGTACGCTTTTGCAGAGCTATAGATCTTGGATTGTTCATTTTTAGTATTATCATTGTTAGTGCTCTCGATAAGAGACGTAGGCTGGAAAGGAATTGAACCAGGCTTGTCAATAGAGGAGTTTTCGCGGCTATATATTACTACTTGTAGAGCACGTCAAGAACATGCTGCCTGAGCTAGGAGTCATTGTCCATGAGGTTGTATCTTTGTTGGTGAATGGGAGTGGTGGAATTTCCATTAGACATGTGCATGAAAATAGTGCAGCAACAGTTTGCTGTATAGATATAAAGGCAGTTTGACAAAGAAAACAAGAGTAATGTTAGTCATGAGTAATGAATCTGGTTAAATTTTGATCTCATCATTAAGTAAACTACAGATCTATTGGTCCCACAATCTTGAAGCTTCAACAAGGGAGATCAATGTTGACAATTTCTCATGCTCTATGTGAACACTAGGTTAGATCAGTTTAGTTGAGTTCTTTGTGCTTAGGTGGTTACAACCAACATACTGTGCGTGTAGTATCTATCGGTACAATCAGATCACGTTTTATGTGATCTGATTTCCTTGGCTCTGCAACAAAGGGATCCAAATAGTACGACGAGGGAAGCAAGGAAGCATCGAACTTCCACCTGATCAACACTCTTTATGAATAAAAATTCAATGTGGTTAGTATGATAAGAAGGGAAAAATCTTCTTCCCAATAGCAGTTGTAGTTTAGGTTAGGACTTAGACATCAAGAGTCATAACTTCGCAAATTAGTGTACATACTTTTTGAGATATGAGCTTATCGTCTTACCATTTAGTTTTCAAATGTGGTATATTCCAAATTGTTGGTCTTGATGGATGTAAGAATCGCTTGGTGAGATAGAGATTGGAAGAGAAGCAAAGTACTTGCTTGAAATTGAATTCACACAGCTGGGTAGTGGTACGGAGATGACGCAGACAAAAATATTCAGACTAGTCTAGATGCAAGGTTTTTTGCGATCTCAACAAAGTTCTCGCAAGAATTCAACAACAAAGACATGACTCTTGTGCTGTAGTACTCAGTTAAACACGAGTATCAATTTTGATACACTTGAGTGTGTACACTTTGATGTATCATTTGTGTATGTGAGTAGCATGTTAGTGATATAGAGTGTATGGCGATACATATTCGCATGATAAAAAAAATTAGTATGACTTGATTACTAAAAGTTTGTGCATGCATTGTTCTTGTCAATTTGATTTGAAAATGCTATTGTTTAGTCTTCTTGAATCTTATAACAAATTTTTAAATAATTCAATATGAGCATTGCGAATGATTGTTTCAATATTTTTTCATTATGGATTAAAAAAATATGAAACTTGTGTAGAGCAAATTTTAGCATTTTTATTTTAAAGCAAATAATTTTGTTCATTTAACATTATAACATATATATATGTTGAAATATTATTCAATTTAATTGAAATAATAATAATTATTGATCTAAATGGTATATGACTGAAATTATTTGTTTTCACTTCAATTTTAAAAAAATTCTTTGATGTAGAAGGATTATTGATTATTTAATTGATCTTTGTGGGTTTAAAATTCTATTTATAAGAAAATTTTGATACATTCTAATTTTTAATTTTTTTATCAAATTAAAGAAGAAAACTGCTTTGTTCATTGTTGTAAGGATAACATATAAAAAAAGCTTCAATAACCTCAATCATACTTTGACTTCATGATTTACATATCATAATATAATTTTCCTATTTCGATTATTATCATTAATTTAAATATACAAATTTACCTTAAAAACTAAAAATGGGGGAAAAAAATGAAAAATGAAAACATGCAGTGATATCTATATTTGACTTTAAATATCTCAAATCACTCTTTATATTAAAAAGAAAAGGTTCAAAAATTGCAAAATATTTATATTTTATTGTCAAAAGATAATTGAAAAGCATCAAAAGGTAAGTGTTTATCAAATACATAAAAAAATAAATCTTTAAAAAAATTCAACATTTTTACTTAATAAAACCCACAAAAGAACTTTTGTAATTCTTCTTAAAGTCAAGCTTTAGATTCTGTTTATCATGTCTTGCCTCAGGACTTGATCTTGCTATTCAAGAAGTAAATACTTTCATTACCGTTTTTTACATTTCATATCCATCCCACAAAGTTGGTATAACATTAGGGTGTCCAAAAGCAAAAAAAAGCGTTAGTCATTGTAACCGAAGTATTATCTTGGTATGAACGAACATGAAGATCATATCTTCGTGTCGTAACACTACAGCGGTTCACCTATAATCTCGAATTGTGAGTTAACGTAGTACATATTTCACATCCTGATTAATGCAATTCATCCCTATTGCCGGGATGCGTTGTGCTAGATGTTCTAAACGAACACTTGTGCGATAGTAGCCAGCCTGAAGTGCATACCCGTAAAGTTTGTTTGACACCTTATTTTCGTCTGAAATGTTTATCTCTCTGCTTGCTGCTGGAACAGAGGGAGATGCTCACCTAGCGTGTGACTAAACGAAGAGGGACTCTAGATTAGGCTATATTCTCGAGTTCACCAAACCTCCGGTCCGGGGAGAATAGGTCGGGTCGGCTCCATCCCCCCAAGATCCGGTTTGCCTCGTCTAAATTTAGGGACCCTAGTGTTGTGGATTAGGCGATGAGCGCCAGGGAGCGAGGGATGGAGATCGCAGCGGCAGATGCTCGTAAGGGAAGGCCCCACTCGGAGGTCTCGGTCACCGGCTGTGACGTCGCAGACGTGAGTCGCTTTGCGCAAAGGGTGATAGGGGCAGCAAATCACGTCAGATTCTTATGATCTCAAACGGGCTCTCCACTGGTCCTCAGCTTCTGCCATGGCAATATTGATTCGTCCTGAGCCTAGGGGAAGACCGAGAAGGAACTCTCGGGGCCTCGGAGGTGGTGGTGTACTTTTGACAACTAGGGGCCTCGGAAAGAGAGCGCGCCTTTAGTTTGGACGAAGGGACACAGTGGTCTTTAAGGCGCGCCTCGTCCGGTGTTGAGAATCGTCGGGCACCATCGAGGGTCGAGAGTAACTCGGTGCTTGTGATTTTCCTCTCGGGCGGGCAGGAGCACTTGAGCTTCTCGGGAGGGTGACAGACTTTGAGGTTGTTAGCGCTAGCGTTGGCGTTGGTGACAGTTCGGCAGGACGGTACGATCCGCGAGGTCGCCGGACTCGGCAGAATGTAGATGAGCAGACAAATCTTGGTGTTGTGTGCCGGGCTTGGTTCTTTTCACGCGTCGCATCAGTGAAGTGCGAAATTGCGGATTAGCCACAATGACGGACACAACGGATGATATCGCGGAGGAGATTTCTTTCCAAGCTTATGATGATGACTGCCATCTTCTTGGGAATCTGCTCAACGATTGCCTCATGCGAGAAGTCGGTCCGGACTTCACTGAGAAAGTGGACCGCGTGCGACTCTTGGCGCAGGTACTGATTGTATTTGGGCTTTGTGTGCTGGGGAGTGCCTGAAGCATGGGTCTCTTTTGTCTCTCGAATTCCGCTGGGTGACCTGCGGAAACTCAGTCAGCTTGATCTAAAATTTCTCTCATTGCACAAGAGCATCCTCCCATCTTCTTCGTGGGTTAGCGCATAGAGCTTGTCCTCTAGTCAATCTCTTCACTGAGAAAAGCTTCGTGTGAACGGCATTGATCTTGTCAAGAAGACCAATTATGAACCCTGACGACTCGTTGGAAATGTCCGAGTCAACTTCCGCACGCAGTAGATCTTCTGAGCTCATAATTTATAGTCCTTAGGACTTGGGCTTCTACAAAAATGGGGACGTTGCAATACTTGCTGACTGAGCGGTGCCTGCTTTTTTAAGGGACATCACTGAATTAGTCTGCATGGATTTTTTGTTTTCCCGCCACAGTTCGTCCGGAAGAGTCGCTTTCCTGGATCTTCTCCAGTTGCTAAACCGTAGATGTTCCTATCAGCTTACTATAGATTTTTCAAAATGTGCAGAGTGAGTGCAACATGCGTCTGGCAGGAGTAACGGATGCAGCTGATTATCTGTCGACGCAGCTGGAGAAAGAAGTGTCAACCATGGAGTTGGAAGATGCGGTGCCTCTTGCGAGAACGTTCAGTCATTATTTGAATCTCATGGGAATTGCAGAAACTCACCATCGGTAAAGATATACAAAGCCTGCATTTTTCCGACTATTCTTGGTCGTATCTTCGTCCCGAGTGGTCTTTCAGACAAATTTGCCTGACTAGCAAGCTGTCCTGTTACTTACAGCGTACGAAGAACGAAATTGCCGGGTCACATGTCGAAGTCCTGCGACGATGTCTTCCAGAAGCTGATTTCATCGGGGGTATCCGCGGACGAACTTTATCGTGCAGTGTGCGATCAGGCGAGTGACCATTCATGGTTCCTATGCTAAATGAGTTCTTTTGCCTACAATAATGATGTTCTGTGCCCCTTCCCCTTTGTTCTCTAGATACCATCTCTTGATTACGCGAACTGCAATTCGATGTGGCGTAGATAACGTCTCCAATCAAAATCTACGATCAGTACAGGTACTGGGTCCATAAACTCGCGGATGTCTGCGACATGAAATTGAGTTTGAAAACACGAATGTAGTTTTTGTGAAGAGTTGTTGGAATCCGTCGCGGGGAAAGTTCTTATTCATGAGAATTCGTCGATGATCATGAGCAAGAATGAGCGGTCAAGTAGGGAATTTGATCGCTTTTTCCTGATCCTGTTGAATAATTGCCGCGCTTCTTCTGTTCGGGAAAGCTAGATCTTGAGTTGTATGCTGTCGCTACTAAGTCTTTATTCGATTGGCACCACGACAGAGCTCTGAAAACATTTTTATACTGTGGAATATTGAGTGAAGCAGCCTCGGTGATTTTGATGAAGTCAGTGGGGAACGCAAAGGCCTTTCTGTTGTTCAACGTTCCTGAATTACTGTAACGATAAATTCACCTGTTGGCATAACAACAGGGATTTGGATGTTCGATGCAAAATCATCGATCTGTCCCGAAGTACTTGTGTATACTTTGATCTGAATCCTAGAACTTGACCTGCTCCCTGAATTGAGTAACGCTGGGGTTTAAGCTAGCTGTCCATTTGAACGTCGTCACGAACGTTTGTTATTTGTCTGTCTTCATCAGTTCAAATGTCGTCATGTTCGACTTATGTTAGTAGAACGATCATGTAGAACCTCCTACAGTATCCAGCTCAGTGAGGGGAACAGAAGTCTAGAATGTATTGCAATTATCCGTACAAACTTTTGGTACAAACTCGACCCGGATTGGTATCCGGAAGAATTCTCATTTAGAGCTAGATTCGACAAATGCGACGACTACTTGTCACCATGTTAAGTAACGACCTACAAACGCATTATACTTGATGTATTTCCTGCTGGCTTACCTCATTTGCCCATATGTTCCAAGATTTAATAACAATTGGCGAAATCCGGACTTCCCGCTCATTCACTGTCTTACTCTTGTTGACGTGATGCAGGAGGTTGGAATTGTCCTGACAGCTCATCCGACGCAGATCAACAGAAGAACTATACAATACAAATTCTTGAGAATCGCCGTAAGTGATCTACCCACTTACATGATTGCCGAGAAAGCAACTTGCACTATATTCTAACCACGGTGGGAATTTCAAACAGAGTCGAGTGTCCATTGGAGAGGTTGTCCTACTAACTAGATGCCTCTTGTACTTGAATCCAACTCGGTATGAATAAGTTCTTTGAACTGATAATTAGTCAATCAGGCCAATGATGCTGTTTGGGGAAAACCTCGATATTTCTGAATTGTTTGCTTTATCGGGCAGCATCTCTTGGAGAGGAATGATAGGACGGATTTGACTCATGAAGATAAGGACTTACTGATCGAAGATCTGGTATGTATGGTCCCGCTTTAGCACTTAGGTTGTGATATTTCTTTGTATTTATAATCAACATTTATTTATTGTTTTCTTGAAGTCTTCAACTTCAATGGATTGTAAACCCCTTCAACCCTACATTAACTCATAATCAACCGTTGCAGGTGAGGGAGATTACTTCTTTGTGGCAAACCGATGAACTAAGACGCCGTAAGCCAACTCCTGTTGACGAAGCTCGGGGAGGTAAATACTTACCGCAAGCCGCTTTATGAAGAATTTCCAGTTAAAGAAGTAAAGGAACTGTTATAGCAGGAAGCGATTTCTTCTTCGTTTTACCGAGAGACCTGTGTAAAAACGATGTGCAGGTCTGCACATTGTGGAACAATCTCTATGGAAAGCTGTGCCACACTATCTCCGCCGTGTCAGCAATGCTCTTAAGAAGGTATTTTACCTTAGCGTTCAGCAGCCACAGATCAACTGAAACCCAGTATTTTGCCTTACTATTGCCGCAAGTCAATTTTCTGTTTGCATACAAATATACATATCGCTCTTTTGCTTATCGTCAGTCGTACGAAGTACTAATCGCGACATAGTAGAGGTTCTGTGCATTTCTATCACGTAGACAGGTTTTTTGATAAATGTGGACATTGTGCAGCATACTGGAAGATCATTACCATTAACAAGTACTCCCATCAAATTTGGATCTTGGATGGGTGGTGATAGAGATGGCAACCCAAACGTTACTGCAAAGGTATGAATGCGCATATGTTTTCGGCTCATCACGTCACTGTGATGCTTCTGCCTGTTATGCTTTTGAGATTACGATTAGCTGAGTATTGTTATATGTCGAATCTCTTGTAGGAGTACTAGTTGTACACTTATCCCTTTATCAAAAATGTCATAGAAATCAACCGTCAATTACAGAACTAATGGACGTTTTCGCTTTGTCAACGTAGGTTACGAGGGACGTTTCCTACCTTGCGAGGTGGATAGCTGCCGACTTGTATTTACGAGAGGTTGACGGTTTACGTTTCGAACTGTCCATGAGTACTTGCAGTGACAAGCTTGCGCAGTTTGCCTACAATATCCTGGCACACGGTTGGTCCATTCTCCACTATGATACAACTAGAAGATGAGGCTTAGTGTTTGAAATCTTCTCAATAGTAATTTCCACAATAGAAGCAGTAAACTTATCAATTCATCAAGCTTGACTCCAGTTCTTTGATATTTGTGCTGCCTTTCAGAGCAGCAGGTACATGACGATCATCATGTCAGCTGGTTCAATCAGCGGCAGAAGAAACATTCTGATCATGTCGACATTCCTGGACATCCTCTCCCTTATCATATACCCTTCGGAGCAGATGTGCCTGGTTTCACGGGTATGTACAGAAAATCGGCAAGGATATGATGGATAGCAAGGATTTGTTTGCGAGACCACATAACTTGCTGATTCTGTTCTACTTAGTTCGATGTTTGTGCCTGTATCCAAATGCCACTTCTGTAGCTTGACTGTTACGTCAAAATTTATTCAGGTAATGCCAATGATGGAGAGGCAGATCTAGAGATGCCTCTTCTTGAGCTTCCATTGACGGACGGCGAGTATAGGGTAAAGTGCATTTTCCCGTCGGTTTCTTTTCGATTGAACTTCAATTTTTGATAATCAGTCTCATCTGACGCGAATGCTCTGCAAATTCTCGTTGGAAGTCTTTGGACGTCTTCATACCTCTTCATATAAGTTTGATCTTCTTCATTTGGACCTTAATGTGATTTGTTTGTGGATTTTTTGCTTTCGTAAACCACACTGCGTTCGCTGGTTTGCTGAGTCACGCTCACTTTTTTATGCCCAAATGCAGACGGCAGACATAATGGGTTACGGTCTTATCGCGAAAGCGACTCCTTCGCTTCCCAAAGCAGAGGGTTTAGGTCTGCAGCCTCTGAAAATTTCATCTCCTCACTCATCAACTCCTACAACACCGAAGGGGCTAGCAAAATCTGGTTCTTTCAAGAAAAAATCTTCTTCCGAATCCAACTTGAATAAGTCCAGTGTGGACAGGCTGTTGCATCCAAGTTTGAGCGGGCGCCCTGATATTGCTCCTTACAGGATAGTTCTGGGTCATGTAAGAGAAAAGGTAGGCTGTTCTCATTCTCTTGATATCCCAGCGAAGAATCTCCCAGTTATAAAATTTGAATTGAATGAAAACTGGGCCCGGTTTAATTACTTGGAATTGAATTTTAAAGTTCAAAAGTATCTGGGAAACACGTGTTTGCCTGATCAGTTCATTCGTAAAGTCTTAAGGCTAGTCTGAGGAAGAAAACGTGACAATTCTATACACTCGCAGCTTGTGAACACCCGCCGGAGAATGGAGATGCTGTTAGAGGGCTTGACATGCGATTTCGAACAAGACGAGTACTACGAATCCACGGAGGACCTTCTGGAGCCGCTCCTTTTGTGTCATGAGTCCATGGTTGGTTAACCTTCCTTGTATTTTGCTTGCTATCAGGTTCATTTGTATGTTCTCAAACACCCAAAGCTGAAAGACTGTATGTTCGTTCACAGCGTGTCTTCTTTTGACTAAACTTTATCTACTCTTGGCTGTTTGATACGACTATGGTCAGTCATGTATTAATGAACAGAATTGGGGAGCGAAGCTTTGAGGTTTTTCATAATCAATGATGTCATTGTCCCTTCAATAGTTCCGAGGAGCGACCGTCGGAAACTCACTCACATAGGTTATTTTGAACATACTAAATCTCTTTAAAGAACGTTGATGGGGAGCAACAAGTCAATGTTCTGTATTTTTCTATACAATAAATTTACTTCTGACCAACAAAACGAGTAACTTTGGAAACGTTTTGTACTTTGAGATTCTGATGTTTCGCCAATATTTCAGGAAACGACTGGATCCGAAGTCTTGGCAGATGGCCGCATCGCCGATCTTATAAGGCGCATCTCTACATTTGGAATGACTCTTATGAAACTAGACGTGCGGCAGGTATTAAATCCTCGCTTGTGGTTTGATACGTGGTCGTTTGAAGTTCTATTCTTTTGGTTTTAACAGAAGCGGCGGCTACAGAGTCAACGCTTATGGTTGCAAGATTGTCGTTTGTCTGAATCTAGTGATTTCTGAATCCCGGTTACGGTGGGCTTGTGGAATATACACAGGAATCCGACAAGCATACGGAAACTTTAGATGCAATAACGGAGTATCTCGGTATGGGCACATACAGTGAGTGGGATGAAGAGAGGAAGATAAGATTTCTCACCCAGGAGCTGAGAGGCAAAAGACCACTTGTCCCACCGTCAATAGAGGTATTTATTTATTTGGACTCATATGCACTTTGTGTTTATTACCATTTTGTCGTTCAGAGATTTCAATGAACCTGTAAATTCAAATACAGAAAGAGATCTAACTTTATCCATGAAGATAGTCATACGTGTATCACAGTTTATGAGAGGGCTGTTGCAACACGCACTGACAGAAAAAGTTACACCATTATTCTGCTTATCTCCTGGTTTCAGGTGACACCGGAGGTTCAGGAAGTGCTAAACACTTTCCGTGTCGCAGCTGAGCTTGGTTCACAGTCTCTCGAAGCTTACATTATTTCCATGGCTTCAGAGGTAGCTATTTTTATTATCCTTTCATGTTCTTGTTTAAGTAGAAAGCAAAAAAAAAGAAAACAAAAACAAAAACAAAAACCTTGCACTCTGCAACAGCAACAAGAGACTTGGTCCTCTCGGAAGGTTCCCATCCAGACTGAATTACGGCTTATCCCAACATTTTTATTGTGTGCAGGCCAGTGATGTGCTTGCCGTAGAGCTATTGCAGAAGGAAGCTCGTCTTGTTGTGGCAGGAGAGCTTGGAAGACCATGTCCAGGGACAACGTAAGACTTTTCCACAATATTGCTTTGCTGTTACTATGGACTTGATACTCATCGTAGCCTGTATCAGCTCCTTGTTATGTGTCGGTGCCAGACGCCAGTGACTTGAAGGGTGAACCTTATCTGTCTCTCCTCATTGTCTCACTTGAAATACTGCGGAGGGTACAGATATGAAGCTGTAAATGGGAGGTAAATCAGAATAAGTATTAAGCATTTTGGATTTTGTTCGTTTGTAATAGCCAGCTGTGTACTCCGCACGCTAGTTTTAGTAAACTCCATTAATTGCCAGAATATGATTCTCAAGTTGTGCCTGTTAAGTTGCAAAATGTTGGATATGTCCTTTCTCAATCAACTTAAAATCTATACCAGCACAAAGTTTTGTGTTCCTCATCCTTTTGGGCAAGGATTAGATACGCTGATTAGTGGTGTGCAACTTTCTTGTAAGTTTCCAGTGACCCAGTTTTGAATGTACAGGTTGCGTGTGGTACCATTGTTTGAAACCGTGAAAGATTTACGGGATGCGGGAACGGTTATTCGGAAGCTGCTCGGCATCGACTGGTACAGGGAGCATCTGATTGCAAATCACAATGGACATCAAGAGGTTTGGCGAGAATTTTGTTTCTAACTCGTACAAAGTGCTAAATGAAGATCTGTAGATGATGTCCACGGGCGCGATTTTACAGAGGGGTATTTGAAGGGTTCGAGCAGACTTTGGATCGTGAGCATGGATAATGTTTGTCACTAGATTCGTGTCTTTGACAAGAACCTGCATTCATTGATGATGTCTGGTTGCATGCATCTCGGTGGTTCATTTCAGGTCATGCTGGGTTACTCTGACTCGGGCAAAGACGCAGGAAGATTTACTGCCGCTTGGGAGCTATACAAAGCGCAGGAAGATGTGGTCAAAGCATGCCAGGAATTTGGCATCAAGGTAACATTATTCCATGGTCGGGGAGGAAGTGTGGGACGTGGTGGAGGTCCTATGTATTTGGCTATACAGTCGCAACCACCCGGCTCTGTCATGGTAAAATTTTTCTCACTTCATATCTTTCAAAAGTGTTAGAACTTGACCAAGTTGCATTCAGCTCATTGCAAATGTGAGTACATCCTTCAAAAGCGTCTGCATGTTGCAAATGCTGGTCATATCTCATTCACATTCACCCTACGGCTGATCCTTCCAATCGTCTGACCATTGTTGCAATTTCATATATGGTGTTCTCTAGTTGTATAGTCAAAAGTATAACCTTTCTATTCTTGTGGGATGTATATACCATCCATTCCTCTACAGATCATCCTGTCCTAATGCCAGAATCTATCCTCGTTTTCAGTTTTAATGATACGACGTTTTTATGGGGAGCCTGAGCGCCATTCTTACAAATTAATTGTGATTGAAGGGTTCGCTGCGTGTTACCGAACAAGGTGAAATGGTTCAGGCAAAATTCGGTCTCGCCCAGACATCCGTTCGACAGTTGGAAATCTACACTACAGCTGTACTTCTCGCAACCTTGCATCCTCCGGATCCCCCACGCTCACCCAACTGGAGAAATGTCATGGAACATATTTCGGAGGTAAGTTGTCAGAACTATCGGAATATTGTCTTCCATAACGAGCAATTCTTGCAGTACTTCCATGAAGCCACACCGGAGGCAGAACTAGGAAACCTCAACATCGGAAGTCGACCAACCCGAAGGAAGAAGACTGGTGGTGTCCAGCAACTCCGAGCCATACCTTGGATTTTCGCCTGGACACAAACGCGGTTGACTTTGCCCGCATGGCTTGGAGTAGGAGCAGGATTAGACGCTGTTATTGCCAAAGGGGACCGTGATGAGTTGCAGGCCATGTATCGTGAGTGGCCATTTTTCCAGTCGACAATCGATCTGATAGAGATGGTGCTCGCCAAGGCAGACATTCCCATTGCAAAGCATTATGATGAAGTGTTAGTTTCACCAGAACGGCAACAACTTGGAGCCGAGATTCGGGAAGCTTTTCACACCACAGAAAAATGTGTTCTGGAAGTTAGTGGGCACCACAAGCTTTCGGAGAATAACAAGACGCTGCGTCGGTTGATAGAAAGTAGATTAGCGTACTTGAACCCAATCAACATGCTTCAGGTAGAAATTCTTCGGAGACTGCGACAGGATGAGAACAATCCCAAACTCAGAGACGCTCTCCTCATCACTATCAACGGAATTGCTGCTGGAATGAGGAATACTGGTTAAGCATGTTTCTCAAGAACCGGACTGGAAGCAAGGTAAGTCACACATGCTAGTCTACATACGGATTATTACTGTAGTTGTCCCCAACCCTGTTACTCTGGATTTCCACGAATGTACTCCATGGTAGGCTGTTACTGTTCTGAAGTCAACTACGGACTGTGAAATTGTTTACGAAGTCAATGTGTCTAAACTGTACACCTTGTCAATCTTTGTTAATTTGATTACACATCGTCCCAGCATTCCAGTCCTCGAACAAACTCCTGAAATTAATGAGATCATCGTCTTACAGGGACCGTCTACTCTAGGACGCTTGAGCGTGAAGACTATTTCACTCTGGAATTGACGACTTAATTTTTCTTCTAGGATCTCACTTATAATGGGACGTTGTTACATGTGATGTATTCGTTAATGTGGGATTCTGCCTTGGCGACAGTTCCTGGACATAAGCACATAGCTACTCCAGTGGCCACGCTGTTGTAAGGAGGTGGATGTGTGCGTGGCTTCTACTCTAGATTCAACTGCATAAATGGGTTGAAGCTATTTCCATGTCTGAAATAATGCTTATTTCTTGTCTCACTCAAATCCAGCTTCCTTTGCTGAAGCTCCCTCGAACACGGAGGGGTCATTAGCAGAAGCTTTGCTGCATCATGAAAGCACGTACGATCATCCATCCATCTTCAGATATATAGAAGTCATCATCCTACATATGTGTCAGGTGTGCACGGGGAAAAATGGATGACAGCTGTACACATCACATTTTGAGGAAAAGATGGAAATGATCAAAACAAGATTTGATAGGTAAACCTCCTTTTCTGATGGTGCAATGTGGATTGATGATTCCGTTGTTGTCACCTTATATGTGTGATGCTTGCTCGCACAAATCACGGCGTGCGTGACCAAAATGCGCGACCTGTCCACCCATGACTTCTGAAATATGGACTTCGCTACTGCCTCCTGGTTTCTGTCTGTCTACATCCAATGACTTCAGACTGTTGTCCCCTCATTTCTTCGATGTCCATCTCCGAGTGGATTCTGCAACTAATAGAAGTGGAATGATATTGAATATCAACAGTTGGGCCCATACGTTGGCGTCAATTCGTCAATTCTAACTGCAGTAGATCTCATATATGATAGGATTTTTTCCGGTGTCGTGGGTGTACGACACAGGAAAAAATCCTATCATCTTGCCACCAACAGCCCTTAGCTGCCTTCAATAATGGACACTCTTCGATGACCAACGCAATCATCCGAGAAGCGACATTTGTGGCACGCAATCTGTAATTCATCCACGAAGCAGATGCTTCTTCTCCGATCTAAAAATATACATGATTGCTCGCTGAGAGCAACCATTGCTACACTTGGTCTAAAGCATGCAATTCATCACGCATATGCTGTATGCTCTTGCAGTAAGTACTGTGGCACAACAAGTAGATTTTGTCAGAGAGCTAACCTGACAGCCATTCAACATCAATCTTCACTGAAGGCGACATGAAGGTTTCAGTGTGTACTCTTAATTGTGTTGCAACAATACACTTACATTTCAAGTCTTACATTCGACAACGGGGAATACAGGTCATAAAGATTTTACTTGAACTTTTGAAGACTGATGTACAGAACACGTTTTCAATCTTTTGTCTCATTGGTGTGGGCTAATCTTAAGCTGGCGTATGGCTGTAAAACTTTTAATATAGCAATTAAATTTAGTTACTATTAACATAAATGTCACTCACGGTAATTACTTATCACAACTATTTTGTACTTAATGTAAAAAGAAGAAGACTAAAAGGTTGATAACATGCTACTCCCGTTGAATTGGATGAGTATTCAATCCCAAATCAAGTTCTATCTCGAAACTCGCGAATCTGGGAACCAAAGGGTCAAAAGGCTAAAAAAAACACAATACAAACTCCAAACCAGGAGAGAACCGAAAGAACCCACTAGTTAGTGCCCAAAACACTAGAACGGCCATGGATAACAGAACCAATGTAGCAATCTAAATCATATGGCTCAAGTTGAAACAAAGAATAGAAATTCTCAACAACAACTTTATGAGACACTCTAATCTCTACATATCTAGTACAAGTAAGAAACACATGCTCTTCATCCTCAACATTTATCCCATCACATAACTTACAAATCCGTTCACTCTTATTATAATTCAACCAACGTATTTACTCAATTCCAAGCTTATGAGATTCTGTTCTATTACTAGCAATAATATGACGTAAAGATGTAGAGATCTCTGCAACAAGGTATCATTGCTCACAATAAATAAGCATAGGATTCAGATGAAGTTGATCAAAGTCCATTTTAGTGCCTCGTCTGTTCCAAATAATGCTGAGAAATTCTTCCTTGATACGCTCGCGAAGGGCCATAAGTTGCAAATTCCAATCGAATGCCGTCACATTCCACCTCAAATACCAAGTCACCACATCTACAACCATTCCTTGGAACGTGTGGCACGCAAAGCTTCAAGAGTAAGTCAAAAAGCATCAAGAAATCTCATTTTTTTGACATAAGTGATAGTCAAGAAGAGAGCTTCAACCTCAAGAGGTAGATAACATGATTCCGCAAGAAGAATAGCATATGAAGTTTGGGTACTCTCACCCAATTTTTCTTGTAAGAAGATCTTTTGCATCCTCTCAAAACGTTGTCAACCTCTCTTTTTACAACCAAAATCCCAATCTTGTGTTCCATAGAAGATAACGGGAAACACCAAGCTCATGAATAATAATTTCCTAAGACTCCAAGACACTAGATGAGCTCTTTTACATCTATTTAGCAATGAATATAGAGCTTTGAAACTAGCTTCTACACTCTTTTGCACACAAAGTGTCCAACTATGATCGTAGAAGAAATCAATGCCTAAATATTTGTAATTCTTCACTTGTTACTATTCTAGTCCTTTATAAAAGAAAGAAAGCTTGGATCTAGTGCCCACAAGAATGACATTTGACACTTCATTAAGTGTCAAATGTACTTTGATTCATTAATGTCATTAGTGTTACTTTGATGAAGTAGCAATGCCTCAAAAGCCTTTTGCTACTCGTCGATTTCTATGATCACAAGTAGATCCCACCAAAGTAAACCCTTGTATCTCTCCAATAACATTGCTATCATGCTCCCAAGTCTCTATAATGTTGAAGATGTCTGCCATCTTCCAAATTGAATGTGCATTCACACACTTCGTTATAGATATGACTCTTATGTTCCACATCAACATCCTCAATGTCTTGGATTGCCAGGTTGATGATTGTCTTATCTTATGACTGATAATAGCTTGACTATCGCGTAGATAAGCAATAAAACTAGCATCATGAGCTTGTTTAACTTTTGCAAGCTTCTTCCTCCTTGCTTCAACTTGTAGAGGTGTAAGATCATGATCTAACCAAATTCTACTTCCCTTGAGGATGTACTTGTTAGCTAAAGTTGTATCACGTTGAACTTGATCCACAAACTTAACAATAATGACACAAGATGATGCTACTTTGTTTCCAATATAAAAAGCTTGAGCCAAATCTGGATTAGAAACATCAAATGTTTTAGTCAAGAACTTGGTGACAACACTCTTCAACTATTCCTTATCAGATTCAGGTAGATCAGAAATCCTCAAGTTCTTTTTACGAGCACATTGATCAGACTTTTCAATCTCTTGCTCTTCACAGAAAGAGATATGAGCAGACTTAGAAACTTTAGCATAAGAGTTCATTTTTAACTTTAGACATTCAATCACTTCATGAAAACCAGGAGTAACAGAAGCAGAAGCTTGAGAACCAACCTTCTTTTGGATGTAGTCAACATATACAAAAATTTCAAGTATGATCTTCTCAAAACTTTTGTGAGAAACCTTGAACTCCATGATTTCATTTTTTGCAGTAGTCGAGGCAACATTTTGTAACTTGAATTCTGGGCGAAGAACTTTCAATTTTTCCAAAACTGTTTGCACAAGATTGAGTAACTTGTTTTCAGAAGCCATCATGAATCCGATTTTGCCATGAAGATATGGGTAGCGCAAGATCTAAACTCCAAAACGTAAACTCAAAGCTCCGAATTGACAACTACTTCACACAGGATACGTTGAGTCTGAAATTTTGAATACATATGCGCCTGGACAAAGTCAATAACGTCATCAAATTTTAGCTACAGTTGACACTTCACCGCGAAGATATGGATAGCGCAAGATCAAACCTCCAAAACCTAAACTCAAAGCTCCGAATTGACAACTTCTTCACACAGCATATGTTGAGTCTGATATTTTGAATACATGTGCGTCCGGACAAAGTCAACAACCCTATCAAATTTCAGCTACAGTTGACACTTCACTGCGAATATATAGATAACGCAAGATCCAACCTCCAAAACCTAAACTCAAAGTTCAGAATGAACAACTTCTTCACATTAGCTCCCTGTTGAGGCTGAAATTTTGCAGGCATGTGAGCCAGACAAAGTCAACAACCCCACCAAATTTCAGCTCTAGTTGACACTCCACCGCAAAAAATGGGTAGCGCAAGATCTAGTATCAAAACCTAAATTCAAAGCTACGAATTGACAACTTCTTCACATTAGATCTGTTGAGGCTGAAATTTTGAATACATGTGCGTTTGGCCAAAGTCAACAATCCCATTAAATTTCAGCTCCAATTGACATTCCACTGCGAAAATATGAGTAGCGCGATATCAAGACTCCAAAACCTAAACTCAAAGCTCCGAATTGGCAACTTCTTCACACCGGCTTCCCGTTGAGTCTGAAATTTTGCAAGCATGTGCGCTAGATCAAAGCCGACAATCCCATCAAATTTCAGCTCTAATTGACATTCCACTGCAAAGATATTGGTAGCGCAAGATACAAACTCCAAAATCTATGATCAATATATCAAGATATGCATGATATTGTTGAGATAGAATTTGACTACTTGATAGATTAGTTGGATAAAGTATTGTTATGTTGTGTGATCACAAAGTACCCATCACACGTATTTTTATCAAACTTTAATTGAAATTCAAGTTTGATAATTCATCAACATGAACATTCTAACTAATGAACAATCAGGTTAACAATCCTAACATAAGTAATAAAGGATTATATTCACATTATTCATTTTCATATTTTATATTATCTTTGAAATCATTAACATTTTAGACAATAAAGCAATCACACTAACAAACTTGACACACAAAGTTAACCTAAACTTGGAACTAATCTACTACAATAAGCACAAATAAATTTTTTCCATATAATCATTCATTTAAATTGGTTCAATCAGCACTAATATATTAACACAAATCATATTTAAAAACAAAATTCTGTTTTGAAATTATCGTATATCAAAATATAATGATATGACATCCAAAATGATTTTGAGCTTTGTTTTCAACTGTTTTTTATTATAACTACTTTTATAAAAAAGTGAATTTTTAAATATATAATATAAATTTCATTTAATCATCGCAAATTGCTTTGAAGTCTCTTTCAAAGACATATCAGTTTGATTTACAATCTTAAGTGTACAATTTTTGCAATTCCAAAAATCAAATTTTCAATTAACATTCTGTTTAGTACATCTAGTCATATTTAAAATCTTTATTTTTATAAGTTGAAATAAAATTATATCATAATAAAATTAAGCTTTTTAGAACTATCTAAACCTTATTCAAAGCTGATTGTTTTTACTTTACATTTAATTTTCACTTTATTTTAAATAATTAATTGTAAATTAAAATTCTGAAGTACGCACATTTTCATCAATAAAAATATTAATTTTAAAACTGAATTCAATTTTAAAAGAAATAAAATTTGAAATGATGAATTTCTTTCACATGGATCACATTTCAAATTCAAGAGTTTTAACTTTTAATATTTTTTAAATTCCATTGCGCTCACTAAAGCATAAATATAGATAAAAAAATAAAAAAAATAAAGCCAAATTTGATTTGAATTATAGATTTTTGCAATATTATTTAAAAACCATAATATTATTTTCTTGAAGAGATTACCTTGTTTTAAATCATCATTATGAAAAAATCTATCCAAGCCAAATTACATTTTAATAACTCGAATTTTTAGTATATTGATTATTTTATTATATTCACACTTTCAAATATTTAACTTCAACAATTGAATGATAAATTACACTAGTTTTCTTTTTACTCCAAAAAGCTAAGTTTAACAAAATTTTGATTGCTTTGAAAATAGTCTTCATTGATTAAGATCCAAATGCACAATGGTTATATCACATACACAAATATTTTATGTGGAATTATTGCTTCATGTGTGACAAAGTGCACATCATATTAAAATTATACATGAGCATTGATAATAATAAAAATATATAGAAATATTTCTGGAAATAAAATTCAAAAATTTTAAAAGATGAGAAATACTTATGATGGATCTAATTTTTACTATATAAATATATTCTTAACAATTACAAGATTAAAAAATTTCAGGTCTACCATTCATAAGACCCTCCATGAGTCAATAATATATCATGTGCTTATATGTGTTACAAACTAAGTACATAAACATATCACTCTTTGCTGTGTTAGATTGATAGATAAATTTTGTGAATTGACTATTTATATAGACCAAAAATTAAATCAAATAAATTAAATCCATAGAAAGAGCTTAATTATAGAACAGAAATGATCATGTTTAATTTTGAAAATTTTATTTAAAATTTATTTTTGATATTGAAATTGAAAACACTTTATCGAAATTTCCATTCAAAGAAAGTAAAATATTTTGAGATCGTATTCAATTTCAGGTTTTGATTGATATACAGTTTATAATTTTTTTTTCAGATGATGAGCATGTGTGGAGATTCTTTAATTGGTGTTTATATTATATTTATCAATCAGAACGAAATTGAATATGTGTAAGATAGTTTCCATTATTTAGCTCTGGTACTTTATTGAGTTCTCTTGATTTTTTTTTGGGTAAAACAAGCAGAAAATCTGCAGGGTAACATGTCAATTGGGACACTTTTATGCTTTGAATTAGGACATAACATTTTAAAAGCGGATGTAAAGCCTTGAGAAGCGGGATTTTCGATATGGGAAGGCTCCGACATTTTTTGTGACAAGAGTGAACTTCCGGATGTATCAACTAAGCTTTAATTTTTCCTTAAACAAATTGCTGTCAGACGTAGGAACGATGTAATGGTCACGTCGCGAATGAAGACCTCTATATGAACAAGGAGGGCACCCGGTGATATAGCAAGATGGATGGTAAGGCCCGTGAGCATAAAGGGAATTGGTGTTAGAGTTATATTCGTTCCCAGTTATGGCATACGCTTTGATATGTTTACTATACTGCAGGATCGATAAAAGTCCTGACACTGATATTGAGCAAGCAATAATGGGATATGAATGGATGCTTTACAATTTTGTAAGCTGAAAAGTCGAGTGACACCGCCCTGCGAGGAAAAAAATCTGCGAAATAATTACCCGGATCCATAGGATCATCCAAAACGAAATCATGAACAGGATCAAGGCCATACTAGCTAGGAATGATGACGGAAGTTAGGCCGAGCTTACGGTACACAGACGTACTGTACCGATCGTATGTTCTAGACCATGGCATGCCATACGAGTCGGACGCGCCCGTCCAGAATATGCGATGGCATCAGTCCTAGCGTAGCGAACATACATGCGGCCGCGACGTCCGCGTCGTCGTCATCCATGGCTTTGCTTTGGCTGCCCTCGTCGCGCCCCTGGCCTTCCTTGTCGAACAGAGCGAGACCCACAGAGGTACGGGCAGGGAGAGAAGGAAGGAAGGAAGGAGGGGTGCCCTCGTCTGGTTGGACCGTAGCGGAGCCAGGCAAGGGTTAGGCAAAGAGATGATTGTGCGTGGCTAGAGTCCAGATGTGACCATGTGTCCACGTAGGGGCTGACTGTGCAGGGTGCTGCGTCGAAGCAGACGACAGAGGCCAGAGGGACAGGGACAGGGACGCAGAGTCAGACAACGACAGGCTTGGTTTGGTCTGGCTTGGCCTGGCTCGCCTTTTTGCCCTCTTGCCGTTGGGTTGGCTGGCGGGGTGGCTCGGGCTCGGGCTCGGGCATCAGCCCGCGAGCAAGAGCGAGGTGAAATGCGTCGGGAGCGGACCCAGGAACGTTAGCGGAAGCGAGGACGGACTCAGCCGTTTTTGTCGAGCTCGAGGACGGCGCAGGCCCGAGCAAGAAAGGCAGCAGACGAGACGAGAGACGCGGAGGACGGGAGACAGATTGGTAGATTTCGAGGGAGGGAGAGAGAGAGAGAGAGAGAGAGGGGGTGGCGAGCGCAGGAGATGTTGGTTGGTGGTGGGTTTTGAGTCGGAGGAGGACGAGGAGGAGCAGGAGGACAGGGGACGTGGACAGTGGAAGAAGGAGAAGCTCCCGACTTCGGAGAGGTACGACGAGGGAGAGGTTTCGACGATAGAGGAGGGGAGGGAAGGGCGTGGCATGGTGGTGGAAGGTGCGAGGGAGATGTGACTGAGTTTTACAGGTGGATGTCAAAACGATCGATCTTCGGAGAATTCGCAGTTGCGAGGAAAGGATGAAACGAACGCTATGATTGCAGGCCACGATCCGGTTGCTTCCCTGTGCTGTAGTGGTGTAGGTGTAGAGGAGTAGATTACAGCAAGGGTTGTTGATTTTTGGAGGGGGGTGGGTGGGGAGGGGCTCATTGTAGCGCTTTTCTTCTGCGAATTAGAGAGAGAGAGAGAGAGAGAGAGAGAGAGAGAGAGAGAGAGAGAGAGAGAGAGAGAGAGAGAGAGAGAGAGAGAGAGAGAGAGAGAGAGAGAGAGAGAGAGAGAGAGAGACGCATGGTAATGGGAAGTTCGGGATCAAAGCTGGAAAAGGCGCTAGGGGATCAATTTCCCGAAGGAGAGCGGTACTTTGGATTGGAAAACTTTGGCAACACTTGCTACTGTAATAGCGTCCTACAGGTACAATCTGCATTCGTACTTACCCACTCTATGGTGTGTGTGAAACGTCTAACCCCTTCTCGACTTCCTTCCCGTGGTAAAACGCGATGTCTGAGGGTCTGGTAATCGGGAACGGTCAGGTACGATCCTTCTGGACTGGAAATTTGCTTACCGCGGCTATCTGGGCAGTACTCTTCGTAACTCCGCTACTGGCCCAGGAATTCGGAACCCGGGGATGGACTGGAGGGCTTCGCAGATCTCTGCCTCTCTGACAGAATTCTGTCTTTGATCAGGCCCTCAAGAACTAACCCCCCTTCTGCCTTGACCACAACTGACGGTGATCGTCCCCGTATAGCCGGACGCTGTGTAGTGGATTCTAGTCAAATTTTCCGTTTTTGATTATTCGCAAGTTCGTTTTATCGTAGGTCTGGTTCTTAATAGATTGGGCACGCCTTACGCACCTGCTCGTCCAATTTCATAACAGTTCGTCTCCACAGCTTGAATAGAACTCCATTTCTTCACGAATTCTTCACTGTTTCCTCTCCATATTAACTGAGCGTAGTGTAGCGTGAATAAGGACCGAGCATAACCTAATTAGTAGACTTTTTGAGACTGTCATCCATAGAAACAATATCAAGATGCCGTCTCGTCAGTACTCAGCAGATACGAACATGAGCCACTCAAGATTATGAGAATTTCACCACACCTTTGTTAGGCTTTTTTCTTCTGTTATACCGGAATGTTCCAGAGATTTGAAGGTTTCTCGCTTGCAGCTGAAACTTTCAAGCCAGTTTTGTTACCCAGGCTATTTCAGTTTGTTGGCTCAAACTTTTTAGGGCTTTCCTTGCCATCTCAGTTGAAGAGAGATTCTTTGAATTAAGTATGGAAATCCTTATACATAGTACAGACCAAGAGCCACCTACTTCAGGGATCTGTTGCACCAGAGGTTACAAATTCGTGACCTTGTAACTATGAAAAGGATTACAATCTAACGAATGTGTAGACAAATGTCTTACTTTAAGTTTTTGTTATCAGTGTCATAGGACGAAAGTTAGTGCACGAAATGGAACAGAGTCATAGAACATACCACCTAAGTTGGTTGCAAAGGGAAGGAACGGTTGGTTGAGAATGTTTCTAGGTAGCACTTGACTTATGGCATCAAAATCTAAATGTGAATGTGCTCAGAGATTTTAATCTGGATAGCCTGCAATCAATAAATTATAACTGGACTAAAATTCTTGCAGATAAACGATAGCAGTCCTAAAGTATGTCGTGACGAAACTTGTTCTGCGTTTTAGACTTCAGCCTTTTCTGTCTTTCCCTTCATAAATCACTACTAATAAGTTGGTAGGCCTGCACGCTTGGAATATTGACGACGCGAGGTCTTGCAGGCCCTATATTTTTGTGTTCCTTTTAGGGATCAATTGCTGGAGCATGCTAGCCGCAGTAAAGGTTCCGGAGAGACAGATGATAATCTTTTGACATGCTTGTCGGAACTTTTTACTCAGGTAATCGTCCTCATTTTTGCCCATTTGAATGAGAAGTTAATTTGGCTGAACTTTTCCTTCTAGTGGTAGGTGTTCCAACACAAATCTCTGTAGCATGGAGGTTTACCTGGAACAAAGATCCTATAACTTGACTTATCTGATTTTATTTGCTATGAATTGGGTAGTGAAGAGCATTTGAAGATTTTCTTCTTAAGACTTGATCAATTTTCATGTGTAGATAAATTCGCAAAAGAAGAAGACAGGAGTTATCGCCCCTAAGCGTTTTGTCCAAAGGGTGAAGAAGCAGAATGAGCTTTTTCGGAGCTATATGCATCAGGTATGTATGTTTTGCAAATCATATTAATTGGATCGTACTAGTTACTTCACTGTTCTAGTCATCTTTGGTAATCGGTTAGTGAAAGAAAATGCTTGCATCCTAGCCGTTGTTACAAGAGTCTCTGAGCAATAATTTCTTCGTTGAACATCAACTGGTTGCAGGATGCACACGAGTTTCTGAATTTTCTGTTGAACGAACTGGTTGATATTCTTGAGAAAGAGGCTAAGGCATCTTCGAAACCTACGTCTGGCCAAGTGCACCCTGACAAGTTGGCTAATGGCACTGCCAATGGAATAGCAAATGGCAATCATCCTCACCCAGTGGTTACATGGGTGCACAAAATTTTTCAGGTATTTTGTAACATATTGATTGCAAAGTGTGTTAAGGTCAATGTGGACGTGCATGCTCAATTCCTGCATTTGTCTGGCTTTATTTGTATTATCGTGACCAATCTTGTTTGATGTGAGTGAAATGAATAAAATGACAACAATTGGAGAAAGAAACATTTTAGAAGTTAGAATCATGTCAAAAGAGTTGAATGGCCTTGGCTTTTTCACGGCTATAGTTTTAAGTTCAAAGTACCAAGTTTATGTACCTGGATGTATATGCTTTCGTTCAATGTCTGAATTTATGACAGTGGAGATATCTTGACAACTTTTAACTAATTGTGAACATTTTTACAGGGAACACTGACAAATGAAACAAGGTGCCTGAGATGTGAGACCATAACGGCCAGAGATGAGACGTTTTTAGATCTGAGTCTTGATATCGAGCAAAACAGTTCTATCACAAGCTGTCTACGTAATTTTAGCTCCACAGAGACACTGAATGCCGAGGATAAATTTTTCTGCGACAAATGCTGCAGGTAAAGCTACTCTTTGATGTGGCACTTGATGTCTGCTGTTTGGATGCTCATAGTTTGCCTCCACATCATTTACTGCATATAATGCTAGGACAGAGCATGTATGAGTGAGTTGCGAGATGATGGGATGAAAACGAATGAGTGTTGCCTGCAATCGATCGAATGTAGCTCCTTGTACTTTCTGCAAATTGATGACTTCTTCGTCCGCAGTTTGCAAGAAGCACAGAAAAGAATGAAGATTAAATCTCCTCCTCGAATACTTGCTCTTCATCTGAAGCGTTTCAAGTACATTGAACAGTTGGGGAGGTACAAGAAACTGTCATACCGAGTTGTGTTTCCACTGGAGCTGAAACTCTGCAATACAACTGATGATGCTCCTGGTTCTGAAGCAGAATACTCCTTGTTTGCCGTTGTGGTTCACGTCGGAAGTGGACCTAATCATGGGCATTATGTTAGTCTGGTAAAGAGCCACAACCATTGGCTATTTTTTGATGACGAAAATGTGGAGATCATTGATGAATCAGTCGTCCAGACATTTTTTGGTTCTACTCAAGAGTACTCGAACAACACAGACCATGGTTATATCTTGTTTTACGAAAGCCTAGAGCAGAAACATTGATATGAAGTTGACTCTTGGTAACAGTTTGTCAGTCGCTTTCACTCCTTTGTGCCATTGTGTAAGAGTTATACGAGTGGCTAATTTACAGCCTAAAGCACATCAGTGCTAGAGTTCACTTTTTGAATATGATCGGGAGGAACGGGATATGTAAGTTTCAAGGTTTGCTTTCAGCTTTATTATGTCAAGCCAGCTAAGAGCAAAGAGCTAGCAAAGCTGTTGGAAGTGAGGTTTCAATAGCCTGAGAGTTTCAAAGTTGTCAAATTTATGGGCAATCAGCGCCCAGCGAAGAGTATAGAGGCATCTCAGGAAGCTCAAAACTTCCACGATATGCTTGTCTTTTCCATATATGACACAGCTGTCAGTCGAGGGCGTTAGCAGCTTCTGTCGTCGAGGTTAAGATGTATTTCTTAGTTGAGAACAAAACTGTCCTGGCACCAATTGCAACTTACTTCAATGGACAGGCTTATTTATATGTTGATAAACTGAAATATTGACTTGGTAGCGTAGATCATTGAGGGCAATAGAAAACTTTCAGTAGGGCTGTAATGTCGTGGGACATCGGCTAGTTGTACATACACACTTCATGCCTGTCGGCATTGAGAAATTTTAGCTTGCCTTCTCATCTTGATCCTAGCATCAAAATGTGCTAAGGTGGGGCGGGGAGGTATATCAACTGTTCCATAACAGGTAGGGCCTTTTTTGTTCAGCTTCTCCTCTAGCCAAGTGACCTGCATTGAATGAATCAGAAGAATACGTTTCGTATTAGACTCTTTCCTGAATGATAAGAAACCATTGAAACTTGTGCAGATTATACCTGACTAAGAATCTATGTTTCTGATGTCATTAATTTTTTGAAAGTGATGGCCTATATACTTGTCTTACCTTTGGTGTGCAACCCGCCAGCTGGTTGCTGATCTAATACATGATCAGTTTTTTTCATCGGTGAACGCTTCCAGCATCGATTCAGACAGCTGAGCCTGCTGGCCATCGTGGGCATTTGTTTACCTCCAGTGTTCCTCCTCACAAGGCTTGCTCGAATCCACTATGTGATATGGGCAGATTTCTGCTAACATAGAGCCTGAGTGCTAAGTTTTATGTCCATAGACATCTTTTGTCCAGAGTTGCCCATCAAAGTGCATCATGTGGATCTGCTGCCCAAGGCTGTCCCTCCTTTTCTCTTTTCAGCACTTTATAATGAGGCACTTCATAATGAGCATGCTCTGTCACAAGAGGCAGAGGACGCTTTGGAGAGAAGTTGCCTAAAAAAAATACGTCATTTAGATGGCTTTTTATTGTTCTTAGCTGCTCTTTCCTCCTACGGCTAATGTGTCGACGATTAGTAGGCGGGTGGCAGGTTAGTGTTATTGGATCTCACTCTGCCAAAAAGCTGACAGACGTATCTGGTGTATCCCACTATGAACAAAGTGTCCAACCACATACGTTCATTGTTTCTGTCTGTTTTTGATGCGGTTTAGACCCACTCTTTTCATTCCAGAAGTTTCAATTGTTCTTAAGAAGGAATTGATAGACGAGGGCCATGAATTGGAAAAACCAGTTGGAAGCCCATACGAAGTTTGAAGATGGTATTTAGCGCCATCACTGTAGCAGGTAAAATGACAAGCAAGACGCGCTGTCTGAAGAGGAAGTTCGTAGCAGTTCATGTGAGTTGAAATTTTTTTCACGTATTTCGGAGTGTGCAGAGAAGATTAATTCCTTAGGGTTAGGAAATAACAGCTACGTTCCACACCTTTCTCAAACGTACTCGTTCTTATCAAGAAATGGTAATATACCAAGCTAGGGGACCCAAAGGGTCAAAAGGCCGAAAAACAAAATACAAGCCAAAGTCACAAACTTACTCGTTCTTATCAAGAAATGGTAATATACCAAGCTAGGGGACCCAAAGGGTCAAAAGGCTGAAAAACAAAATACAATCCAATGTCACAAACAAGTGAAAAGACCCAAAATTCCAATCCCTATCAAGAAATGGTAATATACCAAGCTAGGGGACCCGAAGGTCAAAAGGCTGAAAAACAAAATACAATCCAAAGTCACAAACAAGTGAAAAGACCCATAATTCCAATCACTATCAAGAAATGATAATATACCAAGCTAGGGTACCCAAAGGGTCAAAAGGCTGAAAAACAAAATACAAGCCAAAGTCACAAACAAGTGAAAAGACCCAAAATTCCAATCCCTAGACTAATAATGCACTTAGTATAACAACCTAAATCAAAAGTAACTAATTGTAATCAATAATAAAAATTCTACACATCTATATTATGAGCAAGCATAATATCTTGGTACCTAAAATAGTTAATAAATACATGCTCTTCATACTCAATGTACCCATCGTCATATAATCTACAAATAAATTCACTCCGCTCAATATAAAGCTAGCTTCTTTTCTCAATTTCAAGCCTATGAGATCCAATTCTATGACTAGCAATTATATAATTTAAGTGTGTAGAGATTCTTGCAAGTAGGTAATTCTGTTCACAATAAACAAGCATAGAATTCACATGAATTTGATAAAATTGCATCTTGGTGTTTTGTTTGCTCCAAATAATGTTCAGAAACTACTACTTTAGACGTTCACGTAGTGATATTGGTTGCAGGTCCTAATCGCATTCCGCCACATCGCACCTCAAAGAGCAAGTTATCACATCCACTAACAATCGTTTGGCAAGTGTGACACTCAAAGTTTCAAGAGGAAGTCAAGAAGCATCAAGAGATCTCACACGACTGATGTAACTGATAGTCAAGTATAGAGCTTTAGCCTCTAGAGGTAAACAAAATGTTTTCGCAAGAATAATAGCATATGGAGTTTGGTTTCTCACACCCAATTCTTCTTGTAGAATTATCTTCTGCACACTCTCCGCGCACTTCTTACAAACCAGAGCTCCACACTTGGGTTCCATGTAATATTATCGATAACACTAAGCTTTTGAATAAAAATTTCCTAAAACTCCAAGATAGTAGATGAGCATTTTTACACAGATTTAACAATGAATATAGAGTTTTGTAACCACATTCTATCGATGCACTCAAATTGCCCAACTATAATCATTAGAAAAGAACTGATGGTAAATTGTGCATCAATATGACTCTCAAGAGTTGAAACACAGTTTTGACAGTACAATTTGCATTACTTCGTATAGATCAATATTTATTTTCTCTTATATTGTGTCATATGATGAAGTTCAACGCAACTATCCATATGCACACTTCAGATTCCATAACTTCATCCTAGACAACTACTTCTCCGAAATAGGAAATGAGGCAAGGACGGCCGCGTTACAATTCTGCTCCAGACATGTGACTTTATGAGCTGAAAGAAATGTAGATAAAAAACGCTCAAAAGATATATCACGATTTGTTCAGATACAGGAACCAGAAGGCTAATTGCCTTTCCCAATATTGGTTCGGTTACTACTTATTATAACTAACAAGAGTTAACTCACTTAGCGACTCGTTTGCCCCTATTTCTTCTCCCACATATGAACGCAGTGCATTGATGGACTGGGAGAGTAATGTGGCTAGTTCATAGTCGATTATTGTCTTTGAAAAGGAGCAGAATACTGAATTATGGTGGTGGTGCCTCTTCTTGGCTGATAGGATATCATCGATGGCAATTTTTTCCACTTGATGTGGATAACCCAAGTCACGGGTTTGATGGAAAGTGATCAGCAGCACTCTCCCACGAGTTTCTCGATGAACCATGTCGATCTTTCCTCGTTCTTCCCCACAACTTCCACGGTTGTACGGTTTGCCTCATTTTCCATACCCGACTTTTAACCATGTCTCCCGGATGGAAATCCGTCGCCGTCACTGTCACTGGTATTCAAATAGATCAACAACAACGTCACAGTCCCCGAAAAATACGTACTGTTCCTTTGGCAGAGTTACCAGGGTGAGCTGACCGTGCACCAACTGCGTACGACTCAGCACGGACTGCAGTCGATCCAGCCCTGGGTCGGAAAAGCGGGATGCAACGGACAAGTACGTGGTGCACGAGACGCGAGACAAGCTGAGTCCCGGAGAAAGCATGCTTCTGGCATGGCATGGCCATCCCGAAAGGGGCGGGGGCCGCGTGGGGGTGATCTAAAGCGGGGACATCTGGCCAGAGGGGTTGAAATGATCCTACGTGGACACCAGAGCTGAGGTGTCCGGGGCTTCCTTCCATACCGCACCTACCGACGTCCATCCTCAGTAATCAAGTCTGTATGAAGCTTCTCCGCCTGCCAAGCGAGCAGCCACGGACAATTATAATGAGCTCCAAGGTCTAGGCTCCAGCCAGCGATCGCTGATTGAGCTGGTCTCGGGGTGTCATTGATTGATTGCCACAGTGGACGGGTGGAAAAGCTAATGGCATCGCATATATAAGCTGACGAGCGTGGAGAGTCGGGTTCCAGTATGCCGATGTGGGTCTTGGTAGTCTTCAGGCTGGCATATGCTCTTCAGACGTTGAGTGCTCCCTCTCTTTCTCTTCCTCGGACAGTTTTCTTTCTCCTTGTTTAGAAGAGCGGGGTTTGGAGAGTGAGCTTCTGGAGCTCCGAGAGCAGGAACATGGCCAGTGCCAGTGCGTGCTCGTTGCAAGTTCCGGCAGGGTCTCTGCGAATGCTGCGGGAGCCCTGCGCTGCGAAAAAGAACGAGGTCAGCCGGAGGAAGAAGGTGTCGTTTGGCGTCAGAGGTAAGGCAGAGAATGGAGGAGTGAAGCAGACTGTAGATGAGAGTGCAGGGCCCGATCTCAGCGTCACGGTGAATGGGCTGCGGTTTCCCAATCCCTTCGTCATCGGTTCAGGTCCTCCGGGGACGAATTACACGGTGATGAAACGCGCGTTCGACGAAGGCTGGGGAGGAGTCATTGCGAAGACGGTGGGTGGGACGCCGTACACCTGTGTTTTGTTTTGTCGTCTCAATTAGCAAACAATGGTGGAATGGCGTTTTTTTGAGCCCTGATTTTGTTCACGACGCAGCCAATTCGTCCATTTCAGCTTTGCTTTGTCCACTCGAAGCAATTGCTTCGAATGGACAAATTCTTGTAGCTCAAAGGATTTTTGTAGTTGGATTTTGTGGTTCAGTTAGGACAATTGGGTAAGGGCGTTGTGGAAAAAATTAATAAAATGACGAGTACTGTATTTTTCAGGTGTCTCTAGATTCATCAAAGGTTGTAAATGTCACTCCTCGATATGCACGCTTGTACGGTCCGAATACAAGGGAGGTTATTGGATGGGAGAACATCGAACTTATCAGCGATCGGCCATTTGAGACAATGTTGGAGGAAATGCGGAGGTTGAAGCAGGAGTATCCTGATCGCATTCTTATAGCATCAATCATGGAAGAATACAATAGGCCTGCATGGGAGGAGGTCATAGAACGTGTTGAAGAGACTGGTGTGGTGAGTCAGCTGATTCGCCTTAGAATGTCTCGAAGTATTGATGTGCTGGTGGAAGTTGTCCCTGTCCCCGCCCACTATCCCCAACCTGGTCTGTCTTCCAACATGTACAATTACCGCAACTGTACATATATTGTGGAATCCTTTGTTCTGTATAAGTTCTACTCAAGTATTTTTCCGAGGTGAAATTGTTCTTCTTATATATCTATGTCTTGTCCTAAGTATCCAACCTGCAGACAAATCGAAGAATTTTGCAGAAGGATCGCTGGAAGAACACAATTGTAGCCATAATGCTAAAGTGTTAGAGCTGATGGATTGTGCTGTTCGCAAGTCTCGGCTTTCACTGACGGTAATTGTTGCTTTTCAGGATGCTTTGGAGATCAACTTTTCTTGTCCTCATGGTATGCCAGAGCGCAGAATGGGCATGGCAATGGGCCAGGATTGTGAGCTCTTAAGTGAGGTTTGCGGATGGATCAATGCGAAAGCCACGGTGCCTGTCTGGGCCAAGATGACCCCAAATATAACAGACATAACCGAGGTCTGTACGATTTTTGTGATCTGTTTCTCCAAGAATGGTCAGAAACTATATATCTGTGTACATTGCTTCGCTGTAGAGGTTTCTATTTCTTCAGATTTGTAGCAGTTGTCTTCGTTCTAAACGTGTCTATTTTTTGAGTGATGGTGCGAGGCTCAGGCTAGTGGGAGAAAGCTTTTGCACTGATGTTTAGCTCAGCTTCACGTAACGAACCAAATGTCTTTACGGTAAACAATGTTCTATTTACATGCCTGATTGTTTGGCATGTCTCAAAGCCTGCAAGGCGAGCTTTGGATGCCGGTTGTGAAGGAATCGCAGCAATCAACACCATAACGAGTGTGATGGGCATCAACCTTGACACTCTGCGTCCCGAACCTTGTGTTGAAGGGTACGACTAACTTGTGCACTTGCGCCTGTTGTATACCTGGTCTACAAAAGTCCGCTACTCTGTTATACAAAGGTCAGAGGATGAGATTCATGTCAGTCGATGGACTTCGCCGTAAGGGTTCAGTATCATTAGAAAGTAAACATTGAATGCTTAGAAGTCATGAAAAATCTGACGTAGGTATTCCAGTTTGCTGACGATTGCCTTGGACGGTTCTCATGTAATCTAGATACTCTACTCCTGGAGGATATTCATCTAAAGCCGTTCGTCCGATTGCTCTTGCAAGAGTGATGGCTATAGCTCAAATGATTAAGAAGGATTTCCCCAATCAAAACTTGTCCCTCTCCGGTATCGGGGGGATTGAAACAGGCAATGATGCTGCCGAGTTCATTCTTTTGGGTTCTAACACCGTGCAGGTAAGTGAGTCCCCTCTTGTTGTATGTTGATGAGAGTATGACGAGTATTAAATATGAGTTACATGTTTTTAAATAGATCCAAACTAGAGGATTCCAAATTCAGAAATTGAAATCCCATGTTAAAGTCATGGAAATTGATCAGAATAATATCGATGATGAGGCTGTACTTCGACCTTGAATCGTAATGAAGTCCATTGACTTGGGATTTTGTGCAGGTGTGCACAGGAGTGATGATGCATGGTTATCCACTTGTGAAGAAATTGAATTCAGAGCTTCAAGCGTTTATGAGCAAACATGGCTTCACGTCTATCGAAGACTTTCGGGGGTGAGTCTCTTGTAAGGAATATAACATAAATGCTATCAATTTGTGGTCTTCCAACATCTCTTAGATTATGTGTTGAGTCTTCCTCGGCCATCTTCAGCAGAACACAAAAGAGCGATTGATGATAAGATTTCCTACTTTCGTGAGCTCTCTTTGTACACCACGTCATCTTCTGCATCATTGTAAGGATCAGTTGCCGTGTTATCTACAAATTGTGTAAATCTCGTAATTACACGATTTCTAGATACCATCCAATTAACTTACTAAACATAGTTTTCAAAGAATGATGTCAGTGCTTGTTGGAGAAAAGAGTTCAGAGTCAGTCTTTTACCAATGTGCGCGCTTACAAATCCGCTGACTGTAAGATGTGGTTTGTTCCCGATAGTGCATCGCTGGAGTACTTTACCACGCACATGGAGTTGGTTCGAATGCAAAAGGAGGCCGTCAGTGTGAGACGCTCAGTTCGCAAAGGTCTTGCATCTGACAAAGACTGGACAGGCGAAGGGTTTGTAAAAGAAACTGAGACCATGGTTTCGAACTCTTGAGCACCTGAGCACGTCATTTGTAAACGACCGATGGACTGAGTAGTTTCTAGGGTCTGTAAGCAAATTGCGAAGAGACTATTGCACACTGTTGTAATTCGAGAGTAGGAAACACATGTGGATATAATCGTAAACTTGAAAATCGTACAGTCGGAATTATAGCCTTCGACATCTAGAAGTGCACATTTCCCAAGTTGGAGGCAAGGCTGCATTCTGTAGTACAGCTGTGAATATTAGAACATGTAGATGATTCTGTTTGTAAATTCTTTTCTCCAGGTATCCATGAATACCTGGATACAGTGAAACAACTACTTGAGACTCGTTAAGTTTTTCTAGATGCCGATCTGCTGAAAGTGTCTGTAGGCTTATTTTTTCTGATATCCAGACTCACTAAAAATAAAAACTCTTGGCCTGAATTCGATGTTTCGAGGTATTGCAAAACGTGATCATGACACGCCATCACCAGTTCATGTCGCGAAAACACGTCACATTTGCCCTTGTGAGTCACGATTATTTCTAGATATTTTGTACAGTATCAGCTGCAATGATGGTGATAAGTTCAAGTGAAAGAACTTCGACAGCGTGATCGTAAGGGGAAGGACCCTACATATGACTCGAAAGGTCGAGGAGCCTTCGAGAGAGAACCGTGAAAAAGAAGGAACAAAATGAGCCTACCCCGTTCGTCTTCATCTCTGGCCGTGGTGCGTGACGTGCAGTATTTGTGCAGAGCTAGAATATACTCCAACATTCGGCACATATACTTCAGTCAGAAGCTGTCGCCAACAGACATACAGTGATGTTGAATGTGCTTTGATGAATGGAAAAGTAAGTAACTCACCCCTGTCAATTTGTGTGGAGCGAGCACGGACTCGTGATTTGAACGCAGCCGCATGACATGGACCAATCTGAACTCCTTCATACTTCCCATTCCTAAAATAGAGCATAATCTGTTTATCTTCTGATTTTACAACTGTAGTAGCCGGGAAAACCCTTATTCTTCTTGATAGAGCGTTCATTGTATCAGTATGAGAGAAAGGGAGCATCCCATCGAGAAATGATGAATGTTGGAACGAGAGACTTCCGACCACTCGCTTCCTACAGGTCGTCCAGTACATTGGAAGTCTCGACGAAATTGCGGCGCAGGAGTGCAATACGAAATGGCGACAGGAAACTGAGGTTTTCAACGTGCTAAAGAGATCCGGCGAAGTCGGCCTCGGAGTCGCGGACACGAGCTGCTTCTCTCTGTGGTGTACGAGAACTCTGAGCCTGGACTGACGAGCAATATGGTCATGGTAATGGTAAATGGGAGACAGTCGATGTCACAGTACGTGGTAACTACGTCGTCACTTCCAAACATTCCATCAGAGGCCGTCCGTCAAGTGACTGACTGAGGAACGGACGCACGAGAGAAAGTCCACAGGACCGGCGCGAAGATCCGCAGGCTTGTCGACTCGATGTGGCCGAAGTCGTGTGGCATGATGATGACGGAGACGTCGTCGTTCAGCGCCGCGGCCGAACTGATGTTGCGGAAATGATGCACGAATTCCTTCCGCTCGAATGGAATGGGGCTCCGATCTCGGAGCGTCCGACAAACGCAAGGACGTTGGGCCGTGCTGAATCAGCGGGTCTGCAGCGCGACGGATTCAAGAACGAGCGTTTCAAGAATCGCCAGAGCTAGGCTCGATGGCAGGCAAGCAGCGCAGCGGCAGCGGCAGGCGCGTCTCCAGCTCCAAGCTCAACGATTGCCTCCACCTTCTCGTCCGCTCGGCCTTGGTTTCGATGCTGGTGGCCCCCTCGATCTTCTTCCTCTTTCAGCGCAATTTGCTGGACCTGTTCTCCTTCGTAGACCGTGATGATAGCAGTCGAACTCCGATTCTTGCCTATGACACTTCTGCGGAGGTTGTCACCCGCAGCTCTCTGCATCCCTTCCGAGACGAGAGCCCATATCTCGAGCCCCGGGTCGCTGTGAAGAAATTGCTGTCCGTGGAGCAGGCCGAGGGCGATGGTGCCTTCGTTAGACGTAGCATAGGCAGGTGAGGAGGAATTGAACTTCTCATGAGCAGCAGTCCCATTCTTGAACAAATTTGGAGTACATGAGTGGATGGCTGGAGTATTTCCCTGCCGGATATCACAAATTCATGTTTTTTTTGCACAGACCAGAAATGAAGCAGCTAGATCCTTTTCTGCTTCTCGACCATTTCGCAGGTACTTTTTTTGCAGTTGAGACAAAAAAAAATTTCTGTACGAGAATTGCAAACAATCCTCTAAAACTTGTACTCATCCCACGTAACCTTCAAAATTTAGAGTTTTCCTGCTCAAAACTTAGTATGCTGGACAAGTGCATCGCCCGTGATTACACAAAAAATATACAAATCATCGAAACAACTCATTATCGCCTTTTAGGCTCGCAAAGATTTTGAAAAGCAGCACTGGGAACCTCCGATTAGAGTCCAGTTCAAATCTTTGTTCAAATGTACACTTCAGAGCTACAGACAAATGCTTACTTACCTCGTTCATTATCTTTTGCAGTTGCTCCACCCGCAGGCTTCCCTGACCATCCTCACAGAGGTACGTAAAGATGAACCTAAATACTTGAAGCCATTTAGTTATAGATCTGAGCTGAAATGCAAGGTATGTCTTCGATAATTCGAGTGATGGTAGAGACAAAGCATACATTATGTTTTCAAAGTGACTTAAGTGTGAAACGTACGTTGTATTGAAACTTTCTTGGTATGTTTCAGGCTTTGAGACTGTCACCTACATGCTGGAAGTAAGTACCAAGTTTCTGCGTAAGCTTTCGTCTCTTACTAGAAGTTCAGGAATCCAAAACTATTTTCCTCCAATCTGTCTTGCAGTTGCAGTGTCGATGTTAAGACAGCTAGCAGATGCCTTCAAAAAGCATCCTCATATGATGTTTGGGGCAAAGTGGAATTCTAGTGTTTGTTCTTTGAACAAGAATTAGCTTTCCAGGTGGGCTTTGGTGTATTTGCATGAATGATTAGACCAACGACTGATATTTCACTAAGCTGTTGATTTTAAAAGTAAGCTCCAATTAAAATAGTAGTTCTACGAACAACTACTTACTTCACTCATTGAGATGCCAAAGTTTCACCGAGAACCTGTCCTCAGGATCTGCTGTAAGAAGTGAATGTAAACATATTGCTTCATTCCATGAGAACTCAGCAGGTTTATGCGAAACTGAAGGATATCATCTATATTGCGGATATTGCCGTCAGCTCTATCGTCTCATCGATAGGGCTTTTTCTCTCCAAAGAGCTAGTTTGAAAAGTGTTAAGTTTATTTTTTTAAGAAGTTCTAAGGTGCGTTCTTAGAACTTTTGTAAATGTGGGATGCTTGCCCTGGGACTGGACCTCAACAGACTATTTTTCGATCAAGTATATTAAGTGCATTGAACGAGCATAGACATAGAAAACTCTGTAATTCTGATCCTGCGATAAAAGGAATGTCGCGCGAAACTGACTGTATCATGTGATGCACGTAGGGATCATTTACTCACCAAGATTTTGCGGGGCATAAAGGTACCATCGGCCCTGGTGACTTGCAGGTTCATACTTTACAACTTTTTGAAGCTGTCAGCACCTTGGTCAGCATGTAGCTCTCCTTTCTGTGATGCAGTGATGATTAAATTGCAGGCATTTTCCAATATGGAAGGTAGCCACTGCACGTCTGAAGAAAGTCAATCGAAGTAAACCTGAAACATTAATCCTGTAATGTCAAAGCTTCCTGTACTTGATCTTCGTCCCTTTGTTTTCACCATCTTCCTATTTTGTCAATCGTTGAGCAGTGGATGACCGCCGGTCGAGGAATTGTTCACAGTGAGTTGCCAGCAAAGCCTGGGGTACAACGCGGTCTTCAGCTCTGGGTTAATCTGCCAGGAAAGTATAAAATGTACGGTTGTATTTAAGAGAAGTGATACATTCTCCAATCTTAAGTTATCAATACGAATGTGTGTACTTGTTATTCATTTTCTTAATATGGGGAAATTCTTTCATAGTATGAATTTAAATAGATAAATAAGTAAATATCATCCTTTTAGTTTCAGTCATGGCTTTTCCGCACGGTCTTGCTAAATAATTGAAACAAAATATTATAATGAAAAAAAAAATGAGGATGTTGATGTCTTTATATGTCATGCACATTCTTTTCTTGGAAGTCAACCCATTTGCAGTATTGAATATATTTCTTGTTTTCCGGCCCAAGTTAACCCTTCACTTCAATTAGGTCGAAACAGGAGTGTTTCTGCAATAGGTTTTACTTCCAAGAAAAGACTCGTGCTTGAATATTGGATGCATCCACAACCTAGGGAAAGGATGAACCCTGCAGGTCTCAGTCAAAATCTTAATCGAGACCAATCAGCATATGCGGTGCTTGAATATTGGATGGCTCGACAATCTACGGAAAGGATGAACCCTGCAAGTCACAGTCAAAACTTTTATCGAGACCAATCAGCATATGTCGATATATTTGTCAAAGCCAGCCCAGCTAACTGCTTGACATCTTCCTCTTCCATTTTCTTCAGCCTTCTTGTTTGTTGTGCAGGGTGGAACCGAAGTACCAAGAAATTGACCATCAGAATGTTGCTAAGGTGGACGAGAATGGGGTGGAAGTTAAAGTCATCGCTGGGGAGTCTCATGGCATCAAATCTCCGGTCTACACTCTCACCCCAATAATGTTCCTTGACTTTTCCTTAAAACCTGGGGCTGTGGCACACCAAGATATTCCTCAAGGATGGAATGCTTTTATTTATGTCCTCGAAGGAAAGGTTACGTTGGGGACGAAGACGGCAACACCAGTTTCTGCGTTTCATACAATACAGCTGGGGCCTGGTAATGGGCTGAGTGTATGGAATACACAAGACAAGCTTTGCCGCTATGTACTGATTGGTGGTGAGCCTCTGGGAGAACCTGTTGTTCAGTATGGGCCTTTTGTCATGAATACAGAGAAGGAAATAAGGCAAGCTATGCAAGATTTCCGAAGCGGACGTAACGGATTTGAGAAATCTCAGACCTGGCGCTCTTCCCCTATAATTGTCGCATGAGATTAGAGACAAGGTCATTCGTCAGTCTCCACATTCCTTGCGGTTGTCGAGAGACTAGGATAGGGAAAAAAGTGATGCACCCTGAAAGGCCATTACTGATACCGATGTGTCCTTAGCGAGAACAGCCTTCAGAGAACATTTTCGATTCGAAGGAAATTGCGTTAATCCCTCGTCAAAAATGAGCATATACGTTTTTGAAATTAATGACTATTTTGTTAGTAGAAACATCTTACTTTTTCTAACTCAAAAATCTGAGTCTGCAGAATTTGCATATTTGAAGTGCTCAATAGCCAATGTGGTGACAACGAGAAGGATCATACACTGAGGACTATCTTGAACAGCCGCTGCTAGCTAGCTGACTGTGGTCTTGATGCAAACGATGAAAAGGAATGTATTATATAGTGACTGGTTGTATGCCACCTACCTTTTTTTGCCCCTGACGAGCGGCCTTTCCACTCGCTGTTGAAGAATTGCGAGGTCTAGCTCCGTCTACAAGAACTGTTTTATCTTCAAACTCCGTATCCGGGATTGCACAGATGATGCCCCTTGTAAATGAGCCATCATGAGTCGATGGCTTTGTATACAAAATTGCAAGTCCTCGTAAGATAGTCGACAGGGAAGAACAGTACTAGTGTAGGTAGAAATAGGTTCAGATTTTGCGTTTATCGACAAACGCACGGTCAGCCCCAGTGGGGTTGTTGTTGGTACGTGTGTGCATCTGACCAGTTGGTTTGCATGCCTCGTGCTGCATGCAGTTTTTCAGCCTTTGTGATGGTGTGCGTCCACTGGTCTTACAGTTGTGCACTTTGTACTGAATCGGATTGCATGGTCCGGTTCATCCTTTCTATTTCCTGGCAATGAGTCCCAGATTTGATGATACAGCACAAAACAGTATGTTCGAGTCGCCTGTTGCCTCTCGTCTACTCGCTTCGCAGCTGTCTAGTCTTGCTTGTGTGCAACATGTGCGGTTGCATGTTATGGCTCTGTATGCACTTTCTGAACTCTCTGAATCGCTTTATACCTTACTCCAGTACTTTCTTGACTGATGGGACGTTCACACTTGAAGTGAGCCAGCACCGAAAGCGGCCACAGTGGATGCACCAAAGTATTCACTTTCGTCCAAATGGTGACGATTCCTCACAAACAGTGCTATGGAACTCTCAGTCCAAGTCTTCAGTTCACATGTACTTGTTGACACAATATGGGTGCTCGAATTGAAGTGCTTTAGTCCACACTTTGAGGGATTGGATAGAACTGAAAAACGGTTTCTTGTAGGAATCACTGCATACTGTGTGCAGTACTGACATTAGTGCGGCATTATGTCACGGTCCGCGTAGGAAAAGCCCAGGTCTGCAGCGGAACATCGGGTTCAGCTAGAAAACACCTTTTATCAACTCAACCCGACTTGCAACTGCAATGTTCATCCACGCAAGAACATGTAAGGTACGGGCGTTCTCACTGTACACATATACCCATGAGATACCACGCATTACCATATTCAGTGAATTTACTTTCGGCTGGACAGCTGGGTTACCAAGAGGAATGTGAATGTACCGAAACTTACAAAGTGCTGGTAGTTTTCTCGACTGTAATGACGCAGACTAGAATATAGTTCGTAGGTGTTAGCTTACCTGCGTAGATCCTTCTGCGATCGATTGTTCCATACGTTGCATGGCCTTTTCAATCGTAAATGTTCAATGGTGAGGCTCTACAGATGGGCCTTCGAGTAGCCAGATTCAGATGTGTCTACCCCCAGCCGGAACTCCTGTTGAACAGGTGGACATCCATAAGGAGGCCGGACGGGAGGTTGCTCTCAATGCCCGGCCCGATCGATTTCATGTACGACAAGTTCCTGGTTCACACGAGAAGATTCTGGAATCATAGGTCAGAGAGAGGATAGAGTAGCAGATATTTTGCGTGCAGCCCTACAGGTGACGATCGATGAGAGACGCCATGTTTCACAAACATCTCAATGACGTCCACCGTTCGACTGAACGATAACTCGCATAGTGTTACTTTTTTTCCGAAGGAACCCGGCCCCGGACCTGTATGTGCAAAGCAGGCAAGCCCGGTAGAGAAGGGCCAAGAGACAGAGGGTATTGGAGAAGGTATCCGCCGATGGTGCTATGACCACCACGGACAAGCGATATTGTGGACTGCGCGAGGATTACTCTGTAGGTCATGGAACATCTGCAATCGGTCAGAGACAGCAGCCAAATCTCCAGTATTTTGAGCGGTCACTGGACGATACTCAACTGCAGCTGTTCTCGGCTGTCATATATTCCTCATGGCTGTTCACGAACTGTATGAAAGTGATGATTCGGTTCACTCGTAGCCTTCTGGCTTGGAATATAAGCTCCACTGCCCGCAGAGCCCACACCACCATGTCCTGCTGTGCAGTTGGTCTATCCCTCCACATGCACTAGACCACTACACCAGATTCTGGGTGCTGCTGTGAAACTTCTGCGATTTCTGTGGCTTCTTGCACTTCAAACACACGAGTTCACGTGAACGAAGGGTCTGTCTCAGTATATTCCTTACGGAGAACGTGGATAATCTCCATCTGAATGATAGGTTCAGTTCCGAGCAACTCCGAGGCTTACTAACAGTGGTCTTGTGGGACCGAGCTTACCGGCAGCAGGCAGATACACAAGAGGGAACTTTCGGGGTGCTTCACCAGTTTACCAACAGCGATTCAGGTGTTACGGTGGTGAGCAGCTCGGGCGGGTAGTTGTCGGGATCAGACGCGGAACCAGCTCTTCTGTACATACAGTTCGATCATGATCAGGATCGAGGAGTCACCTTGCCGAGATAGGGGCGAAAAAGAATATTTGGCCTTTCAGACGTGTAACTCAGAGCTGGCGTCGGAAGTCTCAACAAAGACCGAATATATCTGCTGCCGAATCCTGCGTGGGGTGACCTTCGGTCAGGTTAATCAGATTTCAGATTAGCTATCATTATCGGAGCTGATGCTCTATCACCCGGCGGCGCTTCGAAAATCCCGTTCATACCAACGCGTCACTGAATCAGCTTCACTCGACAGCCGCCATGCACACAATTTAACCGATGAGTGGTTCGGAACTTTTCTTCAGCAAATCGATAAGAGTGACAGGAATCTTTGCGATGACTCCGGAGTCCGTCAAACTTCCAACACAGCTCACAGTAACAAATGGATCTTGTCATTTTCTCAACATCTGCAGAAGTTTTGGCAATCCAAAAACAGCTGTATCTCTCCCATTAGAACTTGTTGCTCCACTCTCCGTCCCAAGAACCTGGCACTCTCATACATTTGTCTTCACGTGATGGAGGCTCTTTTCGCCTTCCTGTCTAATCGCGTGCCTCGATTCTGGAAGCGAATCCGACCCTGTCAGTGGGGGTTTCAAAACGAAACCACACTGACTGACAAGAAGTAAAGAACGAAAGTGCACAGGCGATTCCATGACACAATCCAAAACTGAACATTCCGGTTCCTTACAGGAAACGTCCCCCGCCTCAGGGCAAGGCGTCTGCCCTCGTGGCGAGTAACGCTCTGATGATTCACCACCGTACATCGAAGTCGACTACGTCAAAGTGATCAGAATGTCACTTTGGATCCGTTGGAGAATCATACCCAAGTCCTCACAGCGTGCGTGCTATATACTAGTCGAAGTCTGTCGTTTACCGTCAGCAATGATGAATAAGCTAAAATTACCTTTGAATAGTGGAGAAAGCATGGACCCCAGACAGAGCTCGGTTTCTAACTGGGTTTGGATCACAGGGTAAAACATAACATGTTTCTACCACGCATACCGAACTCTGGATCAACATTAGGGTTCAGCAAAGCGGTTGACCTAGAATAACCCTGCTCCATCCTCCAGCCAGGCAAGTGCAGTAATTCCGATTCAATCATTTCGTCGAATAATAACAATCATTTAATCCAGAGAATCTGCCAACACAATTAGACCACACTGTGTATGCACATGTTGTAGGACAAAAAGAGTGGATCTTTGATTTTGATGAAGCATCGTCTTCACAGACATGACTTGGTGCACACGTAACCTCAAATTAAGATGTAGCTACAGCAGGTGCCAGGTGCTTGGCCGTGTCGTCTACCAAGTCGAGTATGTTCGTTCCTTCCCGAAAGAAAGTAAAACAAGCGGTTCCAACAAAACACAATCGAATGAGTACAACAGAAAGGGGCCAAAGAGATAGAAAAAAACTATGCGTGTATCTCTTCAAACCAATATATGAAATTGTAAATCTTTTTTAAATGAGATAGAAAACATTTTCTTTCGTATAGAGTTGGGGTACTTCAGATGACATATCTTTCATCATTATACTTATTTGAGCTACTCTGGTTTCCATTTTAAATTTTTTAAAATAAGCTTGATAGGATACTCCCACAGTTGTTTTTGTCTCCTCCAATAAGCATAGCATGCTCATGATGACGTTTGGTGATTGGCATCATTTGTGTGAAGTTAATATATGGTCTTTGTTGAGAAATGAAAACAATCTTCCTATAATTGACAAAGAAATGGATAGAATAAATCAAATGTAATTTCACTTGTTTTAATATGTTCTCTCACACTCCTTGCATGTCGAAATTTGTATCTATAGTCCAGAATAACTCCAAAGAGATGATTTTCTGCATTCTCACATACTTGGAGAACTTGGATCTTGCTGCCACAAGCTCTGTCCATCTGGAAGGATAGTTATTGAGCTCTGATTAATTTTCGCACAAGTGAGACTGAAAACTACTATGTTTGCAAACCAGAAGTTGATGCTCAAATACCAAACATATGTTCAATACGTAAACCACATAAATATACTAATCATTGAATAATACAACTGGGATGGACATTCTAAAGAACTCTAATGTAGAACTTTATTACCTCACAACTGATGATTCCAAAAGGGTGATTCTTGTTCTCTTCCTGCAAGCAGGTAGAAGAAACAAATGATCACAAATCAAAGAAACAAGGAGAATAAATGCAAGGATGACAAGTGGATAGAAAAATGATGGAGAGACCTAAAACAAGGAGAACAAGTTGATAAGCATCTTTTAGTTGAGAACAAGTTGGTATTCAAGATGGGTTGATGTTTATTGCAATATTGGGAGTGTTGTGAAAATAACGCGTGTTAACAGATGTTTGAAGCTCAAGACTAACGGCAATAAGGCCAAGAGTGAAAAGCCTTGCTTAGGCCAGGAGCAGAACTAGAAGATATTTACATTAAGAAAGAAATAAATGAAGTACTGTTGCGTTGCAAGAGCGCAGAAATAAACATGACTCCTTGTCTCCATCGGATGAGGCAACAAGTGTGTGTTTTTCATTGTCTTGCTATGGTAAAGCAATGCTCTACATTAAAACTCTTGTCGACCATATTCTACACTCACAACATCAAAGATCATAAGGACAAAACGAGCTTGTACATCGTGTGTATGTTACATCAGCCTCCATCAGAAACGCTCATTTGACTGTGCTCATGACGAGCGTATCGATCCGCTGATTTGACACCTGAACAGGTTCCTTGCAAGATGGAAGCCGCTCTGAGAAAGATCTTTAGCTAGACTTCGACGGGACTCTTTCATGCAGTTTTTCTTTCTTAGTTCAGTATTCTCTCACTACGGAAGGATAAGAGTATCTCCCGCACATGCTGCAGAATGAACTTGATGCAGCAGACATAATCCTGTCGAGCAAGAGAGTTATAGACCCGAAGTCAACCGCTTTTCAGCCTGATGTTATGTTTCAATTTCTGCGGCAACTGTCCAAATAAAGCAGCAGTGGATCTTCCCCAAATTTGTACTCCTCAGAACAAAAGAATACTGATGCCATTTTCTACCTGCGTCACTTAGTGTGACGTCAAACATTTAAGCTCGCTGTCATTAAATATCATCCTACAACCTCATATTCTGCAATGATTTTTTGAGCTTTAATACCCATAAAGATGGCCTAGTTCGCCATGAAACTGTTCTGTGCTCTCCTCCTGTTTAGGGAAAGGAGCAGGAAGGATGCTGCAAGCCAAGAGTCCCGGTAAACCTTTTCAAATTGCAAGAGGAGATATTATCTGTTCGATGCAGCTGCAACTGCGCAGTGTTTGGTGGAGAAAGCTGTTACCTTGAAAAGTTGACATTGCCTAGGAATGTTGTTCCTCTTATGTTCCCAGTGTACGCTATCGTAAAACTTGAAAAATAGGTCTCTACTCACACTGAATTCCGTCTGTAGAAATATCTCCAAGCGACACTAAAATAGCGATAGCAGCCGCTGTCTACGGAACAGCCATTAAGAAGGACGAGGAGAAACTGGCATTGATACCAAGTTTTCGGGATGCGTCGTAGTTGATCCATTTCTGCAATAATTGAGGGAAAGATCTCGAACTGTCGAAACACGTCAACAGTTCACGACTGATGCATTTGGTCACCGAGTCGCTGGAAACTTTACATTACGGGGTTTCCTTGCCTTCTCCATCGGTGCGGCTGCAGGTCCGGAAAGTTGCAAAGATAGGAAAATTAAAGGATCAAAACATCAGACACTTCTGCACAACAACTTTCTCTCAGAATGTACTATCAAGTACAGAATTGCAGAGATTACAGACACAAAAGATGCTTTACTGAGAAAAACAATGTTGCGTTCGGAGGCAAGAAGGGTGATTGAAAAGTTAAGTCAATTCCTTCCGGAAAAACGTGCTGGCGAAAATTAGAATTGTAGTCAAGGCGATGCTTTCTCATCCCTTCGCAGTCAGCGGGCCAGTTGAGTTGCCAGAGTACTGCATTCCTACGGTCAGGAGTCTTTTCGATAGGCATGGACCGATATAACCTACAAGGGATCCGGCACAGGCCCTTATGTGAGATTTCGTGTTGCCAATACTAACCTTTGCAAGGAGTAGCGCCAAGCTAGCACAGAGCTGTCTCTAAAAAGAGTTCTGATAAAGATAAGGTGGAGAGTACAGAAGTAACTAGGCTCACACACACTACACCCCCACAAGCACATGTTTAGCTCCAGACTGAGATCGGATCCGAGCAGATCCACTATCTCGTTCTTGATATTCTCGAACATTAGGCATCGTTCGGCAGACTTTGGAGTACAATATTGTTACCTGAGACTTACGTACCAAACTAATTTTGTTGTGGATACGTAAGTCTCAAGATTTACCAGATCTTAGACTTCATGACTGAAGATCTTAAACCAGAAGAAATGAGGGGTACTGGATTTCATCTAGACATTCTTCCTTGTTCATATCTCAATTGCATATCTTACCTAGTGAAACCCGGTACTTTCAAATCTATGATAACAATGGTGCAGTATATCATTCGTTGACATTGGCATCTACAACCTTTTCACTCAACAAGGTCATCTTTCAATTGTGCAAGCGCCAACAACTCATGAATGAGGGTCAACCGGACTCTACGCTGTGTAGTTTTGTAGTTACTAATACACAAGTTACACCCAGGTAGGATTACACCTGAACACCACTGAGGTTCTATATACTACATGGTGGATTCTTATACTATATTATTTACTTGAGACTTCTTCAAAGGTAAAAATAAAAAACTATCCTGCAGTTGAGAAAAAAACGCTCAGCGAAGTGTTAAGAAAAGAGAACGCAGTAGAAATACGAAAAAAGGTGGCAAAATACGGTGAAGCAACCATGAGATGCAATGTTGAAGTTTATAGGCTTCGAATGAAAGCGATGAAAATACAAGAGTATATATTTTGTATTCAAAAGTTGTACCAGCCTCAGTTTGAGAATGATGACATCTTAACTGAGTAGAAATCCAACTACGGACCTAAATCATTTAGAAATATATGGGAAACCCCAGACTAATTTACAACAAAGTTTAGCATATAGCTTCGTCAGATTACGAAACCAGAGCATACAGCTAAGTATTCACTCCGTTTACAGCCGATCTATCACAATTCTGATAAAGCTGATCTGAGAACTTGGTTCATATGTGCGCTACTTCAGTTGACGGAATCCCGGATGCGTACAGTGGAAACTATTTCAAGTTTTGGAATAGAGACCACTGGGAACTAGAAAGTTGCGAGGTGCAAGTTACATGTCGGAGATGTTTTGAATTTCTTCAGCATACCACCCCATGTTCAAGGTGTGCCGCCGTTGCCACATAAGGAGCTCACTCATGAATAGTTATGATCACTTGAAAATTGAATGAATGACAAAGTTACAATGTGGAGAGAGTACGAGCCGGAACATTGGCTAATCACATTTCTCAGTAGCAGACCAACACAGTAGCATACTATTTCTATCTGATCTACTCTCCCTCAATGCTGACAATGTAGAGGTGACAAGTAGAGTACACAACTGTGTGTAAATATTTTTGTCTGGACGGAAGCAAGAAAAGATCAGTTCCATATTGTATGCTGGAGTATTACCTAGCACTCACCATTGATCACATTTGCTTCTTACTACGCTGTACTGTACAGTACTTTCTACCAGAGCGCATGTTGATGAAATGTACTTACATCAGTAAACGTCGACAAGAAGCTCGAGAAAGGTAATTATGTACAATTTGAAATGTTGCCGACTAGCACCTATCCATGACCCTAGGAGAACAAGAAAGGAGAATTGCTTTATTGGGGAAGAAACACAGCAGCTGAACGTGAACAAATGACCCTGGTCCTATAGTTTGAGTGAAAAAAAAGGCGGGCGTTTAGGGTCCACTAAAGTTTGTGAAGCTGACTGACATATAGACCAATGAAACCTTCAGGATACCAGTTAATATAACAAAAAGAATTGGACAAGTCAAGTCTTCTATGGATGAAAGACTGGGGCTAATCCCCAAAATCATTACAATATAAGAAATATATACAATTGCATATAAAATATCCAAAATAGTTACAAATGTTTAAATATTACTATCTCATCATACGAAGATTCATGACTGCTCTACTGTAGAGTACGCCAACTAATGTTTCAAGTATAACAATGTTACCTCAAATATATTATACAATATGGTGAAAAGAATGACAATCATAGTGTGGTAGGCTCTTGCCCAATCTCCCACAAACACGTTGCATTCTATATTGTCATAATAATACAAGCTAGAGTAATACATAATGAGGTTTGTGTGTACCCCTATACTTGAGGAGCTTGGTTGTTGTTGCTCCACACATAGTGGTAGTGGGTGGTGGTGGAATTACATAAAAGTTAAAACTTTTGTTGATACATAACTCATCTTCTAGGTACTATAAAATCAACTGCATCTCTTTGCAATTATGCTACTCTTCGGAATCAGATCCAAATTACAAGACCGAGTCAAATGTCAAGTTCCAAATGGGTTGACGTAGGAAATGCTCGTAACGAACTTATAGCGGGCATGAGAGATCAAAATCTTCTGACATCCAATCTAATTCACGTTTGCAAATCCAAGACCTAGAAGTGTGAACTGAGTTGCATGCATGCAGATAGGAAGAGGGACCGTCTTACATGTCCTCATCATTTTGTATCTAGAAAGGTTCAAACTTTAGCCTCGAGTTACCATGAACTAATCATCATGCTCAAATCAACGTTTTCTGCATTTGTAAGGAGTGTGGTACTAGCGTGTTCTTGCGGACAGTTATGGACAAGGCTCATAGAAAAAACCAAAACCTTGCTACTTAGAAGCTACCGCAACGAAAATATCTCACAGCAGTCACATGATTGTGCAATAGCCGGAACTTCGAGAAAAGATCAACTTGTTAGAAGTACCATCTCTTGGACGCTTTTAGAGGTCTCTTTGCAGCTGCGTCCGTCGAGGTCTCCCTTCTATGGCAAGGTGGAACATCTGCCCATCTTCACTTGTACGTAAGTTCTTGCTACGCTGATCGCTTCGATTGTATGAAAGAACGAAAACTCCCTGCCAAAATGTAATCGCGGATTATTTTTTGGTCAGAAGATCTACAAGCGAAGACAACAAGACGTCGGGAAACGTGAGGGCGATAAAATGAGTACATGTTATCAGCATGGCATCTCGATAAACACCAGCACGGCACAAGGCGCACTCTACGAGGATGATGGTCATGGGGCCAAAGTTCTGGAAGCGCCCGAGTTCTCGAAGAGGGGCGCGATACGTTCGCGAGATGCCTTTTCTTGCCATTGTGTGGGAGAATTCAGATAACAATTATGAACTTCGACGCATCTTCCTCACGAAAGTTCCTTTTATTCCATGAAAGCTTCTTCGCTCCGATGCCGAGAAGAAGGCTCGAAAATATCTGGTCGCAGGAGACGGAAGCTGGCGCGGCCTGGCCGCTTTGACCGGACCCTGTCTCAAATTCTGAATCTTGTTGAATTTGAAGAGCAGTACGAGGAGTCTGAAAAGTTTGACCAGAACCGAATCCGGTCAACCTGACAGGCATCATGTTGATGACTAGTCTTGGACACGACACATCTGCACATCATGGCAGCTCGCATCTCCAGATATCCCATCCCCGGCTCGTTTGCTACTTATTTTTTTCTTCCTTTAATACTCTGGTCTGCTGCTGCTGCGCCTTCTTCTTTTGGCTCCCTCTCTTTCCCGTATCAAGGCAAGAGGCTTGGCATCGGTATGGCAAGCACTTGCCATGTCTCTGTTTTGCAAAAACAGGCCAATCATATTAAAAAATAAAAACATGGCAAGAATGGAACCCTAATGTCTAATGGTAGTATCGTTATTTTAAATGTAGTGTCCAATGTATCCAACATGCTTCAAAGCTAAACGTTCACAATAATATGAACATAGAAATTTCACCGACTTGCGTAATCCATATAGTTTTATAACATTACTCAAATTTTCATCTGAAATCAACAAAACACATTTTTCAAATAATTTACACGAAACTCTGGACAAGAAATATCTCACATCCTAATATGGATACTTTTGCGGCCCTCTAGATTAATAATAACATTCAAAATATTGAAACGTTTACATTAGATTACTAGTATTTTTGAATTTTTTAAAGAAATATCAATATCAAAATCTAGATAAATCATCTTCTGATCACAATAAATCTTTAAAAGACTTCAATGAGCTTAATTTCTTGTATCATTTCATTGCATAGCAAAGATCATTCAGGTTATCTTCTTTAGCACATAAGTAAGGTTATATGTAAACATAATGTTAATGTATCCTCCGGGTCTGCAAGATAATAAAAAAAAAATTGACATTTTCCTTCATGTTGAGATCTAGATTCTTTTCTGTGAATTATACAAATGAGCCTAGTCTCAATAACCCATCACTCCAAAAAGAGAAAATTACTTATGAGATACCTCAGTAACAACAAGTAGCTTAATGGGACCAACAAGTGTAGTTTTGCCTGATGGGACTCCATTGAGGGCACACCGTCAACTAATTTCTAATATCGAAGTACTTCATAAGAACGGTGTTTAGAGTGCGGGCCGAAACAACCCCAAAGACGCCTGCAGAGGGATGAACGAGAATCAAGAAAAGTGGAGATGAGGGAAGGTTGCTGGGCGCTTCAGGAATTCTGCGGATGAATCCAAAATGTTATTTTGAGGTCACAATGGTTTTCGGATGGAGATGATTCTGTAAGCTCGAGCTTTGAGTAGCTCACAATGTAACATCCATTCCTTGAGCATAATCTCAAATTGGTAACAAAGCAAATGTGTGACGAATCAAACAACCGGAAGAGTCAAGAGACAATCTCCGGAAATCATTACTGTTCGACTTCACGGCGAACGGACAGTAAAGTTGCAAGTATCGGGTTTCAGAAGCGATCACTTTGGAGTTGCTTTAACTTGGTTATAGTGCATAATAGCATATATGACGAGCTGGAATCATATATAATCCACACCCTAAAGTTACGAGAACTTTATTGAAAACATGGATGACGGTGTGTTGTAAATGGGATGCCATAGGATAAAACTATACTAGTTGGATCCCATTACGCTACTTGTGTCCTACAGGGTTCCATCAAGTAAACTATTGAAATTTTCATATTAGTGAGTAGTTACAACATTTTAATTTGAAATCATCAAAGCTGTATTGATTTTTTATAGGTCTTATATACAAGTAAGACATTTATCATTCTCTCTATTTTTTTATTTTGAACTCAAGAATCTTGAGTTCAAATTAATGTTAATAATTTTGAGTAATATTTTTTTTAATATTTTTAATTTATTCAAAATATTTAATATTGAAATTTTATTTTATTTATTATTTAAAATATTTTTTGATCAAATTTAATACATATTCACACGATATTAGTATCTTATTGATTAATTTGATTAATTTTATATTGTTCATTCAGAATAAATATTAATTTTGAAAAAAATTAATGAAAATTGTTCAAGATTTTTAATGTTTGAAGGACTCGTGAAATTTTGGCTTGATAAATCAATACATTAAAGAAAAGCTTGCAAAGCTTATGAAAGAAGGTCCAAAATTTGAATTTGATTCAAAAAATGGTTATTGTGATAAGTTTAGCTGGCTTTGACTGGGAAGACATGAACATTTGAAGTTGCTGGTTTAATAAATTTTTTGAGCTGAAAAGTAATGCAAATTTAAAATAAAAATAAAAATAAAAATCAATGAACGTTTCGAAGGATTGTGTTGCTAGTAGATAAGAAGAAGTAAACGGTAAAATAATTGAAGGACAAATACAAGATGTAAACCCTTGTGATACATTGGGGAATAGACAAGGGGGAATATATTCGCTTCGACTTAATCTTGTCATATCTTACTCGCGTGTAATGCTCCTTCCTGTCGATACCATCTTGTTGTTTTACCAAAGAATCTGCATAGAAGCATCATCCACTTACTTGTGAAACAAATGCACAGAGGCACGGGATCTTAGTAGGCTCATTCGTGACGATTGCGCAGCCCCATGTCAGACTAGATCTCCATTCCATGATGGATCTTGACAAATGAGCAGCAGAAAGGCTTTCATGTTGTTGCAGCAAGAAAGCGTTTTGGGGAGTGTCGGGGAAAGCACCATGAAGATTGAGCTGCACATCTGAATCAACCAAGAGAAGGCGCAAGCCCCGCGTTTGAGGTTACCATCCTACTCCTAGTAAATCTGCAGTTTTTTTCGACGGGAATGCTACATTAGGGCCAGAGAACGTAGACCACCTAATGATCCAAAGAGAGCGCGCTTTTACCTAAGAATTCCAACTTGAACACCACCCCTGCTACAGACCTTGGAGGTAAATCCACACTGTGTCTGGCAAGTAGCGTCCGCTCGTGATTACTTTGGGAGCAAAATCCCGCACATATTGTGTCTTGGCACGACGCAATTATTATAGTCAATCAAAATAGGATATAGGGAATCTTTAAATCCCACCCTCTCATCAGCTTTTTGTTAGAATTTAGTGAGGAATGCCAAATGATCACAACATTCACCTTTTGTAGCACTTAGAACATAACTACATAGATATGATACGGTCCTTTGTTTCCATATCTGATTAAATGGAGGCAGAAGGATGCCATAGAGTGCAGATTAGGAAAAGACAAGCCGCTGTGGACACACTTCCAAAACTAATTTGATTTACTAAGGTGATGCAATCGCAAACCATTTTCTTCGTTGGAGCTCAAACTGTGCAACAGTATATTTTAACTACTTTTTTTGAAATTTTGACTTGAATATTCAGCAGGTCAAGTTTCAACATAAAGAAGAAACGAAAGTTGTTCATATATATTTCTTGTATATACATATTATATCTAGGAAGAAAATGTGTGGATGTCGGCCTGCGACATGCTTCCATTCACAGTGGTAACTGTTCGCCGACAGGGAATATCATAAAAGCAGTTGATGAATTTTACAGTTGGAAAATCTTGATCTTCGGGCTTTCTGGATCGAAGACTGTGCTTTTTTCCATCCTTGATGATGATATAGTCGTTGCCACCCAAAAACTTTCAATCAACAATTACCGTAGGAGGCCAGAGTGCCAAGATAAACGTCTATACTTTACTGTTATTCACTCAAGCTGGACTCTTCTAACCTTTGTTGCCTACCTTTCTCAAGTGAGCGTTGAAGACCATGACAAATAACGATCATCCTGATGCAACCCACGTTCTTCAAAGATACCACACAAGTGGATAGAAAGAAGGGGCCCAAAAGCGAAGACATGAGGAATCGATGTCATTTGACATAGTATCAAATAAAAGTTGTGAACGGCAGTTTCCTTTGTTAAGAACTTGTCCAGACATAGTACATTAAATTTTCTCCTTAAATATCCCGTAATTGAACTCTGAAAATCTCCGTTTCGAGTCAATCTTCCTGGGGTAAAGATCAGGGCTTGAATCAAGGGGTGGGTGGCCATCATCTAGGCCTCATCACACTGCAGGTAGATTTTCGGTATCAACGGGGAAAAGAAACGAGAGAACCAGCCATCATTAAACATAAATCAGAAAAGGACTTCCAAAATCTTCTAAACAACTAACGTCAGATCCGAGCGGAAGCTTTTCCCGGGCCTTGCTTGGTTTGCCAAATCTCCGGGATCATTCCTCGACTGTCCTCTTAGTTACGAGCAGGCTTTGGTAAATGAGTAAATACCAAAAAAAAAAAGTGTAGTGAACTTACTGAAAGAGAGTGATTCAGTCGAGGCGTGTCGACAGCTTCAAACCATGCTTCGGCGCATGGTACAGAGTCTCGATTGACCGGCAAGAAGGAGTATCGCACTTGTCTGGAACAAACATGAACATTCACGCAGGAGCAGACGTTTGGAGCGAATCAAGTACGGGAACAATGGCAAAGAGACACAAAATCTAACCATTACAATCTTTATGAAAAAGTTATACCTCGACACCTTCACTACATTCAGGCAATCGGTATGTCATAGGCAGACGACGTTGTCGGCCAAACCCACACCTCTTCTCTTTTTGGGACAGTCACCCAATGTTCATGCGCGGAAGTGAGTCAGTTAGCGTGAGCACGTCAGTTTGGGAGGGTAGGAGGCAGCCGATCCTGCCAGCGCCATTCTGCCAGCTGAGTTGCGTCCAAAATTTCAGGTGGGCGCCCAATCAGTCGAGATCTTTTTTTGGGCAATCAGCCCACGTTCCTGCGAGACACTGTGAGTTTTTATCCTGTAGGATGAGCATTCTTCAAGTCAGTCAGTGAGAATCTAGGTTAACGGCAAGCCAACTTACGCTGCATTTGGTGCTACAGAGACGACATGGTGCACGGGAGAGAGGAAAGCAGGTCATGCAGTTATTAGTATACATACTTTGCTGAACATGAAAAGGGAACAGAAAATAATCCTCTTTTCCTTTTAGATCACACTGGTGATGGCATTAGCATTCTGGAAAATGTATTTGAATGACGT